TATATTCTCACTGACGAACTAATCATTGGCAATTCACTGAAATCCCCATGACCGGCTGACGGCAGTATAGTGGAGCATTGTCTGTGAAGTCCTAGGCTCTTCGGAATAAGAGCTAGGAAGTGGAAAGGTATTCCGTAGAGCATCGACAGCGCCGGGCTATCCGTTAAGGATGCGCATCAGGTGCAGAATGGTTGTTCTGCCTCTAGAGGTCGGCATGAACCGCGAGGGTTTCTACAAGGCGCTAGGAGAGAGGGCATTCACCTTGGAAGAAACTCTGGTCTTTGTTCATTGTCATCACTCGGTAAGCAGAAGATCCCTGGGAAAGCCATTGGTTGAACCCAGCTCCGAGAAGGAAGGGAGCAGAGAGCAATATGTTTATATCGGTCCAAGGGACCACGAGGGAACAAGATCTCCCACAGAAACCGCTAAGGGACAGTGGTACTTCTGGGCCGTTTTCGATATTTTGCCACTTTTCTTCCCTCTACAACGTCACGAGACGGGCCGGAGGCAACTCAGCGAAGCACGGAAAAACGTGGCACGAAAAAACTTTGACGAGTGTCCTCGCCGAAGCTTGTCGCGCCCACGCCTCGCTGGCGCCCGTGTTTTTTCAGGCCTTGCGTGCCGTGCTAGAGGGGTCCTCGCTCCTGCAAACTGCAGGCGGAGAACCCCGCCGCCTGCTCCTGTGGTTTCCCTTCTGCTGCGTTGCTGGTTATTTTCTGGAGACGCGCGGCGCCCTCTCTCGGAGTGTATTGCGACACGCTCTTGCACTGCGCTACACGATACCGCGACAGGGCAAAAAAGGCGCGGGGACCTCTGGCGGCTAACTGCAGACACGGAGAGGAGGCCACCAGACTAAAAAGGCCCGCGCGTGCCTTGAAAAAGGGACCGGCCCGGGGGGTCAGAAAATGCTGGCGGACTTGACACGGGCGGGCTTGCTTGCGTTCTCGCGGCTGATTTCATGGACCGAAGGGAGAGGAAGCGCATGGGAGTAGTTCTCTGGCCTAGCTTCATGCTTTGGCGTTTCTCGGAAAGCCTTCGGCCGTTCTCAAAAAGCCTTCGGCCGTTCTCACGGGTGAAATATATGAAAGGCCATCAGTTTTCGGATCTATTATAAAAGGACGCCTAGAACGGCCGAGGGCTCTTTGAGAACGGCCGAAGGCTTTGCAAGCAAGGCCGAAGGCCTTTTGAGGGCGGCGGCCTTTTGAAATAGGCACAGGAATAAAGCTAAGCTAGCGGGCTACTCTCATGCCATTTCTCCTCCTTCGGTCCAGGGGGGTCAATCGCCCACCCTTGTAAGAACTCCACTCGTCGCCACTTATAAGACCGCCCGACCCGTCCCCGCGCCCCTCGTGAGTCCCAGAGGCCGGCCCTGGGGGCGCCGTGTTGGCTGCGGGACCGTGTCAGCGTCTCAACAAAATGCACGCGCCTGGGACCCACGAGGGGCGCGGGGATCGGTGGGGGAGCTTTTGGCTTAGTTGCTAGGCTTCCCCTTGGCCAGAGGAACGCTAGAAGACAGACGGGCACCCTTTTGCCATTTGGTGCTGTGCGTGTGTGTCGTTTGTTATCTATCTGGCTAGGTCATGGGTGAGAGGGGAGCCCGCGCGCGCCTGTTTTGCGGAGAAAGATGGCAGTGATTTTTTGGGGAACAACGCCACACAAAAGAAGGGCGCCGAAGATCTTTTGGGCGACGATGCCGATGCGCTTTAACGTGACGGCGCAGAGGTAGGAAAAAGGGCAGGGCGTATGAGAATGGAAAAGCCGCGAAAGCTCTCGCAAAAATCTGCCAGGTTGTTGACCGTTTTGCGAGTCCCTTAGCCGTTTCGAATTCGCGAAATGTTCTCCCTTAATGGTTTCGACTTTCGTGCGGGTATCGGTTTCGAGGGGAGCCGCCTAGCAGCCGGCCCGCAGTCAGTCGATAACAGACGCGCAGCGCAGAGCCGTCGAGCAGCCGGCCCGCGATAAGTCGGCAGCAGACTCGCTGCGCAGGGCTGCTTAGCACCCGGCCCGCGATAAGTCGACAACAGACGCGCAGCGCGTAGCTGACTAGAAGCAGGGCCGGCAACCCTTGCCGAAGCCCCTGCTTTCTTGCTGCTGGAGCTGAATAGAAGCGAGAAAGCCGCCGCTCCGTGTGAAACTAAGGGGGAAAATGGCGCCGCTTTCCTTCGTTAGTTTCTTGGGGGCCCCTGTAGCGGGTGGCCGAAACCGGACGGGGAGCATCGGCCCCGAAGAAAGTGGCCCGAAGTCCGGCGAGCTTGCGGAGAACGTCGGCGCCAAGTCTATCGCCATTTAACCAGGCATCGCCATGTACCAGGGGGGCGGTTTTCGGCGCCCCTTGCCGGGCGCGGTTTTCGGCGGCCAATGGGGAGCATCCGCCGCAAGAAAAGAAAGAAGAGAGCAGAAAAAGCACCTGCTAAGCGCAGCTGCTTCGGGTGCTTGGATATCGGCCACGCTTGATCGCGACCACCAGCGGCGGAATATCGGCGGAAAAACCAACAAAGCCAGCCCTAAGCCTTAGAGAGTGCGGCGCCGGCCGAGACCGCACCACGCAGAAACACACGAAGGGAGAGGGCGCTTGCTAGCGGTCACGGAAGGAGACCGAGTGGGCGGCCGAGGGAAGAAGGCAGGAGGAGAGATGGCGCCTGAAGCAGAAGACACTACAGGAGCAAACGCAGCCAATAGCTATAAGACACGGAGGCAGGCAAAGAGGCGCAAAGGCGTGAGCCATTCGTCCCAGCTGCAGCGGAGCCACCAAAAGAGTCGCCCCGCCGCCTCTGCGTGTCTCACTACTGAAAGCGATGCGGGCGCCTGCTGTGAACATTTGCGAAACAGTATCAGGGGGCTGCGGAATAGTTGGCGTTTCTCTCTAGGTTCTCAGATACTCGAAAAAAAAGCGATGGATGTCCGGGAATATTTTGGGAATGTTGGAGAGTATTCGAGCGGCGCCAGGGGGTAGTGTGCTTCGCTGGAGAATAATTTCCAAGAAATTTCCTGAGTTTTTCCAGATATTGCGCTCGGCGCTTCGTACCATGGTGCAGCCGAGACGGTGAGAGCACTCGGCGCTGCGCTCGACGCTTGTTTTGGATTTTTCTTCATCGGCGTCCCTGAAGGCTATGGGGCGGCGGGGTGTTTTATAATAGGAAGGCGTGAATAGTTAAGGATCTTTCTCTTATAAAGCGCGCCTTCGCCTCATCGTCTTCAGATACGCCGCGCAGCATCTCGGGGAGGCTAGCGCTGTGTCACTTTCTAGACCGTATACCTTTGAAACTCGTGCGGACGAACCGTTTCAAAAATTGAAACGCCACGAGAACTCCGAAGGAGCTTGTCCTGCCTTTTTGTTTGTTACTTTTGGCTGGATTCTAGCGCAGGGAAAAGGAGGGGCGGGGGGTCTCCACTGCAGGCTCTGGACTTTCAGAACTCCATAGACCTCAACTCAATGGGAGGGAAGAGCAATAGAGGCGGCAGAATTCCTGGCGCCTCTGGATCTCCGGACCTTCTTTGTCGGTAGTGTGGCCCCGTGATTTTTTAGGGGAAACTTTGGTGCCAGCGGCTCTGCGGATATTCTTGCGGGGGCTTCGGCTTCTACCGACGGATCCGAGGCATCCGGGAGAAGCCCGCGGGAAACCTCGGGGGCCTCCGGGTCGCAGGGTCTTCTCCTTCGGCAGCGAGGCCCACTGGTGTTTTAGGGAAATCTTCAGGGCCGGCGGCTCTGCGGGTCTTTTTGCGGGGGCTTCGGCTTCGAGCGGTGGACCCGAGGCTCCCGGGAGAAACCCAAGGGAAACCCCTGGCGGCTCCGGGTCTTCTTTTTCGGCCTGGGCGGATCTTCGGCTTCGGTCGATGGATCCAATGCACCCAGGAGAAATCCATTAGGAACCCCTGGAGCCGCCAGGCCTTCAGCCTGTCTTCCCGCGGCCACGGGGCCGGGGCGTGTTTCAAGGGAATTTCCGAAGCCAGCGGCCCCGCGATCTTCTTTCGGAGGCTTTAAATTCACCTCTCTCAGGTTCGGGAATTAAGGAACCACTTTGGCCACGGCGGCCAGGGTGGTCCCGTAATTGCGCTTCTCTCGGGTGCAGCGGACTCCGGCTCGTTTGCTTCGCGAGCGTCGCGGGCGCCACTGGGTCGCGCGATTGTTCCTCGGCCATCCCCGTTAAGAATGTAGCCCGCAGCACCCCAAAAACTACAAAAAACCTGGAGTGTCAGAGGACTAGAAATGAGCAACCCCACCCTGGCCTCGATTTTTTCCGTCTGGCTTCCGACGCTGTTGAGGCCCTTTTCGTGGCAACCCTACTCAACCGCGCTCGCCCCTGCCTGGGTCGCCTGCGGCTTTCCTCTTCCCCATCGCCCCACCGAGCCGCCCGTCGTTTCCGCCTCCCAGCCGCGCTGACCCTTTCTCGCGCAGGGCTCTTTGATAAAGTCGCGTTCGACCTTGCGGTCGCCTGGAAGCCGGCGCCAAGCTGAAATTGCGCACGCTGGATGACTAATCCACTTCCGCACCGCTTCGGCCCGAGCGGGTCCGACTCTGCTGCCCTCCTGCAGACGAAGGCATCCGCGATGCCAGCCGAGATCCTTTTGTCTGACATTCTGGAGGCGCCGAGGCACCATATGGATTTCTTCTGTTTGATTTGAACGAGCGGTGCTGCCACACTGCAGGCGGCAGGAAAATGGGTGAGATCGGCCTTATTGCTTAGGTAGCTTTTTAACTGTGTCGCATTTGGTCTCGCGTATCGCGTTTGGCGGCGTCCATCCTTCGGGGCCCCCCCCTCTTTTGCACTCTCTCTCGAGATTTTCATATGCGGGCTCGGTAAGAAGGATTTGGGACTTAACGCTCTGATAATTTTCGTCGGTCCAGTGCAGCGGCAAACCAATGTGGTGTAGGTGGCCACAAAAATCATAAAAAGAAGAATAAGTTGGGAATGTTTTGCATGTGTTCCGCCCGTGACGTCACGGAAGGTCCCTGACAGCTACATGTGTTGCGCCCGAAATAGGATCCATCACGCGCGGGAAGTTGTGTTATAGTAGATCAGGTCGGAACACAATGGAAAGTCTCTGGTACAGGTCGAGCATTACTGTGCCGTCTCGGTTTCATCTGTTACCCCTAAGTGACCTCTGCTATGCCGTCATCCTCGTTGTTGATCTTCTAATTGAGCTCCATCGTCGTTGAATCGGATCAGGAACCATGTGAGATGATGCGCCGAGTTATTTTTTGTTTGATATCCTTCTTAGCAAAAGATGGACGAGCTGCAGAGTCCGCCGCATCGGGCAAAGACAATGTGGAAATTATCATTGACGCAGGGAGCACCGGCTCGCGAATGTATCACCCTTGCTCACGAAGAAATATTTTTGCTCATGATGCAGACCTTCTTGAACAGTGTGCTCGAGTCTAATCAAGGTTTTTTTCCAAGTCTTGAAAGGGCGACGGGGCGGTTATGTGTCCCACATGAGCATTTTGAGAAAAATTATGATGCGGAAGTATCAGCACGACACGGCTGAATAAAAAAGTGCCATACCGACCATTGTATCGGAAGTCCTCTAGCACAACGTTGGTAGGATAATTTCTCGGTGTTAAGGCAGTAGACGGGGTTTCACTAAAGAATTATATCTTCAGGTACGTGTTCCACACTGGAGCGGATGGCACGCTTGTCCACTCGAAAATGGTGGGCAAGAAAAAGCCGGGGCTTTCGAGCTTCGCGGAGACACCAGGGGGTGCACTAGTACCGCTGCAGTCACTCTTTTCAAAATTTCTTGCAGAGGAGGGTCCGCGTTTCGGCGGCAGCACCATCGACGTGAAGATTTTCGGCACTGCAGGAATGCGACTTTTATCAGGTAATTCACATGAAAACTGAATAACAGTAGTATCAAGAAACGTTGCACGGGAGTAATTTTTTTCATTTGCCGCGGCACCCTCGAAATTTATTACTGACATCAGATTCCATGTTCATGCTCACGCATACATATCATGTCGTTCTTCATCATCTGCTCTTCTTGGAACGAATATTGCTGCGGAGATTCTTAAAGATCTTTTTCTTTCCTCTTGACCTGCCAGACGAAAAGCGGAGCAGTGTGTGGAGGGCAGTGGGTGACGGTTTGAACTCTTATTTCGTTCGGAGAGACGATTTGCAGGCGGAACATGACATTACGTTTAAGTTGTTGAAAACGGAGACCATAGCCGGCGAGACCGAGGGTCTCTTCGCGCTGATGGGGGTTAACTACTTGGTGCAACAGACAAAAACCGGCGCGCAACCTTGTGAGCGCTACGGAATGCTCGATCTTGGAGGTAGCAGCACGCAAATAGCCATACCGTCTGACTGCAACCATATTACTAGCGGAAATAGCTTTGTTCGGAGCTTTCCAGAATCCGGGATGGAACTCACCAGAGCACTTGTACAACTCCTGCTACAAGCGAATTTATCTAACATCTGGGTCTCCATGTGCTATCGGAAGTAGAAATCGCACAGCTTTCTCTGGAAACATCATCTTCTTCAATATTCGCTTATAGTCGGAGATGCTAAAAAAACGGCACTTTCATTGAAACTTCGAGATACAAATTTTTCAGATCTTCCAAAATCCACGATTGACTGGTACCTCCAAGGAGTCGCAAGATCGACACCTTTTCTAGAGTCTACACAGGTAAATCGAATGTTCACGCCCACGCAGCGTCGCAGTTGTTACTTTACGGGGTACGAGACCAGCAGTGGTGGGGCTGATGCGCGTCCATGCTATGGTAAAAGAGATTCTCTGGTTGCCACAACCAGGCTGGTTTCCACAAGCAGGTGGCTATCTTGATCCAACAGCAGGTCTGACGTGTCACTAAAATGTTTCTTGTTGGATCTTTTATTTCATCGTAGCAAGAACTACAAACGATTGTTAATGAGTCCCTCGAGAACTTGTTGATCTATAATCTCGTTTGCCTCCTCTATTCACAGAATTTGTTGTTTCCTAACTCCATAGACCTCGTGCGAGAGGCGATGCAGAGCGAGCCCGGATCGCCATATTATAGTTCCGAGGACTTTCGAAAACTTAGCACGTCAAAATTGAGTTTTGTGGCAGTTTCGGGTTATACCTATGTTACCTCCTTTGCGAGTTGGCTCCTTGCAAAGCATGCACCCGAACTAGCGTTTGTTGCGTCTTATCCGGCTCCGATGCTCTCGGCAATTAAAGAGGCTGCTACACAGATATGTGCATTGCCTTGGTCTGAGGTCGAAAAGGAGCTTGGGCATGAGTTTACAGGACGCAGCAAGTTGCCGCACAGATGCTTCGAGGTTCATTTTTCAAGCGCTGCTTGTTCAACATCATGACAAACAAATGGTCTTTCGTTAAGATGAAAGTGTGTAAGTAAGCCATGTTGCTCCAGTCTATTTTCATGCCTCTTGCGTCGAGTTACTTCATGACTCGAAGTTATGACTTCACTCGTTAAATCTTGGCTCAATGGAGGTCGGGCGATCGGTCGTCTTTGGCGCTTTCGGCGCTATTTGACTTGGTGGCAAATTATGCCACCGATTCAGCCGCTTATGGCTTTGTGTGCCATAAGTTTACGTGGTACCTAGTGACTGATCTATTTTTATTACATATTTATTTTTCTCTTCCTACTCTTCTTTTACAGATGAACTATATTTGGACGCTGCTACACGTTTACATGAGCGGGTGTGATGACTGCAAGAACATCAATTTCACCGAGGAGATAAACGGGAGCGAGGTCGAGTGGCCTATAGGCGCGTGGCTTTATTTCTCAAAGCAACGAACCATGTCACAACACCAAAAGGAGGAACTCTAGCGAACTCCATGTAGTGAAGGTTCGGGTAGCAATCAAACGGACTCATAAGGAATGAGCCTCAGAGGATGATGCGACGCGGAGTACTAGACCGCCTTTGAAGGACCTCTGCGTGCCGGCGTGGAAGTATTAGCGACGCCCCTCGCGGCAGGAAGAATTTCAAAGTCGTGTATCAAAAGATTATAGACTTCATCCTGGACCGACACGTGGGGGGTGGAGGGTTAATTTTTTGTGCGGCACAGCCGTAGTGCACGACACAGGTACAGTCAAGACCAACCCTGCGATTCATTATAGGTCACCAATCAAAAGTACGGCGGCCTTCTATCATTTGACATTTTACCTCGTGAAGCATCAAAGACGTATTTTATTGGAAATCCAAGAAGCGCCAGCGCGGTATTAATAATTTCAACAACAAGTAGAGCAAAAATCTACGAGATGAAAATGATACATCGCTTCAGCAATGTCAACGCAAATCATGAAGATGAACGCATGCACTTTCTCTGTCTCTCACCATAGACCCCAAGCAAGTCTCAAAGCTTTTTACGCGCCCCCACAGTTTCTCGTGGCATCCCCAGCACCATTCTTCTGAGTTCTTGCAGGAAAAGGAAATGTTGACAATCAGGAAATAGTAAGAGGAGTCTGCCCTCGATGAAATAAAGTGTTTGCCAAAAGTCCTACAAAGGCATGGCACTTATTGCACGATGATCATGGCGAACATACACGATCTCCTGATTCAGATTTCTTGCTGATGGGTCAGATCTATCTGGTTGTCGTGCATTGTTTCACAAAGTTTTCAATGAAAATCAAAAGAACAATTTTTGCGAATCGTACGTTTGAGCTTTTTTTTGCCTTCGATCATCATCATACAACTTGACTCAGGTTCAGGGGAAGCGGAATAAAGCCACCTGTCACGGAACAATAATAATTAGAAAAGAACTCAACTCCGAATTGCTGCTTTGACATCATCATACAAAGCTCTTTTCTCTTTATTCATGACACGTTTTTTTAGAATACGCGCCGATCAGAGGCAACTGTGCAGGCGGGTACTATTGAAGACCTGTTTCCAACTAAACTGTTTAAGAATTATGCCAATCATTGTAATTCTCAATATTACTCTTTTACCTGACGTTGCTCTATCCTTCTCAAATTTGCTTTTAAAAGGCAGGCCTCTTTGATTCATAGTTCTGAATAGATGCTACATTCTGGTATGAGTAACTGCATATAATTGCATAGAAGTCGCCTTCAGTCTTCTTTCGGTGTGTGTCGTTGTAGATTAGTAGAAGTTTCTATAGCCCGCGGGGGCTCGCAATTTCTTCACGGCAGACTCAAAAAGCATGGACTCGTTTTTGCGGATGCACTACACGTTCTAGGCGTGCGAGGAGGATTTGGTCTCTTGTTTGTGAGGAGGGCTTTGAACCTGACCAGAAAAACTGCGTTGGGGGATCAAAAAGCAAACAGCAAGCAGGGATTTTTGCGATCTTTATCGTTGGCTCGAACCAAACGCACTAGATTTAATATTTTTTGCAGGAGACGGTTTGGAGGAGCTTTTCCTGCTTTCCATGCCCAGCATGTCCTCGTTAAATCCGCAAGTACTGGAGATAACCGCAGGAATCGCGGAATTCTCAAATCGAGTAGGACTAAAAACCCTCATGTCACAGTACGGCGAGGTCGATGTGTGCTGGATACCTCCATTTCTTGAAAGGTACAAATTTTTCTTCACCGTATTTTCGACCACTTGGAAAAACAAGAAAGTGGATGATCAATTGCGGATACCAAATTACTTATCAATGCATTGCTTTTTATGTCTGTTGAAATGTTTAAATAATCAATCCAACTTTCATTCACACAGAGAAAATGAGGTTGCATACGTGAAATTTAAGACACCGGAGAGCGCGGAACTCGCAATGAAAGCAATGACATGCGGTCAGTTGCAGATGCACGGAGTTGCGCTGCAGGGACGATATCGGATGACACTACCACCCAAGACGGACCCAGATAAGAACAAGACGGACGAGTACTTACCACGCGAAATTTGAATGACAATTATATGATGCAGTTCTTGTGCGGTGTATTACATTTCAATCTTTGATGCTCTTAAGTAGGTATGCGTATTAAGTTCGAGATAAAGATAGGACTGTGCTTTGCACGCGTTTCTGGATAACTGCAACAAAAAGATATTGATTCACTGGGTGACAGGTTTTAGAAGCAATGTTGTCTTAGATTTGAATCGTTTGTCTCCACCAGCCGAAGCCAGTACGGTGCAGGTAGATTCACCGACAGCAGGGCTTTGATGGCATCCTTGCGGGATCGCGGTAGAGATCGCAGTCGGACCCGGAGGAGCAGGGACCGCAGCCGGGAACGCCGCAAACGAAGCCGGAACCGTAGCCGCAGGAGAGATGGGAGTTCAAGCCGATCACGCTCGCGTGGCAGAAGAAGCAGGAGGGACGACAGTAAGCGGACAGACAGCAAGAAGTCTTCAGTCGAGGAGGAGATCGTCGTCGGATACTACTTTGGTACAAGAACGGTTGAACAAATAATTACTCTACTAGATAAAAAACCCGTGTATTAGGAAAATGAGAAGCGATTTCGAAATGATCTTCTTCGATATTTATCATACTAATACTACTCATTGAACATTTTCAACAAATATGACAACTCCATTTGAATTTTTCCTGATCAACAGGAATCAATCCATTTTTTTTTCAACAAGTACCAATCAATCCATTTTAATTTTTCCTGATTGCAACTCTCTTAGGTGATAACCAGTCGTTAGGGCTGAAATTAGCCAAAGACTGTAGCGTGATAGAGCTGGAGGACCCGATGGCAGACGCTTTTGGGTGGCGTGTCGGTGACCGCGTTGTGTCGATTAACGGCGATAGCGTCGCGAGCATTAGCGAGATGGTCACGCGGATGAAGGAGATCAAAACCTCGGGTGCACTTCCAGTCATCTTCAAAGTCGAGCGGGATGGAGGTGTCATGGAGGGTGGCAGTGAACATTCCTCAAAGCACCATGCAATTGAAGGAATGAATGCAGTGAGAGACCTCATCTCCCAGAACAGTGTCCCATAGGCCACAGACGCGAAGAACATGCTGTTCTTATACCTCAATCGGCCTACATGTACATCATGCTCTTCGTTGGGCAGTTTTGCTTCTATGTTATGGCTCATCCCGCCGTGCGAAGCTACAAGCTACCATGAATGATCTCCGACGCGGCAGTCCCTCCCCATATGGTTTCGATTCCTGAACGCCCAACATACTATTCACACTTTAGACGACGGAACTTTTCATAGTGCCACACTAGTTCAAGAATTACGCTTTTGCGGAATATCCCAGAGTAAACGCGCCGAAAGAGTGCGAAAGAAAAGAATAAAAAAGAATGTATTCTTCACCTGTAATAGTCATCTGATATCGGTTCATGACCGACGAACTTTGGCTTTCGACGATCGATCTCAGTCTAAAATAAGATCCGGGTTTTGTAGCTTGAGCATGAAACAAACGGATCCCCTTTTTGATCACAAACACTCCAGATTCCCTGAATGTGCCGCCGGTGGATAGAATCTTCTTGCATGAGATCTGATTGACTTTACGCCTGATCATGGTCACTGGAGGAGATCATCGACTCCCATCAACTAGGGGTAGAACACGACAGAAAACGATCCAGATCTGACTCTATTACGAAGATCTGATGCATCCCTTGAGGATTCGAAGTGGTACAGTTCGCCTGATCATACAGGCGTTACCGTACTTTGCCGCGAAATTTAATTAACTCTAATGTCATAGAACATACTTATTATCTTTTTTGGAACTTTATTCTATATTTTATCGAGGAGATTCTTCGAAATTGATTTGATTCATTGTTTTGGTGTTTACGAATACGAAATTTCGGGCAAGGAGAGGCCTCTGTTATATGGTTCAGTTCGAAGTTGTGGCAAACACCTTTATAGCTTGGTTTATCTTTACTGCGGGGCCCACTATGGGTTTGGAGTCATGCTAGCTGAAGGGTCAATACCCTTCTGATACTGGATTCTGCATATTCTGCTGCGACACAAATTGACTGATTGTTTTTCAATATCACTTTGCTTAGTTTCATATCTACCACGAAAACATATAACAAATCTTTTCTCCCGTTGAGCCTATCAAGAAGATGAGAGCCTCTTCATCAACGACCAACTCAAGCAGTATGTCGCCAGGGGGGGAGCACCTGGTAACCCTCCCGCGACGTAATCAGTTTCGTATTCTTACTGACGGAAAGTCGGTCTTTACGCACACGGATGCGCGCCAGGCATACAGCGGCTGCAGCCACTGGTTCCAGTTCGGCACTCGGGATGTCGTGGCACTGAGTTGCAGTTCAGGTGCCATTCAGCTCTGGAATTTCAGCCCCGGAAGCACGGAGCTGCTCGGAACGGTGGAAGGTGTGTGCAATCAAGCTGTTGCAGCGATGGTTGCACACCCTGGTAGAAACAGCATTTTTGTAGCGACGAAGGGTTGTATAAAGGAAATTGACGTAGACAGCCGAGAGGTGAAGCAGACGATCAAAACAAAAAAGGATCCGGTCTTGCGTCTTGCCTGCGGTGAGGATCGTCTAGTGGCTGCCTCCGCGACGAAAATTCGGGTATACTTACGAAAATAACATAAAAGTTTTCTTCTGGAAAAAAAGCTACAAATAGTAATCAAATGTATACTCTGAAAGGTCATGCTGAGTTGAATGCCGAGGTCTGATCACTTCATCGTCAATATTTTTGATCTCACTGTTGCATAATAGTTATGGATGACAATAACCTAACCTAACCTAATACGTTTTCTTCTGTCCAGGTATTCACAGTAGCAGATGGTGCATGTATTGATAAACATGCGTCGACGCTGCATGCGTGCACAGATATTGCACTCATGGGAACGAAAATTGCCGCGTGTGACTCAAGCGAAACCATCACAATGTACACTACTACTGCAAAATTTTATGTTGAAGATCGTTAGTTGTATCTATTGTGATAGCTGTGGTCGCCGGTGTCGAGAAGAACTTTCACACCCCTTTTCATTATAGCTGGTGCACACAAAAAAATTGATGTCGCTCTGCGCAAATCCCACAGAAAAAGTTTGGATTGATTGAATCTTCTCTACAACGTCCACTTTAGATACGACTATGCGGACTCATCGTTTAGCAGCAGCCTGCGAACGAGTGGACAAACGCCCTTGCGACGGTTGACGCAAAGCGGAAGCGCGCTTGTCGCTTTGAGTGCGGACGCCACGCGTGGTTTTTTCTGGAATAACGTAACGGCAACAAAAAACAATGTTCCACTTGCGGCGTCCAGCGAGTTCGAGGCAGAGGAACCAGTACTGCATCAAATATTATGCACTCTAGAATATATTGTGTATGTGTTTTACCAGCCGTCCTTGAGGTCCATCAGCTATCCGCTTGACATTGTCGATAGCAACGGCTTCTCGTTCTCCTCGTAAATTGATTGTCTTTTGAACACTTCAGATTCTGAGTTTGCGACTGACCGATGGACGTGCTGGGAGCGGCATTGCTGTGCTTGGCGCAGCGATCCATCCGGGCGTTGTGGAAGTAGAAGATTTTCGTGCGAAGGGACTCGTGTTACGACGCGGCACTGCCAGCAAGCGCGCTTTGGCTGGTGATGTCGAAGAAACGACGCGACCCGCCAAAGTGCAGGTTACCGCTGCGACGAAAGTGGCAAAGAGCGGAGCCCAGCCGCTTATCACCGAGGTCGCGCGGCAAGAAATGCAACGGGCAGAAGCGGAAATCGCAAGTCAGCGCGTCGAGCAGAAAAAATCCATAGCTGGCGTTGTGTCTCTGGCGCCTTTGGTTCGCCAGTACTTGAAGTCGCAGGATGCTACCGGTACTCAGTCTATTTTGCACCAACCGCTAAATCTTCTACAGGTGATAAGTATACGTAAAGAATCTCAACTGATGCTTCCGACCTCATGTTTCGACAATACTGAAGACAGGCTTCTCATCATTCTAATGCCCTTGAAAATACAACACAACAGTACTTGCGTCGTGTCTCGCGCAAGCGGATCGCAAAGTTGTCACGCGTTCCTGCCAGGAACTCACTGGACAGGAGGCCTTCGCGTGGTCGCTCGAGTGTCAGCGATTACTTTTCACACAACCGAGCAAATGCAGCTTGCTCCTGGAGTGGGTACGACAGGTGCTAACGCAGCACTGCAGCTTCCTGCTGAGCAACCCAGAACTGAAGACTCAGCTGCAGCCACTCTATCGACTAGTTCAAGAAAGGTTGGAAGCCAGTGAACCTCTCCAAAGGATTCAGGTACCCACATGACTTGTGAAACGAAATACCTTGCGCTCTTGGCATTTGATATCGTTTTTCTAATTCAGCTCTTCCTTTCAACAAACCGAATTGACGCATCCATTTTTCCCCCTATCGTTCAGTCAGGACTATCAATTACTTACGGAACTTGAAAATTTTTGTTACCTCCAGGGCAAGATCGATTTGTTGCTCTGCACTGCTCGCGAGCGAATGCAAGCTCCAGAAACGCAGGAACCGCTTCGGAAATTCGAAGAAGGAGCTGAGGAAATTAGCGACGCCGCCGAGGCAGATGAGGCCTCGGAGGACTCCTCAGACGGTGATGATGACACAGACCCATTATTGGATGACGACGATTTCCCACTCGAGGAGTTCATGTAAGTCGAAGAAAGGCTCCGTTCATCTTACGTACTTACGCTGCTTCTTTCTCTGCCTGTAGATAATTTCGCTTGAATGTTATGGTCCAACGCAGAACGTGGGTATGCCGCGACAGATTTGACGAGCATTGTTAAAAAAAGCGCACTCAATGAAGTGTAATCGGGAAACCTAGAAATCGTAGAATGGGTCCTTTATTGGCTTTTGTGAACATTTACTGGTCTCTAAAAGATTGTGTTCTGTCACCATTCGTCTGACACCCCGGATCTTCTATGCTCGTGATGGTCGTGCAGCAACATGCGGTCCATATTGACCGAGAGAAGGCTGATTCATGTCGAGATATCTGCTTCTATATTGTGGTTAAGCATGATCAAGATCATGATGGTGTGAGTAGATTCGTAAATGTAAAGATCTGGTGCATCACAATGGTTGAATCTATAATATGAGGTCGAGATTGCAATCTGTATTGTGACGAGAGGGTCATGTGAGTGAAATTCTGTATATTCCAAGCAGTGCTCTGTAGGTGTTCCGTCTCTGGTCAATATTTGCCTGCTGCGACAATAGAATACCTCATCTGTCGATGGAGGAAAGTGAAGCTTTTGTGCGGAAACTAAGAGTCATGATCCGTTTACAAACGTCGAGTGCTGATTCTGTATTGTCAAACTACTTGACACTGAAATAGGCCCAATGCATGATTTATGGATTTCTTTTTACAGTACATACTCATACAATTGACAATGATGTTACCCTGTGCCTCCAATCTTAGATCAACAATTCTTGCAACATGAATATGATTACAAAAACTAATTATTCTCTTCATATTTCATGAATTGGTTATCGTACTGCATTTTCGTAACTCCCGTTGCCTCTACGCTTTTGGTACCTACGCAATTTACCAGATGTTCTAATAAAATTTCGTTTTCGTAACAAATGTTGTCGGCTTGATCATGTCATTAGATAGTGCCACTTTTTACTAATTTGAAAATTATGTCAGTACTATTTTTATTCAATAAAGAGTATGGCCTTGTTAGTGCAAGGAAGTAGGTGAAAACGTCATCTTTGGTACATTGACAATGATGAAGAAAGCAGGTGTTGCGTCGCGTCCGACCGCGGCACCGAAGGATGCCAAGGCTGGCGCTGCCAAAGCGAAGGCATCAGTGAAACCCAAAGTGCCTGCGGTGGCCGCGAAACTCAAAGTTGCAGTGAAAGCACCCGCGACAGCCGCCTCCAACGTGGGATTGAGAAAGCCAGGACTGCCTGCTTCAGCGACCACTGCAAAGAAAGGCACAGTCGCAGCTTCAAAGTCTCCGGCGAAGGAAGCAAAAACGCCTTCTCCCGTTGCGCAAGCAGGGAAAGCGCCACCGCAATCGAAGGAAGCAGAAGGCGAGGCAGCAGTGCACAACGGTGTCTTGTCGAAGGATGACGATTTGCCTTCTCAAAAAGATCAAGAAGCTTCTCCGGACATGGCTAACCCCTCTGTCAAAAGACTTTTTAGGGCTTCCACCCGCGGCCGCAGTGTAGAAGAGCCATCATCAGGCGAATCTGATGCTGATAAGGAAGGGCAGACGCGATCCGTATTTATATTGTTTTTTTTTTCAATCTGAGCGGAATCCTCTGATGTTGTCCTCGCACTCCTTTCTTCTAGGTTTTGTCAACACATGTGGTGGTCATACTAGAGTTCTTTCGAAGTAGCATTGAGGATTCCCCGTTTTCGTTCGACAGTATCGCACGCGCGTCAAACCGAGTGCACATGATACAGGTTTGCGCGCATTCTTCATCTAGGGGGGCATTCGACGTGTAGCCTATCAACTTTTTTAGTGACTGGTGATCATGGAGGGTTGATTAAATCAATTCCAATTCTCTGAATCAATGAGGCATGCTTGGCACTCTTGTGGTGCTCAAGATTGTCTTACCACACCTACAAAAAACCTAACGGAACGTTGTTACAGGAGGAAAAGGCAACGGATGCACTGAAAGCATCACGCAGAAGCTCTTTGTATAAACGCGAACTTGCGGCGGGCATATTCCAAGGTTTACCCCAGCCGTCACCACCACGTGCGAGTGCAGTCGGAATTCCGGGAAACACAAACTTTGTCCCAGAACCGCCAGCCAGACCGTCTCTGCGAAGGGCGTCGTCAGCACCTCGCTTGTCCGTAGCCAAGCGAGCGAGCGTAAGTGGACCTATCGCGCCCTCGCCTTCGCGAGAACACCCTGGCATGGTGTCTCCGCCGAGTATGTCAGTGGACAAGAGTGCGTCGGCACGGGAGATGCCGCTGCGAAAGTCTCGGCAGGCGACTCACATAGAAGAAGATGCAACGCGCCACGGATCCGGAAAAGGGACCAAGTACGACGATATCGCGACGCCAAAGCCGCAGTTTCTGAACTACACTTACGGCATAATTGAGAACAGTGACGTTCTTAGATTAGCATATTTGTCGTTGTATCGTCCTCGGATTTTTTTCCATGAAGATGAATTGAAGATGTAGCTGTCATTGTCCTAAGTAGAGGAAAAAGAAGGCACACTCGAGATGCTCTGTTCGGGGATGTTAATATGGTATTTTCTCTAAGATCTCCAGCTGAAAAAGAACGCAGAAATCGGTTACCAGAAGAAGCTAATCAAAAGACAGGATTCGGCTCTGGCGAAAAAACCGAGCCGCCGCTACACGGTTATGAAGAGGAAGATGCTCGAAAAAGCCATGCGCCGCTTGAGCGAGATGACGATGGAGGATGAGACTGAAACCGATGAAGAAGGAAACAAGCCAGCGGCCCGGAATGGTGACGTCCAAGAATCCGAAGAGGAAGAGGAGGACGGCGATGGTGATTATGATAAGCATTTCAGCGACGAAAATCCAGAACAGGCTGTCACGTTTGATGAGGCTCCAGATGACCGATACGAAGTGCGGCGACGATCCAAAGCCTTTCGCGCGTCACAGGCGAGTGTACGCAGTCGGTCGAGTACAGTAAGCAGCCTAAGAGAATTACCGGACGACGGCGAAAGCGTGCAACTTCCGGGTCGCAAGAGCGGGGGACGCAGCGAGATTCGACCTCGAGTGGATAAAGGGCCACAGGCTCCTGCAGAAGTCGGAACCGCCTTGGAGACGCTCACAAGACTGTCGCAGGCAATTGCAGACACAACGGCAGTGCATCCTGCCGCGGGCGCTCTCCTCGCGAGTTCGTTATTGGCAAAAATACACGACTCACGCGACGAAGATTCCCCGAAGGCTGGCGGCGCTCCCGCCGGCAGCCCAAAAGGTACGAGGATTCGTTCGTCTTCAGCGACTGTGCCTGCGGACCGGGACCGAAGTTTGTCCACCGCCTCGGTCGCATCGACGAAGTCACGGGTCGCATTCGCGCCGTCGCCAGACGAGGAGGTGGACGCCAGGCGGGGATCCGCAGCCTCGACTGCATCGACCTCGTCGTCGCGGTCGCGGGTAGCCTTTGCTCCGATGTCGCCGCGGGAGGAACGTCCGGAGAGACGAAGCAAGTGGGGTCTGGATCGCTCCGCGATTGCAAGACGATCGAGTAGGGGTGGAGCGGCGCTCGAGATGGACCCCGACTACCAAAGGCTGATGCGGCGGCGCAGCACGAAGTTGCAACGGAATACTCAGTACCAAACGCTGATGCAAAGGGCGACTACTCGTGAGAGCGTCATGCCGCCAATGGATGACACATCTTCTCGCAGGAGCAGCCGGCGAAGCAGGACCAGTACCTACGGCGAGGAAGTGAACTCGGATATCAACAACCTCATAGGTCGCTTGGAGGCGCTTACGGCTGCGACGGAGTACGTTCTCGAGGAGAGCAGTGAAGAAGACGAGGATTTGGAAGACGAAGACGAAGACTTTCTAGAAGATAAACGTCGATCACAGGTACTACTATTAAAGGCTTGACACGTCTCCTCTCCTGCGTAATGATAGCAGGCGGAAGCTTAAAAGTTTTGAGAGTCTCATTGCACACTTTTCTCATTGCACAACTTTGAACACATTTTTGAGCGACGCCATAGAGTATGGTCAATATGAAGCACATTTTTTCATTTTGTTAGGTGCCCACCGCGAATAGCGCGTGCAACGTTGGTACATACGAAAGACATTCTCTTCGATTTAACTCTGAACAGGTAAGCATGTCGGATGCTCGGCATTGCGCTGCGGATAATGATCTCACCCGCATCAGTAACACGTCATTAGATCCTAGGCAGTGGGGGATTGAGAGGAGCAGTTTGCTTGACCGCGTTGCTGATTTGGCTGATAAGCTCGAAGACGCGCAAGCGGCTGCGGACGACGAGGAGGCAGTGGACGAGGCGGCGCTCGAGGATGAGCGTGAAAAGCAGTCGGTGGCATTCGATCCTTCAGCCGTGCCCAGAAAAAGCATCTTGCGTAACAGCACCGCGCCAGTTCCAGGCCTCGCGATGCTGGACAACACAATCAGAGAGCAGGAGTCCGATACGAAGAATTCCCCGAAAACACCGAAGCAACCCGGTGTCTCTTTTCCCACAACGTCGTGGGCGCACATGGATAAGCACATGATGCTGGGGGGGCACGACGTGGGAGGCGACACTGCTAATGGTACAGCCATGATGGACGCGTCAAAGGATAAGCTTCCCGAGAGGTCATCAGCAAAGCCGGGGCCCGAAGTTCAGCGCGTGATTCCCAAGGTGGGCGGCGGAGATCGCACTTTCGCCCCTGCCTACCGCGCCTCCGTATCACGTTACAGTACCATGACTACATCGAATATGATGGACGAGCTTCCCACATCAAACCTCAGAAATGGCGGAGTGACATCGCACGGAGCGGCGGCTAGACAAAACGGACAGATTAGAGGTAGTAGACAGTCTTTGGCTGCTAGACGAGTCTCGATTGCCCGTGGCAAGCGATATGCGGTCGAAGACAAAGAAGAGGATTCGCCACGCAGCGCCGAGTCGGTCGATCGCAAAAGGGTTTCTTTCTCGGCTAGCGACCGCAATGTTGCGAGTGTCAAGCTCAACCCATCTCCGGTGCCGCAGGTGAGCAGAGAGAGGGCAAAGTCACCCTTCACCATCGTGCATAGACAGAAAGAGGCGCGACCGCGCGGCTCAGCCGAAATGGGTCACATGATGTTGTTTCCTTCCTCGGGGCCAAGGAAGTCGTCGATGCGGCATGCCCACTAGACTGAGAAGAACTGTCAGGAGCAGCAGTGTCTTCACTGGCACGTCCGTGACGGCAAAAGTCGCGTCTTTTTCTTTTTGAGCTGTGTTCCTAACATCTTGCTCTGCCGTTGTAGTAGCCCGATTCGGTCGAATACGAATTGAAATATTTATAGCGCGCATTTGATTCCGTAGAAAAATGATCTGTCTTGCTTCCTCTAGATGGAGGTCAAGAGGCACATTAGAAACTTCTTGGTCAAATCTGGTTTGATGATTTACTTTACGTCGCATGAGCATTTAGCTTTCGCAAAAAGAACTTTTTTCCTAAGTACTTCTTGTATTTGATTCTATTCCAATCATGGGATTTTTGGGTATTGGTTACAATGATTTCTTCTGTACTACCACCATTGCAAAGATCTGTAGCAAGCAACGCATACGCAGTTTGGAAATAACGCATAAAGATAGGAGACAGCCTTTGCGAAACTTCTACAAGGTCAATATACCGTCTGGATAATCATGCTCGCATCCCGGTGGCACACGAAAGCAATGCAACAAACTTGGTCAGAGCGTCCGATATGAGTTTTTCGTAATTCTACTGAACATGAGGGAGGGACAAGGAAAACGGATCTGTCTCATTGGAGAGTGTATCTCGTATATCTGTACGATGTATAACGGAGTGCGATGTATAACGGACGTCCAGTAAGTATGGAGTTATGGCCCAACTTTCAAAGGACTTTCGGTCTTGTAAAATGCTGTTATCGAATTGTGATTTCTTGTGGCTGCTTCATTCATCTGATTTTTCGTCTGTCTGTTGATGATAGTGAGAAGCTGATTTGTCAACAGCGAGAACCTCGAGATCTGTTTTGAGGGCGGTCCAAGCCGAATCCGAGTCTGTGGATCCCGCTTTGACCGCATTGTTGCTTCGGTGGCATTTGTATTCTAGAGACGTAAAACATTGTCCACTTTACAAAGATTTTCAACCGACAAACGAATCTGGTACAGGTTTTTTTTCGTTGTAGTATCAACAAATCAAAACTACTCTCATGCGTAGACCCCTCATCTTTTTTCCCGTGTTGTACTTAAGTTGTAGCACAGAAATCTCAATTTGGGATATCTGTTCTCGATTATTCCTTAGAGTTTCCCTCAGCGTTTCGTTTTTTGTCAGTGGTTGATCATCATAGTTGCATCGCCGTAGTTCCGTGTTTTTGGTGCGGATCTGTTGGCTGTGATGCGATCAGAACCATCTTCTAGTTGAAATTTTTATTATTGATCACCCCAATTCCATTCAACAACACTCTTCATACAGTGTTCCTCATCAACATGGCCTTTGTTGTTTTCAAGCGTACGCTTTTGCTTTAGACTGTGCTTTGTAACGTCATCCGCGGATACTTCGCGTCGATCGAAGATGGTGCTGACGTCATCGGCGGGTACGACCAAACGCGCAGCTGCGGCGAAACCTATGCTGAAGGCGAGTGGCAAACTAGGGGCAAAGCGAACTGCTGAGGCTTCAAAGCAGGGTCCGAAAGCGGCAGGCGCGTCGAAATCTGGTGTAGGCAAGATCGCGAACAAAACGGCTGCTGCAGATGCGCCCGGCTGCGCAGACATTGTGGCTTTTGCGTTGGAGACTGCAACACTCAGCGCCGACGACGAGCTACCTGCAAAAGCCCCTGCGCCGAAGAAGAAGAAAGCTGTGACAAAATCGAAGACAGCCGGTGAGGCAACGAGCTCTGCGAAAGCAAAGAGTTCGGGCGCAGGTAAGTCACCGACGAGCGCAGCGAAAACAAAAAGTGCTACAACAAGTAACTCAGCTAGTCCAGCAACGAAAACGAAAAGCAATTCGTCGAGTGCAACGAAAACGAAAAGTGCTACATCAAGCAAGTCCCCTAGCGGAGCAAAAACGAAGAGTGCCACTTCAAGCAAGTCGACAAGCACGGCGGCGAAAACGAAAGGTGCTACAAGCCCATCCGCCAAGTCGAAAAGTAAAGTTCGATCAAAGAGCGACGCTAGTGCACCGAAAACGAAAAGAATACCAGCGGCGAACAAAACTGGCGCAGGAACTTCTAAGATGACCACGTCCAGCGATCTAGCGGAGTTTCAACCGCAAAGTCGTGGCGGCCGCGGAAGCATCACGAATGGGCTAGTGTCCTCGATATCATCTAAAGAGATAGCGCTTCTCTCAGCCTCAGACCAAGAAAGAGGAACACCCACAAGAGGCAACTCTAAAGAGGAGCGTGGTAGCATAGCGAGAGGCTCAATTTCGTCTGAGTCAGAGAAGGAGCTAGAACTTCTAGAGCAATACTACGAGAAAGGCCATAGTCCCACTAGAGGAAGTTCCAAAGGAGGGCGTGGTAGCATAGCGAGAGGCTCAATTTCGTCTGAGTCAGAGAAGGAGCTAGAACTTCTAGAGCAATACTACGAGAAAGGCCATAGTCCCACTAGAGGAAGTTCCAAAGGAGGGCGTGGTAGCATAGCGAGAGGCTCAATTTCGTCTGAGTCAGAGAAGGAGCTAGAACTTCTAGAGCAATACTACGAGAAAGGCCAGAGTCCCTCTAGAGTAAGTTCCAAAGGAGGGCGTGCTAGCATAGCAGGAGGCTCAGTTTCGTCTGAGTCAGAGAAGGAGCTAGAACTGCTCGACCGGTTGGATGAGGCAGAAGCAAGTCCAGGTGCGCGTGGCAGTATCGCCAGAGGTTCGGTGTCGTCGGAGTCCCAAAAAGAACTAAGCCTCCTTGAGGATGTGGGTCACGTAGACTCAGTGCCTGAGAGAAGAAACTCCAAAGAAGTACGTGGCAGTATCGCAAGAGGTTCGGTTGCCTCGGAGTCGGTGAAGGAGTTGGCGCTCCTAGGAAACGACTTTTCTCTTGCTCGGATCGAGCACGAGTTGCAGTTGCCATTACGGGCGACTGCTCAGCATCATTTGGCGCACTCTCACGCTCCTGCCAGCCTCAATCTCTCCGGCGGACGAAATAGGGAGCTCCTCAGTCGGTGGAGCATGAAAGCACGCGCTGTACAAGAGGGGCTGACACGTCCTTCGCGAAGTCTCGTGCGGATGGCTGAGGCGAAAAGACGCGCGTCAGGAAGGCGAAAGTCTGGCATGAGCGCGCAAGGCGGATCAAGCCGATTGAATGTGGAGGCCCCGCCCCGATTGTCCGAGGCTGATGACGTTGCTACGAGCCCCGGAATCAGCAAATATCCTTCTAACGAAAAGCCCTCTTCCACGGATCAGTCCCGAGCTACTGTCCTACCGGACACGCTGTGGCGGCCAACAATCCTACCGGATGCGGACTCACGGCTTACAATACTGCCTGAAACGGTGGCCAGGGCTACAGTACTGCCAGAAACTGTGCCCCGCGGCGCAGCAGCACCAGCTGCGGGTGTAACTGAGTCGCTTTTCGGTCGCATCGGATCCCCGGTTGAATCGGACCTGGACACGGCAAGTATTTCGAGGAACAACAAGTTGGCGTCGTCTCCGACCGCTGATGTTACTGCGCAGGTTGGTGAAAGCAAAGGGCAGAGAGGCAAAGACGCACCAGCGCCGAGGTTGGCGCCACCGCCTGCGATGTTGAAGAGGTCGCAAGCGAGTGATGCCACACCAGAGGCGAAACGCCCGCCTACACCAGTCGCAAAAAGAGCTGGCGTCACCTTTTCGTTTACGAAAGGCAAACACGTCAGCTCTTCCGGCAGTGACGAAAATGCTGCCCCCAACAACCGTTTGTCGGAGAAGCAGGATTCGCATCTGCGTTCTGCTATGCGCCCGGGAGGTGGTTCGGGTGCGCGCAAGCGTGCATCTTCGGAGGACACAGGCCGGACCAGCACCTCTTCAGGGAGGTCGGTCCGTTCGATGGACAGAGCCTCACGACTCAGCTTCGGGCTGGTTCCTAGTGACATGAGCAACAATCGGCGCAGTCTGGCCGCCAAGCGCAAAAGCAGGGCGAGTTCGTTTAATATAATGCAAGATGACCCGGAGTACCAGCGAATGCTGAAGCGGAAAAGCACCCACTTTTTGAGAAACACAGAGTATCAGTCACTTATGAAGCGAGCCGCTGCAAGCCGGATTAATTACAACGAGTCTGAGGAAGACGAGGATGCGGAAGAAGAGTCGGAGCATCATACAAGGTACACGAACCAGGAGTTGGACCCCTCCGCACCAGACGCTAGGGCAACAGTGAGCGTTCCTGGTGCCGGAGAGGGACGGCACAGGCCTAACATGGACCATCTGGTGAGTGATATCGCTGACCGTCTGGCTGCGTTAAAAGCAGCAACGGAGTTGGTTCTCGAACGCCAGGACATGGATGATACAACGGACGAAGACACAGAAGACGACCTTATCTGGCGCGCATCTGAATCGCGCCAATCGATTCCACGCACATCCATTGCGCGCGCTTCAATACGAAAAAGTTTGCAAATGGTACCCTCCTCATCAATGACTTTCCTTACCGGTTGCAGGTTGTTTCTAACAGCAGCATGATTGTTAGGTGTTAGAAGCGAAAAGGAAAGACGATGGTCTCTTACCGCCATAGGATACCTAGATGCCTTATTATTTTCCTACTAGACATATTTCTAGCTGCCTTGCTGAGTGCACTTTTTGTTCCAGTATGCACGTTGCTGTCGTTCTCTGAGTTGAAGCACGCGTGGGTTTAAAGTTTAAACTATCACCTCTCTCTCAGCTCCGCGACAGCATTCAGAGAGTGGGAGACTTGAGCAGTTTGCAACACCATGGCGTCGACCTTGATGTGATTGAGCGCGTCCAGGGTATGCTAGGGGACATGGGCTTCGCAGCGCCGGGGCAGGAGGGCACGCGGCGGAGCCGGTTGTCTGGCGCGGCTGCGCGACGGACCGTGACAGAGATTGAAGCCCTTCCAGCAGGAGAAGAGACCGAGGAATCACAGCAGGCATCAGGTGCAACGCCGCCACCTCGGGGTAAGCCGCCCCAGCCCGAATCAGAGAAGGTTGAGGGAACAGAGAAAACTGTGAATGGTGTCGTTTCTGCGAACGCAAGTAAGAAGAAGAGCAGCGTCGCGAGTGCAACGGAAGCGGTCACAGCACAAGAAGCTGTTCTTGGCGACGTCGAAAAATCTTTTGTGCCAGGGTCTCCTGATGTTCAACCAGCAAGCTCCGTTGCTGGGCGTTCGGTGGGACGTGCTTCACATGGGATGTCGAAAAAGCCGGTTCAACCCACGCGCACCCCCGCTTTGCTGAACGCCACGCGCGCACCAGTGCTGACTAAAAGTAGTGAAGTTGGCGGCCCGATTGAATTTGCGGAAATGACCAAGCACGCGGAGTTAATCAAGCATGCAGCGGGACTGCCGGAGGGTGAGCTGCAACAAACGGTGATGATTTTGTTGGACCTGTTCATTGAGAGCAAACGCGAGGAGCTGCAATTAACGGCGCTGAGGCGACAGCAGGCCGAGGCCGAGCTTGCACAGCGAACGGTGCCCAGCTCCCCTACAAACAGCCAGATGAGTGCTTTTGGTGGAGAGAGCAAGACGGGCGCAGGCCCTGCAGTCGGGGCGGAACAGGCGATGACAACAGCCGTTCAAAATATAGCAAAGGGTGCTGTTGTCTTTTCCGGAGGCACCAAGGGGCTGCCAGAGGAGGCGGCTAAAGCGGCGGCGCAAACTGACCCGTTATTCGCTCTCGCACCGCTCGTTCCTGATATCTTGCCACTGCGCAAGTGGGGGGAAAAGTACAGCATCATCTTTTTATTTCGATCGAGAGGATAACCATACTTTTTCAACTTTCTTACATCGAAAACTTTGCTTAGGTTACTACTTGATATTTTCATAAAAGGCGCTTGACCCAAGGCAAATGTGGTTCCAGAGATATGCGCGACTAATCACCTCAATAAAATAGTACAAAGGATTTTGGTCTTCTTGCAATATCTGCTGCTCCTTTCATACTCCTAAAATCCCGACACGATTTTGGTCGTTCCTGATGTTTTTGCAGGTGTTGCCAAACACTCGTGTCCGCCTCTGAGCGATTGGCAGAAGCGCCGCGTGAATTTCACAGGAAAGACTTGCATGTTCCGGAGCTGGCTTTGGTGAAGATGGAAGTGCCCCCGACCTCAAAGAGGCACCTGCAATCGATCTGTGCTAGTTGGGCAGCTTGGGGCGACATTGCTTTGAGCAACGCTCGCTTTCAGCTGTGGAAGACGGTGGAAAGTGGCAGCAGCGCCAAGATGAATGAAGAGATGGCTCGTGGCCGAAGAAGCAAAGGGCTTGATCCGACCATGGCTCGACTGCCGCGGCCGTCGTCCTCGGAGACGGCCGGGCCGCCGAGGCAAGAGGTCCATCAGGCTTTGGAGAGTACTACGTCGACAACTACTCGCTTAGTGGTCTCGTCGCGACCGATACCACCACCGAGCGAGCACGAAGCCAGCGCATACCAAATAAACAGTCCTGCCTCCGAGCTTGACGATGCATTGTGGCAGATCGAGAAGCTGCAGAAAGTCGCCTCGATTGCGCGAATATCTGCAAGCGAGCGGAGCTTTTTCTCCGCCGATGAGGAGACAACGCTACGAGCGTTTGTTCAGCAGGTTGCCCGCGAAGTGAGAGTGGACCTTGCGGCGCGCATAATGGAGGACCACACTGGCGATACGGGGTTGTTGAAGCAGGGCCGAAAGATAAGACCTCTTCAACCGGTGCGCGAAGCCGCGGGCACGTCGGAAGATCTATCTGCAAGAGGCAGCGCTGGCGAGCGAGAGGGGGAAGAAAAAACAAGTGACGCAGAGCAGAGCCACGAAGCAGCGGCAGCAGAGAATGCAAATAATGGAGGCTTTTTCGCTACAGAGGACGATAAATTTTGGAGTTCTTCGGAGGGCAGCACGACAGGTTTCTTTGATAGAGCAGCGCAGGACGGCATGATGCCGATGGAGCATGAGGTTTCCACTGACGCCGGGAAAGCGGCACAGCGCGAAGCGGGAGCTCTAGGCCCCACGGCGGCTGCCGCTGCAACACAAGAGGCCAAGAAGCGGTATCAGCGCGCAGTCCATTCTGTCCGCGCGAAGATGGCGCTTTTCACCACCGCGCGTGACAATAAGAGCGAGCCGTTGGCCCTTGTCCAAGCGGGCGAGAAATCTGCGCGACCGTTCTGGAATCGAAATACACGACAAATCACACACACGGCGTCGCCTGAAAAGAACTCTAGCTTGAAAAGCAAAGTGCGTTCTGCGAAGAGAAACTCCATTCTCGCACACGCATCGTTTTATGCAGACCCACCCGGGACCGCCGCTTGGCGGGAAAATTTGCTAGAACGCTTGAATCGACGGAGCATTAGGTCACGAGCAGTCTCAAAAGACGATGCTCCGGAGGAGGAAAGACCAAGAGGGCGCGCACCTATTCCCGAAAAGATGCCACCACGAAGGAGTCGTTCGTTTTCTCGGACACGGCAAGACTTGGAACGGCTGGCGGATGGCACGGCTTCCGATGCGGGCTCTTCAGCAACTGCCGAACCGAGCTCATGTTCCGCGGCTCACATGTCGCACTTCTTTTGCTCAGCGATGATGCCCTCCGCAACTGATGCGCCAGTCGAAGAAATGGACGTGCCACGTGAATCGCTGAAAGCAGCGGAGGCGCCGTTGGAGATGTTGTTAGACGAAGCTACTAGTGGATGTCCTGAGGAAATGGACGCCGTGAGTCAGCATGCTCTTGCAGCGAAGAATGCAGAAACTGATCGTTCTTTGGAAAGTGCCGAAGATGACTCATTTTCCTCGAGTGTTGTGCACGAAAATGAGGCGTCAGTGCTGACGACTGACTGTTGCGATTTTGTCCAGGACAAGGCAGTCGTTCCGACGCCGACTGTGTCGGTAACAGAGCCCGAGATGGCAGTTTCCGAAACAGAGCCTGAGGAAGTAGTTTCCGTCGCCGAGCCAAAGAGGGCAAGAATTTTGTCACAGCTCTTGGGCGTGCTAGTGCCAGCTCTTGAAAATGTAGTTGAAAGAAAGGCCCGCCGCAAGCGCAGACGAGAAAGCAGAAGAGCATCTCCCACGCTGTTGCGGAGCAGCATTGACGTTGCCGAGAGGAGACTTCTCGAGACGTCGCTAGCGGGTTTTTCCCGATCACGAAATCCTTCTTCAAATGAGATAGTTTCGCTTGGCACACACTTCCGGCAGGACTGCGTAGCCGAAAGTGTAGTAGGAGAGTGTCGCGTAGTAGACGAACACAAACTTGATGCTGCTGAGGAGCTACATGCATCAACCATGATTTGTGACGACATGTGGTGCCTTAGTAAAGATATGGAGAGTGCGTCAGTCGATGAGCCGGCTTTGGATGTTACGGGTATGACGGAAGAGGTGGATGAACTCCTGAAGGACGAAGGTTCAGCTTCCGCGACTTTGGTGCAGGAAGACATTGATGGAGAGCAGGCGTGTGCAGCCGAACAGCAGGACTCGCGATGCCAGTGGAGAGACACGGCAGTATTCACGCCTCTGCTGTCATCGACAGCCGCGGTTGACCCGGGCACTAGTTTTCTGGTCTCACCGCCGAATGCAGCCACGCCCGATGACAACGCGCACGACAAGTTTGTGCAACGTAACGATGGAATCGAAAATGCGCTCGAACAAACCGGTGAAACAGTACTACCAGAAGGGCACGACGAAAAACCAGAGGCAGGGGAGCGCCTGCATGCCGAGACCCCCATGAACATCAATGACGTGCAACCCTTGACGGAGAATCCCGATGTCGGTGATCAGTGTGAATCAGCGGAACAGCAACAGGACACCGAAGAAAGAGATGACCATAAAGAAAAAGATTCTCTTCTGCTTTCGTCGACACACTCTATTCCGGATGCGGACGCCATGCCCCTGCCCGTCTGGAGCAGCGCAAAACAATCACGAAGAACGGTTCAGAGCTCTACGATGCAGGTTCAGCTGTGGAATCTGGAAATGACAGGAGATGCGTGGACAGAATTTTCTAGTTTGTAGTATTCTAAGGTGGAAGGATGATTTGAGCCACACGCGTACATTAAATGCTGAAGAATCAATGCCGGGAAAATGAAACGCACAGGGACAACAACATTGAGATAATGCGTAATGACTTCGGCTAAGGTAGAAAGACACTCTCTAACTCGAGTTGATGAAAGTACACTTTGGTTGTTGTCTTGATGCAGCTGGGTTTAGCTTTGATGAATACTTCAGAAAGTAACCATGAATACTTCATTTGATTGACGAATGCTTTATACTCTACGTACTGAATATTTTTGTTCAAATCCTTTCTTCTTCTTGGTATAGAAGTTGATCAAGAAATTTGTTTAAGAGAAGATTGTTCTCATGGTTTGATCGGTGCGCGACCCTCGCAAGAATGTTCTATCCGGTAATATTGATACTGACTTGTATTGATCAAATCTACAGTGAAGGATCGTGAAGGATCTACTTGATGCTTTGCCTGGTGCGGAAAAGATGAATCGGAATCAAAATTGTGCCTGCGAAGAATTTACGATAAAGTGCCGCCGTAAACGATATCCAGTTGTCTGTTGGCTTGAACAGATGACCTACTTACTCTTGTTCACAAGTCATATCTTTGCCATCTTTGATGTCTGCCATATTCTAAATGTTGATGCTGAGAGTGGGTGCTGTGAAAGAAAAAGCTGAAGAGGAAGAAAGAAATTCAGCGTTGATATCGATCTATTCCATACTGTTCAATCAAAACGAGAACGGCGATCCGTGACTGTTCAGGAACATTATCCGTCGTCATCTGCAGATGTTGCTCAAGAAGAAGATGCTTACTCATTTGTCTTCCGAGTTCGATTCTTGTGGCGGGGTTCTGCGTCACTGCAAATTGAAAAAGCTACAAGAAGTAACACAGAGATTGCTTAACATCCGCATTGTCTACAGGTTCGATAACAACACATGACTTCTATAAGAAATATTTCATGCCTTGAATATGATTTTTCCTGATTTCTGTAGAATTTCAATTTTTATGTTAGCATATTTTTATGCTACCGACCTAGCGGCGGAGGTCTCGGGTCTGACATCAGGTAAGAGCTCTTGTGTATATGAGTGACGCCATTTATACAGCCTGAGTCGATTCTGTTACAAGAAACTCAGAAGTTTCACGTATCCTCTTGTTATCCATCCGAAGTTTCCTGGTTTCCGCTCTTGAGGTCGAGGAATCGCAGTTCTTGCGAATAAGTAGTTTAAGCTCTAGAAATAGATGATTGCAATAGAAAAGCATCAAGGAGGCTACCGTTTAAAAACCGCTGAGCTCATTTCCGGCTTTCAGAAGGGCAGCAATATGTGGCCCTATATATTTACATCATGAGTCTTAGGTTTAGTAGGTGTATCTACCTGATTGACCTAGGATCTTTAGTCTAGTGTCAGAAATTGATGTCGAGATCCGTGTACGTTTTTCTGTCAGATAGAAAGTGGTTGCCAAGCACGCGAAGCCATTAAGTTGTCTATCCTGCGACGACATTTAGGAGGCCAGTGCGTCTACAGGTTGGACCTCCTCTCCGCTGATGGCAGCGAGCAACCGTATCTTCAGTATCCATCGAGATCATCTTGCCAAACTTTTGCGACGCTGATAGACAAGACCTGAAAAACGCTTGAGAAGCTCATCATGCCAGCCTAAGCGCGGCGTGATTCCAACAGCGTAACGTACACCGACAAATGCGGTTTGGAAGTGTCTCGTTCCGCAGAACCACTTGGCGATTGAGTTTCCGTACACGACCAAGGCTATCGCTTATACAACGCCTTTTTTTTGTCACCGTGAATATTACAGCAAGTAGAAGAGAGCGACTAGTAGACATCCTTTGGAGTTAGAGACTGAAGATAAAAAATTATTGACAACAACAACATCGTGGACAAGAACCAGTAAAAGACTTGACTGTGCTGTGGTGCAGAAAATTTTGGAACCAGTGTGCACCAATCAAAATCGACCAAGTATTGTGCAGTATACAAGCGAGAATGTACAGTGCCGGAACGTGGTCGCAGTCCCAAAATGGGGACTCTAACGGGGGCCGCAAAACTGAGCGGGGGGGCCAGGGAAACGTCTTTCGACAGGCTCTGAAGGGGTTGAAATCGCCAAGAGCACAGCCTGGTCCAAGTCCTAATATTAGCGCCATAGCACCACCACCGGCATCAAAAATCGCAGTGGAAGAGCCAGACCTGGGGAGCGTATATAAATGATTATGATGTAATGTTCTTGACGAGGTATGATGTAATACTGATTCCCGAAGAACTTGAAAAAATCAAAGTGGTGCGATCGTGGAGGGAGCATAATTACATTTGTTTACTGCACCGGTAGTCTTCGCATTGTTCTCTTTATTTTTTTTGCATCTTCATCAAGGTCCGACTGTTGCGCAGTCACTTTTCATCACCATCACCTTCGCCTACATCAACAAGGAAAAATATCACAGGATCGCATGAAGTTTGAGCCAAGCAGTCGAACCAATGGCGAGGCGAGCGGTGTTGTGCTAAAGAAGAAGAGCTCTATAGCGATACTGAAGCGTCCTGAGAATACTACAATTTTACGGCAGCAGGAGAACCATCATGTCGGAGGCTCGAAGCCGGTCCGCCTTGTTTCAGCGGCAGATGCGAAAAAGGTCAGAATAGTGAGGCGTGACCATAGGGCTGAGTCATTCTTCGACGTTCCAAAGCTGAAAAGGACGAACAAGACTGGCGAGTTCGCATTCGACGAAAGCAGTGATGAAGGTAATGGGATCCATTTCAGATGTTTAGAAGGTAGTTCATGAGGTTATGGATATCGTCGATTGATACCAACTTCGAATGGTATTGAAACGTTATTTGTGCACCCTGTAGTACCTCTTTGCATGTGGATTCTTACTCTATGCAGCATGATGATTATCTTTGATATCGAAATCTCTTGTGACTCACTCCCATCGTATGCCGATTGCAGGACCAGCTCCGGCGAGACCTGCCACAAGCTCCAGCTCAAAAATTACGCTCGTCTCAAAGTTAGACAAGAAACGAGGAATGGAGCGCGATCTCTTTGACCGTAAGAAGGTGTATGTTAGGCAGGAAGCGCGACCGTCAAGGCTACGACGTGCTAAACCCGCGGAGGAGGACTCTGCGAGCGAGCCGTCACAGCGAAAAGCCGAGCGAATACAGCCGCGACAGAAAGCAGCACCGGCTAAAACGGTACTCCAAATCGTAGATGCTTTGTGGTGAGTTCTTTGATTCTTTGACACTGGTCTTAGTTTTTCTGTAAAAAGGCTGTGCCTGCAATAATCGCTGGACTTCTGTGCTAGGCGTAGGCATACAGTCGATCAATAAATTTGCCAGGTTTCTTTACGTGAGCAAAGAGAAAAGATCCGAGAGACTGACCCGACACGCCGAAATATAGAGCAATTGAAGCAGGATGTCAGGCAGGCGCAACGTCGGGGTACATCGGTTTCAACGCAATCGTCAGAGGAAGATGATTCAGACGAGGCCGAGGTATACACCCTTTTTGTGCGGATCGCGACAGTACTTAATCAATTTTCTTCAGAACTTTTTTGGCAATCGCACTGCGGCCAGCCTTTTAGGATGATTTATACGTGTTTGAGACATCAGAGTTCTTTTTGAGCAGGTACCTTCTTAACCTGACATAATGATTTGTGAAGTTCACTTGTTCTCATGTTTCACACCAGTCCGATGAAGAGGCCGCGCCACCGAGGCCAGAGACACGCAAGACACGAGGAAGGACCGCTGCAACATCGAACACACAGCAAGCAGCAAATGGAAAGAAGTCAATCTCACAGCACGGCGGACCGACAGCCTCCACATCCTCCAGTAACAAAGCTGCTCTAAAGGGGTCTTCCGCGGTTCACATCACTTCGCAGAGTGGTCAAGCCGCTACGATGATCAAGCGCGGACGCGGTCATTCGCAGCCGCCTGTCGGGGGCATGGCACTCGATAGGTGGATGGGTAAGCGGGAAGGATATTTGCCCGCCAGCAGCACGAAAGCGCAGGAGGCGCTTGCGCCGATGGCTCCCATTAAGCAAGTAATAGTTCACCCACCGGGTTCGGTGGCAGCCCCAACGAGCTCGAGCGGAGTGAAGAACGACGACGTCTCGGCAAACGCGAGCTCGGCAGGTTCGTCTTCACGCGGCAATGATGTAATCAGCAGCAGCAACTCGTCCATCGCAGCCGCGGTGTCTTCAAAGCAACGCAGCACAGCGCAGTCTACCAGAGATGGGCCACACGCGAGTTCCAGTAGCAAAGCGGCCGCAACTTCGTCAAGGGCAGAACGAGTGCGCGAGGACCGGCGAGCTGGCGGCGGAACCGGTGGCAGCCGCCGCGTATACAACGAGGCTCTAGCGTTACCGAGCTCCTCGCGCAACGCGAATAGCACAGATCATGGAGGCACTCGAAATTCTAGTGCAGTGAATCATGGAGGAGGTGGAGAGCACAAGAACGCTGCGCAGCACCGAGGAACCGGCTCCGCCGCCGCGCGTGGCCGGCACGAGCGAGACGCGAGCCGGGAGACGGTACTCAGCAGTTCTGGGTCGAGCAGTAGTAGCAGCTCCGAGAGTCAGCGAGTCGTTCGAGGGAGTACGCGTGATGCGAAAACAAGCTGCGCAAGCAAAACGTCGTCGGCGCAGAACAAGCAGAAAATGCAAGTTTCTGCGCACTCCTCATCCAGTAAGCGGCCGGCAGTGGATGCTCGGGACAGCATGAGAAAAGCCGCACCACCTGCGAAAAAAGTCAGGCATATTGAAGCTTTACAGGATGAGCGCTCTTCTTCGTCTGGCCTTCGGCGCAAAGGCTCAGACAGGAGGCGGAAGGACAAGCGGAAGAAGAAAACTGTGCGGAAGCGTAGAGGGGATCGGTCACAATCAAGTTCCGACTCGTCGTCTAGCTCTTCCAGTAGCTCCGATTCTGATTCCGACTCGTAGAAGAGCCTCTTACGCATGCTGGCTACCTTCGTGGGTTGTTGTTATCAGTTTGTTCCAAATGTTGATTGTGATGTAGAGCGCTTGTGATTTTTATTCGGATCGAGAGAATATCTCTCGTTTCCCGCGTCGTGTGCTTAAATAGGAGCACGGAAGAACTTTGCGGAGGCTTGTAATTTTGCGATGGCGAGTTTAGATCTCGCTCCTCCCTAAACCCTCTAGTATTATTTTGGGCTGATGTGCTAATTAAATTCACCTATTCGAGAGAATTAGAATATCTAGTGAATATCCCCCCATAATACATCTGTTGCATATATTCGATACGCAGCTTAATACTAGCAGCACGATCCATACAACTGACTGACCCAGTTCATGCTCCCTGTCGCCTTAGAGCATGCAAAACTTCGCCTTCATTCGCCCATCAATAATTGGCGCGGCGGGCTCTCATCGCTCGATGGATGTTCCATCGCGCGAATTTGTGCAAGTCAATTTCCCGGAGATATTGTAGCAACTCGTCATACAGTGAAACATATCGGTACGACTCGTGTGCTACTGAAGCTTAAGTATCTATGTATAATGATGGGAGTTTGAGATGACTACGAAGATAAGGCTTTGGATCAGAGAGTGCCACTGAAAGTTCGAAGAGTTTTGGTTTTCGAGAACGAATCGGTTGCAAGTTTTTCGGTCTTGTCGCTGAAACTTGTATCCTTCCACTTACCCGTCGAGAGAACTACCCGTACCCATTGCTGCCGTCACCCGGGTCGCTGCGTTGAAGTCTTCATCCGAGCATTCATTTTCAGTTACAGTTTAGACTCGTAGCTAAGTTACGAAGTGAAGGAAGACCTACTGCAACGACTGATAGATGTATTATCATAGCAACAATAACAGACTACCTCGTCACGGTTATTTTTGACTGCACTGGATCCTTGTAGCTAGTGCGAAACGCAACGCGTAATCCACGAGCACGAGTATCGCGAATATGACAGCCGATGCCTATTTTGTGACCGATGCGAATCAATCGGGTGTCTCAAAGGAGTATGAGGAAATCAGACGCCTTGGCGCCGGCGCGTTTGGTGAAGCCTATCTGATTCGCGAGGTGGGTTCAGCGGGCGGAAAGAGCAGAAGGCAACTGGTGGCGAAGCGGTGCGCAATTTCCAGGATAGCAACCGAGAGGGACCGCAAGGCGTCTCTGCGGGAAATACAACTTCTTCGACAGTTGCGGCATGCGTGCGTCGCTGAGCTCGTGGACATTTTAGTGCCGAGTCGTCGGGAATACTGTCTCATTATGCCGTATTACAGCCGGGGAGACCTACAGAGCCGCATCGTCCGTCGGCGAGCTCGTTCACTTAAGGAAGAGAGAAGTCGTCGAGATGTTGACGAGAACAACGTGGACGCAAAGGCTCTAAGAACCTGGCCTGCAATGCGAATTCTTAATTGGTTTACCCAGCTGCTGCAGGCGTGCGAGTACATTCATGGGCGCGGTGTGCTACACCGAGATATCAAGCCGGGCAATGTATTTGTGACTTGGGGCGACAACATCGTGTTGGGTGACTTTGGTGTCTCGAAAAGCTTTATCGAGGAACGGCGAGTGGCACTACCCTCTGCAGCAGCACGCAGGCATGAGACAACCGGGATATGCTCACAGAGAAAAGCTGGCCATGAACAAAAGATGATCCATATCTCGCCACCGGAATACTTGCGCAAGGAGCGGTGCATGCGTCAGCGAGATAGCAGAGAGCGAACACGTGGGACGACTCAGCTCCTGGACACAAATGCGATGCGGGAGATGTCTGCTGCTGTTGGTTCACCTCAGTACATGGCCCCCGAGTGGTTTGCTACCACATCACAGGAACGTGAGGAGGGCACTCCTATAACAGACGCAGATGACTGTTCACCTGCTGGACATGGAGACCAACTTTCTAGTGGGACGATCTATGCAGGTGGGTCGAGTGATATGTGGAGTTGCGGTATTGTTTTATTCGAAGTGTGTTTTTTGCGTAGGCCATACGAGAACTGCGGGAACATTTTGTCTTTGGTACGCCAATTAACCAGTAAAGCTGACGTTCCTTTCGCAGTGGAAGAGCCGCGTTTTAGCGATGGGAACGAGGCTGACTGTGGGCACGCGGAGGAAGCGGGCCAAGACATCGGGCGACTTCTAAGAGGTTTGCTGGTAAAAGAGCCGGCTACGGCGCGCATGAGCGCTCGAGCGGCTCTGCAGGTGCACACGGTGCGTCGTGTATCCGATTTACTGGCATTCTGGCGAGGCGCAGTTGAGAACTCACTTGAAGGAACTTCAGACCAAGAGGTATCGTCAGGAGAAGACTCAGATGAAGAAAAATCGTCAATGGAAGATTCTACCTGTGATTTGGACGACGACAGCAGTTTTGGCAAGGAAGACTCTAGTTGTTCTGATAACGAATCAGAGTCCTCTGGTGGGGATGATGATTCTGATGAAGCTGAGATTACTTGCGAGAAAGGCGAGTCGACGCCTGCTCTGTCAGGCGGAACAGCGCGTGTAGCCGGAAACGAAATTTCGGGTCTTGCTTCATGGGAAAATGCGGCTGCTACTGACGACTTTGCGGAAGCGTCTCCAAAACGCAACAAGACGAGTTTTTCACGCGACACAAGGAACTCTGTGCTGCGAACGAGACGGGAGAGAGAAAATGGTCTGAATGCGTCTCAAGACACCCAGGAGGACACAGCTGCACGTAAAAACGTCGCCGCGTCAAAAACGATTCTTGCTCCATACTATGCAGAAGAATTACAACGAGGACAGAAGTCAGCCAATCAACAGCGTGGTAGCCACGTGGTTCGACGTAGACCAGTACTTCGCGGAAAGTATTCTCTGGAGGATTTGCTGTCTGGTGGGAGTGAAGATTCTAGTTTGTCGGATTGCTCTGCGTCAGACGACTCATCGGATGATTCGTGGGAGGACGCCATGCCACTTGTTGTACCGGATCAAGATGCAGGCGTACTAAATTCTAGCTCCTTGAGGCGAAAACCAGTTTCACTTCAGCAGTCGAGTTCAGATGCAGATCCCGAGAATATGTAATCCGTCTCAAAAGACTTTGGTCATCTCATCCCCTTGCTCATATTCGAGGATTGCTCCAGTTTTTCAGGAACAACAACTAGCAGAGCTTACATGATTGTCTTTTTTGTTATCGTGGTCAACGATCAAGATCAACATTTGTTAAGTCGCGATCTCCGGGAACACGAATTTAAATTGAAATGTGCGTTTTGCTCGCTGATCTCGTGTCACCATAAAAATGTTCTCGAAGAAGACAGGAGGATGTTTGGAATTAGTTTGTTGGTTAGAGCCGCAGCTGCGTGATCATTTTAGATCATCGAAAAAGATCTACTTCTGTTCTGGTCTGCATGTGAAGTGTGCCTAAGAGGTCAGGCGTGGACTGACAATCCCCCCAGTGAGAGCTCTGAAATAATGATTGTCAATCGAAATGAAACATGAAGCTGTAGTCCACACATATCGTTCTGAGGTAGTAAAGTTAAGGCACGCTAGGACAGACGAAAACCGAGACAAAAAGTATTAACTACGCATGAAAAAACTTTCGCAGTGGTACTGGTAGCACAATGTGGCTGCGATGGTAGAGGTCTTGAAGCAATGCCTGTTGATCGTCGCATGGATGTACCTCGTGATTAGTAAATATTTCTAGCGAGCAGAAATAACTAAGTATAAGGACGCTGAAACTCTCCCAGTGAGCGACCTTATTTATTTTGACGAAAAATATGTTTGCATTTTCTGGAGAATGTCAATCACAAGGTAAATTTTATTTCTGTTCCTCTTCAAGCGACAGAGTCAGAAAATGATGTCGTACGATGGTAATTTCCAGGAACACGGACAGTTCAACGGTAGTAGTGGCAGTGGTTCATCTTCGCAACAACAGCACAACCTTCAGTGGGCCGTGTTTTACGACTGCGAGAACCAGTCACCCGACTCCATCAGCCAAGTTAGTGACCACTTGTTGTCCCTCGGCGGCCGGATTTTGGTCCAGAAAGCCTACGGCGACTTCCACAAACCTTCCATGCTTCAATGGCGGAAGGCCTGCGAGTGGGCGGGCGTGGACCAGGTGCAGAAGTCGGCGTTTAACAGTGCTGGCAAGAACGCTGCCGACATGGCGCTGGCTATTGACGCGATGGAGATCCTGGTCACCCGGAGGAACATTCAGGCCATCGCCGTCGTCACCGCCGACGGTGACTTCATCCCGCTTACGTCGCGGTTGCGCGAGCACGGTCGGATCGTTCATGTGTGCGGGTCCATGAGAACTAGCAGAGAGCTCCGCACAAAGGGCTGCGATCAGTTCTTCCTATTGAAGCAGCAAGCCACACCAGGCTCTCCTTTATCCGCCCCCCTAGAACTTGCAAATAAGAGCACCAATCCGACAGCAGGTATGACGCGCCTCCCTGAGAATGAGCGCCTTATGGGCACGGCCCAACGTTCTGGAAGCAAGAGTAGTATTGTTGAGGCTGCGCCGCACGCTATTGATTCACTACTGACGCTAAAAAAAGCCATTCGTTACGTTTTAATGGGATTTGAACATCGTCATCAGTCTGAGGAGGACGGCTGGGTCAACGCCAATCGGCTGTATGAATACATGCGGAGGAAGTACACCGATCTGCAATCACAGATGATGGAGAACACTTTCGGCGTTCACAGGTTTACGGAAGTTCTCACCCAACACTGTAAAAAGCTCGAGGCGGTTTTGCGCGGCAGGGGCGTTTGGTATGTCCGCGTGAAGCGCGAAGTAATGGCACCCGCCGCGTCGGAATCGAAGCACGGGGATCGAAGCACGAATATAATACTAGGGGGACAGAGCAGTCGCACTCTCTGTGGGAACGAAGATACAGCCCCGCTTGTGTCAGTAGAGGGCGGAACTAACAAGAGACGTCGGGCAGATGTCACGACAGGGGATGATGAAGATCAGGCAAGAAGAAGTGGAAGCACCCTGAACATCGCCGGTAGCATTAGGAAGAGTGCGCAGGAATGCGGCGACACGGCAGCAAAACGAAGGCGCAAGGGGGAGGTCGCGGAGGGTGGCCCTGTCTTCAGAGAAACACACTTTGGGAACGTTGCTGACCCGCGGAGCAGTAAGGACCAAGCCAGGGCCGTTGAAGCCTTGGACTCGGCGAAGGAAGAAGCAGCCACGGACTTAAATGCATTGCATAAGTTTTTGGTCCGCCATGCTCCGGCTTCGTGGACGAGGTGGTGTGCATACAAGACTACTCTCCTGAAGGAAGGCTATGGTCCGTTAATCGAAAAACTTTGCAAGCAGCATGGGATTTCTGGAAGGAGGAGCGCCTGGAGAGATCTCTTTACAATATGTATCGCGGAGCATGGGACTAAAATCGAATTTCAAACCTTAGTTTTTGGCCGTAGTCGTCGGTCGTATATTCGCTGTTTGAAGGAGAACTCGCCTCGCGGGCAGGTGAAAGAGCAGCAAGGCGGAAGCTACACAAAAGAGAATGGAGTATTGCAACAAGAAGATCTGCAACGGCAACAAGCTGCAGGTTCCAACGACATCGTAGCTTCATCAAGTGCCGCGGACAATTTCGCACACACTACTTTCCAGGAACTAAGTTGTTTGGGCATGCTGCTGCGTTCTTCGCTGCTACCACGCAACGGGACTTGGAGACCTTACATCGGGGTTCAAAACGAGTTGAAAAGGAAAGGCTATACAAATTCCATGAGAAAGTTGTGCAAGGAATTAGGCTACACTACCGCGACTCCTAGTTCAGATGAACAGAAGATGTGGCGGACGGCCATGGGTGCAACCGCGCAAACCGGAGTAGAAGTGAAGTACACAGCTCCTAGTGGCATTCCACGCGCATATAAGGGCAGTCAGCTGACGCAGAAGCTCTGGTGCGTCCGCATCGCTAACTCTCACTTATCACCTTTCGGAGGAGCTGTGACCGCAAACGCAGGCCACCAGAATCAAAAAGCAACGTCGCAACCGCTAGACTCGCATGTTGATGATCATCAGCAAACTGAAAAAAGTGGAGGAATAGTGGATCTCGCTTCCCTCGGAGAGATCGTCAGGAACTATTTTCTGCCTGACGAGGAGATGCCAAAGCCATATGGGGAGGTCGTCATGCAGATGAAGCAAGCGGGATACGAACCGCACATAGACGCGTTAGTTGAGAGCACACCCAATGCCCGCTCGTGGCTCTCACTTTTCAAGCGACAAGAGACCGGCTTGGCGATGGAAAAAGTAGAACGCTTCTCGGATGAGAAAGACGAGAATGGAAACCCGATTCTCGAGGGCGTAGATTTGTGCTTTAGTCCGTCGGCTTCTTCGCGGACGTCCATGACTGTCGATGTCTCGGCGTCGAAGAAGAATGAAGCTACGTAGGTAAGCACAGGCTAGCTGAGACACGTTGAAGTGATGTTTCCTTCTATTTCGATCCCCGTGGTGGCGACCGCGTTCGTACATGCCCTCTCCATCATAGTCCATCTTTTGCACTCCATATTGGTTTGCTAATTCCCAGTACATGAATGCATCAAATTCCTATCCCTGCCAAATTTAGCCCCTTTCATATGTTGAAAGCCCCGAGTGATATCGTTGATGGGAGTTACCCTTGTCCAGTGATTAGATCCAATTAAATCCAGTTTTTCACATCACGCAGACGCATTATCCCTATTTCGAATATTGACACTTGGCACGAAGATGTCGCAACAAAGCTTCGCTGTACGTGCTACAAGCGAACTGGTAGTGTTCATCCTGTTGATTCTGTGCTCAAACGATTCTTGGTTGGGTACATCATTATCATCAAGTCGAACTTGGAAGTAGTAAATGCAATGTTCCAATAATGCGACTGTCCATTGTGATGAGTAATCTGTTGCCCCTAATATATGATACACAAATCAGGACGGCTCAACAAAGGACGGCCATCAAAGGAGCACAAGTGTTTTCAATCTAGAATGACAGACAAAAAAACATGAGTGTAGGATGTCCCGCCCTGTTCTAGAAAAGACTGAGAAGTTTGGAAACTGCGGGGGAATCTGTTTGTCATTTGATTTCGTTCTTGCGGCTTCGTCGCAACCACCAGCGATAGTGGAAGACGCCCTGCAGTTTCCGCAGTCGATGTCTTGAAGTCGCTTTGGAACCCATGTCTGTCGTTGTTATGAAGGCGCAATGAATAACTCATGTCGGTTGCCACACTCGAGACTCGATTGTGGTTTTTCTCGGAGCGAGAGGGAAATTTTTGAGGGAGACCAAGAAGTAGGAGAATTTCGAGTGAAGGTTGTATGGCTTTCGAACTCCCCTTTCTTATTTGAAGATAGGCAAAAAGGTAGTGATTGGTTTCGCACAAACTGTAAATATTGATGAGAACAAGTGGTTTATTAGAAAAATGAAAATGTCTCGGAAGAAAGATAGGATGTCTTCGTAGTCGTTCTAGTCCTTTCGTGAGTATCATTCATCAATTGTTTTTTATGAAAAATGTCGCTCTTCATCGTGGATGCTGAAACATGACATGCCCTTCATTTTTTGAGAAAACGCGAAGAGACTCAGACTCCTGTAATTTGCAAGTAGTGGTTGAGTACGTAGCTAATTGGATTCAGCAAGTAATCGCATGTCGCGAGACAGCCACGCCTCCGGCGGACGGCGGAGGGGGCATTCGCTCTAGCCCCGCGGTTGGCCACGTTTTAGGCCGCGCGGAACCTGAAGAGGTGCTCCATTCGTCGCGCCGTCAGAGCCGCCGCCTGTAGACTGGCAGATCTCGCTTACCGCGAAAGGCCGCGAATTGATTCCATGAACGAATTCTGTTGTGCGCGTGGTCCATTTAGAGTGACAGTCGGCGTATTGAGTACAGGGGTCGAAGCATAGACGATTTTCATCCGAAGAGCGCACTGCAACGGCTGCAGAGGCAAAATATCGATTTTTTGCTACATCTTCAAAGTTCATTTGGCTGCGACGGCTCCCCCTGTTGCACACTTTCGTGAGCTCACAACATCTCCTTTCAGCACGATTCGGGAACACTTGTCGATACACCGTTTCTGACTCGATAAACATCACTGTCTATCGTAGTCGAATCAAGCCTACAAATTCAAGAAATACAACCAGAAGTACATCTTATCGAACTACTCAACTTCTCCGACAAGAGGTCGAATCTCAGTTATCAAGTTCTCTTTGTTGTAATAAGAACCTTCTGCGAAGATGTCAGAAAATCCGGGGATCGGTAGCGTGCGCGATGAGTACGACGCGCTGGGCTACGAGCAGGATGGGGACGCACTACCTCCGTTCGCGTCGGACAAGGCGAAGGAGATCGATGCCGATATTAAAAAGGGGGAAGCGGAGATGGGAAATCTCGATTTCCACATCTCCGAAAATGCTGAGCGAATAAAAGTATTTCCATCTACTTGTAGTACTTTCTCGTTCATGCCTTTTAAACTATACCTGACTCTTCTTATTGCTTGTCCTTACTAGTCTTGATACACCTCATAATAATCGTTTGTGCCTTTTTATGTATGGCGATGAAGGTTTTTTCGATGATGCTATCTTCACTATTTCGGTTTTTTGCTCATTGTAGGACTTCTGGACAATTTTGGGGATTGATACGAAGAACAATAGCTAAAGCAACTGTGTGTAGCAAGGAAGCTCAATATGCTCTTTTCTCTTACATTGAAATCAGGTGATGGCGGAGCATCTTACGAATGTGCAGCAGGAGGTAACACTGACACAGCAATTAGTAGAAGCTCGAAGGCGAGAGATGGAAACCGAGGATCACTTCCGGCAACTAACCGTGAGGCAAGTCGGTAATTATGTTCCAGAAATTAGCCACATGAGTAGACATCTTAAAGTATTTTCATTTTGATGATGTCGCACGTATTTTCAAGGAAGTGATTGCACGACCTGCCGACTTGTGTACAAATCGATTCGTCTTGTTTGTTTTCTTTGTGAAAGGAATTTCTCATAAGAATATTCCTTCTCCGTACTATTTTTACAGGGCGACTCCAGAGTGAGGTAGTGCGCTTGGAGAAGGTCGTTGAAGAGTACAAGGACCGAAGCAACACAATTCAAACCGACATTTTCAAGGGCAACGAAAAGCTGGATCAGTTCAAGCTCGAGATGAACTGGAACCAAGAAGAGCTAGAACAGTGGGCGCTTGCCGCGCGTCAGAAAGAGGAGGATGAGATCGCCCTGGAGCGGTACCGGAGACAAGACGACCAAAAAATATCAGAGCTGACGCTGGAAATCGAAAAACTGACTTTGGAAAATAATTCAAAAAAAGGCTCTGTAGAAGAGGAGGTGACCGCAACGCAGGCGCAGCAAATCGAAATGGACAAAACCGCTGAAGAATTCAAGGTATATGGGTTTACTACAACATAGTTTTAGTTTGTTAAGGCTAAACTGACTCTTTCGGAAGATGTTTCTTTATCGATTACAAGTTGAGCGGAGGCTGTAATAGTCAATACTCTTACATCAAGGGGGACAACTTTTAATTACTATTTATCGATTACAAGTCGAGAAGGTTCACGCCACACAGTGTGAGCTTGAAACCTCTTTTCATTGGATAAAAAAGTCTTTGCTTCTATCTACCTTTTTCAATCACAGAAAATGCACGAAGAGCGGCAGCAATTAATAAAGCAGTGGGAGCAAACGGTGATCCAAATGAAGGGACAAGACGAGCGTCTAAACAAACTTGGTGAGCACTATGCCGCTGAGAAGGCCGTGGAAAAGCAAAAAGAGGGAAAACTAAAAGAAAAAGAAAGTTTTCTCAAGGACATCAAAGCCGAGAACGCGAAAGTCACGACCATAATATCCGCGTACTGCTTCGTGGACTGACTTGTTGATTCTTGAAATGAAAATCTATATGGTTTTGGATTCGGAAATATACAAATTGAAATAATACTTACAGTCGAATTCGGCCACATTAGCACTCGGTCCTGCCTTGCTTGGTATACTTTCAGATATATGAATACTCTATGGTGAAACGTCGCCCTTCAGGTCAGATCGGCAGCTTATTCGTGTGAGGCAGGATCATTTGGCAATTAAGGATGGTTTAGGCGATTTTCATGACGAAGTAGAAGTCGTGAAGGGACAGCTGGCGGGACAGGCGACTATGCAGGCGCAACAGAGAAATAAGCTAGTCAACCTGAAGGAACAAGTCGAGGATAAAAAGGTAGTGGCGGTGGTTACTTTTGGCATCATCAATGTTCAACTTTTTTGTTGAACAAAGTTGACTGTTTTTGTTTTCACAAGAAAATACAGTTGTTCCTTGCTATATTACTGTAGGAAAAGAAAAACATCCACCATGTATCATTCATTCTTCCCAAAAATCAAGTGATTCACTGTGTCTCGTGTCAATGCTGCATCCTCTTTTTTCTGTCTAGGTCCGATTAGTCTTCGTGCAGAAAAAGCTGATTCAGACGCAGAAAAACTTAGAGGACGAAAAGGACACGGCAAAAGTGAAACAGATGTCCCTAGAGAAAGCAGATGAGCTCTACAAACAGGAGATTCAAGTCCTTGCACAAGCTGAAAAAGATCTAAAGGTACTTATAACTTTTGCATTAGCGGCTAGACGGAGAAGATGAACAAGAGCAGGAGAAGTCCAAGTCGCTAGTACACCGCAGGATATTTCTGTCCGGTTCACGTTCTTGTTGAGCTTGAGCCTGACATGTGATTTTTATGTTTCTTGTACCTCATTCATCCCCTTTCAGTTTGTGAAAGAGGAGCTTTTCAAGGAGATAGAGGAGCTGAAGGCCATTCAGTCAGAGGAGAAGACATCACACGGTGAAATCAGTAGTATGACCGCTGCGGTGAAAAACCTGGGGACACAAATCGCGAAACTAGATCAAGAAAGACAACGACAGCAGGAGTTGCTCTATGCAGTTGACTTCCAGTGCCAGCTAATGCAACGGAAGGTAGCTCGAGTCAGCGGTGATGGAACCGCAGTCGGAAACGAGGAGTTTCAGGGTACTGATAGAGTTTCAACATTGATAGAAACTAATAGGCTTCCTTTGTCCAAAGAAGCACTCAACTTCGCGTTGATGATCATTACGATTTCTTTGTTAGAGTCTCACTCTTCGTCGCAGATTTCCTTTATTGTCCCATCTCGTTCTTCAAATTCAATCCACTTCCAATATTTCCGCCTTTCAGAGAAAATCCGTGTGCTGGAGGAGCAACTGGCGGAGCAAAAGCAGTTAGAGCAGCTGCTTGTCGCGCAAGTGAAGAGACAGAGTATTGAGGTCAAAACGGCAGAAAAAATAGTGGCACAAGTTACTGAGGAAGAAAAGCGTCTAAGCGCATTCATGGATGAACTTCACCTATTAACCGAAGCCGCTAATCGCGCAGTCGCAGAAGCCGTTCGAAGACTATGAGACAGCAAACGCTTAAACTTGAATCAAAGCCATGACTACCGTAGTTGTTAGTACTACCTAAAGTTTTTGTGGCAGGGTCTAAGCAGGTTACTTTGGATCTAATACTTTTGTTATGTTGCCAAATTTGTAAAAATCCTTTGTAACCTCTACTTTTCGTAGTTCTCCCACTCTAATCCTGAAAGAGGAAGTTCTGGTGCAGCGGGATCTGGTCAAGCTAGAGGTGAAGCGAATACGTGGCACGCTGAACTCGAAGACCGAGAAGGTGTTTACCCTTGAGAACCGAAAGGAGCAGCTTGCAATTTCGATGATCGAGCGAGAGAAGGAAGTTGAGTGCCATCAGGAGATTCTCAAGAGCAAACTCAAGGTCGCGGAGGATAACCGCCATAAGACAGCAATAGAACTAGCGGAAAGAACGGCGAAAATCGGAAATCTAAAGATGAAGTTCGAGGGCATCAAAAACAAAATGCCAGGAGACGGACAGCATAGTCAAGCCTACTACGTTCTCAAGGCAGCGCAGGCGAGAGAGGTAAAACCTTGCTTCTGTGACCTCCTGGTTAAACTCAGAAGAACTGCTATGAGATCCTAATTTCATGATCCATGAAGTAATTCTATCTTTCTCGTGAAACACAGGAATTGCAGCGAAAGGGTGACGAGTTGGATGCGAATATCAAAAAGGCGGAAAAAGAGGTGAGGGCGCTAGAGAACACGCTTGCTCATCTGACTCATAGAAACGACGCTTACAAAAACAAGTTTCGACAGCAAGCTGACTCAGCCGCAGAAACCGACCAAAAGCAAGTCCTCGAAGAGCAGAACCAGGCTGCCAACGATATATTGTACATTCATCTACAGATGAACAACACCTGGATTCCTCAACGCAAGTGAGAGAAAGAAGATAAAATATTGGTATGTGTATAATGTCGTGAAAATGCTTCGACCACTCGCACAACATGGCATCACATCTCGATCCTTTAATACTTCGCCCACAGGTACAAGAAAAAGAAGCAGCTTGCTGTGATTGAACAGGATCACAGCGAGGATACCATGCGATTAGAGCATGTACAACGCGAGGGTGAAAACCTAGATCGCGAGATCCGCAGTCTAATGCAGAGGAAGGATGCAATGGACGCCAGTTTGCGAACGCTCGAGGAACAAGTCAAAGCTGAAAAACGCGACGCTGTTACGACAAGTTGTAGTTCCTCCATAGATATGTTTCATAAGACGATCGCCAACAAAAATTTTCTAGTGAGCCATGTGCAACACTTTTATTGTTTCAGGACCATGTCTTCTAATAGTACTTACACCCCAGATAATCTAGATTCCTCCTTCATTCTTCGCGTGCCAGCAAAGGGAACGCTCGGATCCTTAGTGCAGACAAAGAAGGCGAATGCCGCTTTTTTGGGTGTCTTCAAGAGCGCTGTGGCAGACCATAGGCAGAAGGGCGAGCTTCTTCCAATCTACGAGAATTTTTGCCGTGAGATGGGGATTGGCGCTTAGGCTCGAAGCTCGTCTGTGAAAATCGTTTTTGTTTTTGGGTATGCCCTTCTAGACGCGACACTGGGATGTTGCGACTAGATCAAGAGTCACAAAGACTTGTGATTGCGACGCATGATTCAGCTGAGCGAAGGTCTTCATGCGATCGCAGTTACGGGTCAGATGCATTGGCGTGCGCCATGAGCAATGAGGATACTTGATGTTCTTCTAAAGTCACGAAAAATGCAAAATACCACAAGTCCAAATGTAAAAAAGTCCAAAAGTATACAGAAACTCTTCAAAATCCTTCATTGACGCTACTGAGTTTATCAGATTTTCAAGACAGTTTCCTTCGGCAAGAACTTTTAAAGTTTGATTTTGAATTGTCATAACGGAGTATCAGCTCTTTCGCCAGGCTTGAATAAGCCGGGATTTTCTGATGCCTAGCTAGTATCATCGATGTTAACAATGGATACAGTCAATTGGTGGGTCACCTGAAATTAGTCGTGGACGTGATCATTCAAGGATGACATATGTCCATCAAACGCGTAGCTTCAAACGCTTGCGTGAGAAACCATTGGTGCTTTTACTTCTGTCTATGATCGATGCCAATCCACCTTAATTGCTAGCAAATATGATTGAACTTCAGGACTCTGAACTATATGGGTCCCGCTTATCGCCATTGAGTTTTCCGAACGTAACTTGCAGAACTTGGGTAGTGCGACGCTATTAAAATGAACACAAGAAATGTCGAGTCTTCTGTTGTGATCTGATTGGGACGAGGATTTTTGGTGCAAGCAGCGAGTGGAGTAAACTGTCAGAAGTTTGCGAGAAAAGTGAGTTGGAAAAGGCTCTTAGAGAGCGAACAAATTAAAAGTGGGAGTTTTTGCAGCTTCCCTGTGCCTCACGTCTCAAAGGAATCTTAAGAACAAGTCACAATTTTTACACACCGAGTAAGTAGTGAGTGATCGGCTTCACTTCCTCACCCAATAATAACATTGCACTGGCATTATATGCTTCGTTCAAACAGAAAGCAAGTATGGAGAACCAATTAATTTTGCGGAATGAGTCACTTGCGACTTCAAGCTAAGAGCAAAAAAACTGCAGAGTAACACACATAACCTACGCATTTGCGTCCACTAAGGAACGCTCGTTGTCAAAGGATTGTGTCATAAATCGAAGCTACTTATTTTGAGGCGGGAGTGTCCCTTGAGCTTTTTCACGTGGAAATGATAGCGCAATATGCCAGGGGTTCGCCGGCACTCTCGTCACCGAGCAGCACGCGGGGCACCCGGCGAAATAAGACGCAAGAACTCTATGAGGAAGCGAAACTGCGGCAGCAGAGGCATGAAGAGCGAGATGCGATCGTTCGTCTAGCGTTGCAGGCACATGTTCGCCAGAAGACTTCAGTATCATGAATTTGGTTCGATAGTAGATATTCGATGCCTTTTCACTTCTACCAAGATGAGTGACTGTTGTTTTGTCATCTTGCGAAGAAATGGGCTCCTATGCATGGCATACTGTAGTCTAGGTTTTTTGTTTATCAGAAGAGAGCTAGCCAGCTGTTTGAAGCGAGACCTCCCACAACAGGTGTCGAACCCGCGTTCGGCGGATCTGTATCAGAGGCGGTATAAAAAAGACGTGTTGCAGGTGCTCCAAACCCTTCTCCGCAGCAAAGACACGTCCCACGGATCGCCACAGTATGGAGCAATGCCAGGTGATGAGCAAGCGACAGGTCAAAAGACGGGGAGAGACCTTCAAGATGGGAACTCTGCTAGGGGGGCAGATCCCCCAGCAGGCCACGCGGTCGCGGCGCTGTCAGCTGGGGACGATGATGATGAGACGATTAGCACGCAACTAGCGGCGTTGCGTGTGGATAGCTGGTTACTTGCCACAGCGCTGCGAGAGCTCGGATTTGTAGACGTGCCTCCAGAGCTTCGAGCGAGCCTCCTGGTCCATGTATTTGATCCTGAAGATCGCGGGAGCTTCAGAGCCGACGTCTTTCTGAGCTTCCTGCAGCGTACTCTCAGTATTTCAGCCGAAATGGGCAGACCCTCAACACAAGCTAGTATGACTGGATAGAAATAGAGGTCTGTAGTTGAGTCATTTGCCTAACAAGTGGGCCGCTAAGAGCTGCCGACTCCTCGTCTACAGAAACCATTCATCTTTCAGTCACTGTAGTTATGCATAGCTTCCTCATGGTCTTTCTTCATGCATCGCCCAACGACGCAGGCAGAGCTTTCGACAGCTTCCAGGGAAGAGCTTGAGACACTCCTCGCTCGACAGCTGCGCAAGAGCCTGATCTATGCGACTCGAGCATTCGCTACTCCGATGGGAGCAGGGAGTCTACAAAGCGGAGGATCGTCTGGCTCGACCAGCAAGCGGACGTATAGAACTGCGGCAGGAGTAAATCAGGCAAGCGGCGGAAATAGAAGCCCGTATGTTGCACACGCACAGTCGCAAGCAGCAAGTTCTAAGCAAATTCAAAGTCAGAGTCCGCAATCGAATCTCGCGCCAGACGACATGTACTACATCATGATGGAGAGGGCGAAGGTCGCCGAGGAGCGACTAGAGGAGATGCGGAAACTGAGAGCGCATGCGGAGCTAGCGGAGTGTTCCTTTCAACCAAATGCGGATCGTACTATGCGGGGACTCTCTTCAAAGAAATCCTCCGATGGCAACAACATCGTGGAGCCTGTCGACCGTCGACTCTACGACTTAGACGAGGAAGTCGATCACCGTGCTCGACTTCCGCGTGGAGGAGGACACGGACGGAGCAAAGGGACAAGTGCGGGCTCAGAAGCCAGCATGAGTTCTTGTGGCGGGGTGAAGCACCGGACGCGGCTGTTGTACGAACGAGCGTTGATCCAGCGGGAGGAAGCAAAACGACGGCAAGCGCAGAAGGAATTCGAGGACGCAGAGCGCGAAACGGAGGGATGTACTTTTCATCCGGAAACGTCGCAGTATCGAAAGGGCAGCCCGTATCGCGCGAGAAGTCAGCCGCGCAACTTCGATTCGGGTGAGCGGATGAGATCAGATTTTGCAGCACGTGCAGAGAATAGTAGCGGCCACGGCCATCGTCCGATAGCATGGTCAGACGCACCTGCGCGACCACCGCAGATGAACTTCGCGCCGTCAGACGGAGGCGGCGGCAATGCCCTTTTCCTAGCGACGGGTAGTAGCGACGGCGGAGGGATACCACACAATGAGCCAGCAGAGGACCATGTCAAGGGCTACAGCGGTTTTGTTGAGCGCAATCGACGCGCGCAGGCGAAGCGACAAGAAGTGAAAGAGCGGGAGGAGTACATCCCTGTTGGGGAGCGTTACGAAGAGCTCAGGCGGAAAGGCCCACAGCCATTCAATCTTTCAGTCTCAAACAGGAGAAGTGCAAGTGCAGCAGCCATTAAAGGGTATAGATATAGAGGGTCCTCTCTTTTTGACCTATGGTGTAAACGATGCGTCCTTACCTGCAACAGAAGAAATTTCTTGCAGACAGCGAAACCCTTGAAAAATAGTAGCAGAGCTAGAAGATGATGAGAATTAAGGATGTGCTCTTGCGCCCACCTCAGTCTCTCTCCTCCTATTTGAATTCACAGCTGGCAAGAGCTCGTAGAATTTTCGGAGAAGCCGGATATCATTGTTGAAGTCAAGATGGCACCTGGGAAATTAGGTCGAATAGCGCTCTATTGTGACGACGACCCGTTACAAGTTGTCACCGAATTCTGCAAACACTATGCTTTGGATGATTCAAGGTAGAAGTTGTACATTGTTCGGTGAAAGCGTCGAATGGAGTTTGAGAACGCAAAGCTTTTTCATACTCTTCATCTGATCATTCTGAAGGTTTGCGTTATACATTAGATGAGAGGATAATCTCTCTTACGATCTAACAAAAGCGATAGGAATCATCTGTTTGATTTTTAAATTCATTCAGGCGAGCCCGCCTCGAGAAAACTCTGCGCTCCGAACTGAGCCGTGTACAGCATGAAAGTGGGAGCGTCGGGGAGGATCAAATCTCGGACTCGATGCCCCCCGAGTCGCCACCTCAAGAACCAGGGACTAGCGGACCTCCAATACCGGCTTACTCATTTTCTGCAGAGCAGGTAATGAATAACAGAGAAGCCGACAGCACAGGAAATGCCAGGACAGAATCAGAAGGTACCAAGTATTTTCTTCACCCATGATTGATTTTCTTTTAAGAACTTGTAATTGAATGATTTTTTGTTACGCATTCCAATTTGCCTTTTCGACTTTCCCCTTCACATTTGCACGTCGTAGGTGATGTGGAAGCTGGCTTTGTGCAAGCACAAGGTCCACGGCATCCGAGCATGACGACACCAAAGATGCAGTCTCCACGTTCGACTGCTAGCTCACGAGCAAGAAGCGTGACGCCACGAGGCGCCGCTGGAAGTGCGTCTGTTTCGGCAAAAGAAGCAGGTGGACCTCGTCCACATACGAGCAATTTTAAAGTCAATGGTACTGGTACAACGAGGGGCGCGGACGTACTTGAGTTTGGGCCAAACGGCGACGGTTCACGAAGTCGAAGTTTCGCATCTGCTGCGAAAGGAGGCGAAAGAAGTGCGACGCCGCGCGGTGGGAAGGGCGAGACGCCTATTTTTAGAGGAAACGGAGGCGTCGTTGGCTTCGCAGCTTCTTCTTTGGGCAAGGGATATACTCCAAGAAGAGGCAAAGGCACGCCGCGACACCAGATACCGCCGCAACTAGATTCGAGCGCGCCGTCACGAGTGATTGTAGCCCAGCGCCCACCGACAAAACCGCAGCGGGATATAAACGCTACGCGAATTATTAAAGCAGAGAAATTCAGAGAAGAAACCGCGGCACGTGCTGAAGCGGCGTCCAGGTATCGCGCACCAACTGTTTCCTCCATGCAAGGTTACCACAATCGCGTGCGCTCAGAGCTGGCTGAGGCATCGCGGCGGCCTCCCGAGGCGGAGACGCCTCAATCGAAGTTTTCGCCAGCGAAACAACGGCCGCGAAGCGCAGGGCCCTTTCGAAATGCAAGCACGCCACGCAGTGCTGCACAGACGAGGAAAATGGCGTATTCGGCTGACGAGAGGCTCGACGGTGTTGTAACGGACTCAAGGAGCAAGGGTGCTTACCAGGACGACCACGAGCAACAGATGGGGTCCCTCAGCGCCTCAGCCTCGTCACATGGGCGTGCGCGACCGCCAGGCACCTCCTCGTCAAACGCGGGGAGAGATAATCCCTCACCAACGCGCGCTGCCTCTCACTACTATCCTGCACGGCGCAACAGCCTTTTGCGCGACGTTTTAGCGACGGCAGAGACGGATCGGAGAGGCGCTGTCGATTTGAACGACCCAGGACTTCTTCGAGCGCATCAGAGGCTTAATGAGGGACCCCATTACCGAAGGCAAGACCGTGATACTACTCCCAGGAGTGAACGCTGAGACCTAGAGGTTCGGAACAAGAGGTATAGCGCCAAAGTGACTTTGCCAGCTGACACGTCCCTCCGTAGGTTTGATGGTAGCTGTTAGTGGTAAATCAATACAAAATGCATTTAGGCAACCGCCGCCTTATCAAAAAAATATCAAACTTGACGACACCGCTGCATGTACAATAGGACCTATGTTACACTTAAAAGAAGAGGAAGTAGACCGACACTTTGAGTAATATTCACCCACTAAGACGCTGTTATTTTCACCTAGTTTTCTATTTGTTCTTCGCCCTGAAACTCACACTTTGCTTTGCTACGCCCAAAATTGTTCATGTGTATGACACTCCAGATTTGAAAGATCACGCTCGCGCGCGTATTTCTATCTAATTGCTTTGTAGTACTAGTCAAATTCCGTGGCTGATTTGTTGTACTGGCTTGCCGAGCCCCTTGAACATTTCATTCCATCATCGCTGCCCCGCTGACATTCTATGTCGAGTGTCATAGTGATAGCCTGATCAGAAACTTCATCCTTACAACTAGAGTACTTCGCTCGGCGAACTAATATGGCGTAAACATTTTGTGGTAGCATTTTTTTACCCCGGTAGGAGCTGAAGAATTCGAGACGGGTGCGAACATGGATTTCATCCCTTGACTTTATCCCCTTGGGTAAGCCGAAACTTTGAACTTCTACGTAACCTACTTATCCTCGACGTGCATCTATAGACTTGCTCCTCGTTTAAGGATGCACATTTTAACGCGCAATTCCATCGTAGCATGTTGTGTCGTGTCGTCCTATAGAGTCTGATGATGTAAGGCGGCTACTTCTGCCGTGCGTTTGCATACTGGTTCTAGCGCAATTTTTGGTTATACTTTTGTAAGCGTCGTGATTCTTGAGTGTCTATCGAAGATCCCTTACTCTGATCAACCCCAGTGACTGTAGATCAAGCGTGACTCGCCAGCGATAGAGAAGTGTCACAAGAGAGGGAATAATGATGATACTGTCAGAGTTGTGCAAAAAATGTACACGACAGCTAAGATCCAAGATCCGATAGCAGCATGAGGGCGTTAGACTGCGCAACAAGATCCGATAAGTAGTTCGTTGGTAAAAAAAGTAGTAAGGTACTCTTAACAGCTGAGCTGATTGTTAATGTGATAAGCTAAGCGTCGTTGCGTGTCGCGCTTTCTGGGTTACGCACTAAGAGGCTGGTCTACATTAGCTTCCCCACCCTGTACTTGTGGTTTGGTGTACAATGAGATTCAAGTGGTCAATTGAATTCTAGAACTGAAATTGACACGACAGGGAATTGATGTTTTGTTGAGAATGTTTTTTTCGGGTGTCGTTGTTTAGCTTTGTTTTCTTAACCTTTTTGAGTCCCTCTAGTTGGATCGTGAGGAATAGCAGTTGAGAATAGAAATCTTCGCATGCTGAAGTGATCCTTTTCTTAGTGATCCCGTGAATGAATCCATAGATCTCCTCGTTAACCATCTTTTGCGAATACATAGGGCAAGCATGACGGTGAGGTCAAGTACGACGCTTCCATCATCCTGCGGGATGCGGGGGAAGCAGCTGATGGCTCTGCCTTCACGATTCGTGATCTGGGAAATGAATGGGGAAGAGCCGCTGGAGTTCACCTTGGCAGAATTACGGGAGTACTGCGGCAAGAACAGGGATGAGATCGATCCCTTTACAACATGGACAATGTGGAAACCTCCGGCAGATAATAGTGACCTTTTGAATTGGGGCAGCTTTCGACGGTTTGTCGCGTCAAAGCTGACGGAAAGGATCAGCGAGCGGGCGAGTGCGTTTGGTTGCCATAATTGTGCGGGAACATCATATGAATATAGTTACAATAATCCAGTTGAAGGACAATCTCGCGGCCCTTTTGGCCGGTCCTCCGTGGGTACAAGTGCGACTGCCGCGGGGCCGCTGTGGGTGCCGTATTCGCTCCTGAACTTCGTGGTCGTGGGTGACTCTTTGGATACTGATCTTTCCAGTGTCGGGGATGATGGAGGAGACTGCGAAGAAAGCGGCCTTGGGCGGCTCGTGGATCCGCGTCGAGTACCAGTTGGAACCCGTCGTCGCGAAAACGACCACTATACAGTTGGCTGCGAAGAATCAAGCAGTCAGCCGGTCGTCACCGATAGCCAGTGGCTGTTGGACGTGCTGATCCACAACGGCGTCACGCTGTCTGCGCCAGGAGGAAGCGGCGAGTTGAGTACTGCGGCTAGTCCCAGAAATGTTGAGGCTCTCGAAGTAGAGCGCGATGGCGCCAAGACTCTGGGAGTGAACAACCAGGAAAGTTCCAATGAGGAGGGACAAATTAGTTCTCTGTCGACCTCCTGTGCGTCAAATAAATATTCGCCGACAGTGGAAACGCCCTCGACAGACCTTGACGCGTGCACCCCGCGTCCCTCAGAACGTACTTCGGACGAAACACCGAGTGCGGCGGCAAAAACGAAAAGCACACCCGGTCAAGCAGGTGAGAGCTGTGGCCACTTTTCACCTGCTGTTGTAGCAACAAACGATTTCAAGAAGACCTTCGTTGGCCAGTCGTCTGCTCGGGCATCGCAAACTAGTTTTCTACAGCATCAGCGGGATGAATGTGGGGGGACGGTGGAGCTAATGGCAATCATCGCGCAGGCACAAAAGCGCAGCGTGGATAACCTGAGGATGTTTGCCCGCTTCAAGCCGACTGCTATGCCCCCGTTGGTAATTCTACAGCGCATCCGCCGAGTTTTGCCCGAAATCACAGAAGCGATCAGAGAGGAGGCAGAGAAGTTCTTCCCTGCCAGCAAGTCATTAGGGCCAGAACGAGAACGGGCACCGCCGCCGCCACGTCCATTCGACCTTTTCAAGCTCATCGCAGCAAGACCGATCTGGCCGTTGGACAGCCCGAACCCGACCGCACTGGCAGACTACCATCAGAGTTTACAAGTGCTCTGTGCGCTGCCGCAGGATCTGCCTGTGGTCAAGACTACCAAGCAAGCCAATCAAGACCCATCACGCGACCGCGCATTAGGTTCCAACAGGCGGCCCGAAGACACTACACAGCCGATTTCTGGGGAGCGGTTTTCGACACCCAGTCCATCTCGTCCGTCACCTTCCGGAGAAACTGGTAACGGTTCTCAGTCTGGGTACGCAGGCGGTCTCCCGGAGCAATGGTGCGATTTGCTCAGCGTGGAGTCTCTTTTAGAGGAGCTAGTGTATTTGATGCAGGACGAAGACTTCTCGCGTATTGAGACGGGCTTCATCTGGCTGGACTTCCTTACTTACGGGCCGACGAATGATGCGGGTCGATCGGCGCTGATGGCTGCGGCGTCAGTGGCGAGCCTGCGAGTGGCGCGCCGCGTGCTGGAAAGGACGCCAGCTTCTATCGTGGACACCGTGTATTGGGACACGAAATGGAGTGTCATGGACCTGGCTATGGACGGGCAGTGCGGTGGGGCATTCGGCGAAGCCTTTGTGTCGGCAGTGCTGCAAAGGCGCGACCTAGCGCTTCCGCGGTCGGTGAACAGTTTTGACATCGGCTGCTATTCTAGTTTTGAGTGGCTTGTAGCGAAATCGGGTTCGGAGGGTGCGCTAGCAATTCTAAACCGCCCAGAAGTCGAGGACTCCATCCTCGTTTTGCGAGCTGCTGCTTACTCCCACAGCGATTTGCAGCCAATTGTGTTCTTCTGCCGTCAGACTTTGATGCCTACGGCTCCATGGGATCTTGATGTCCTCCAAAAGCGAGTAATTCCGGACATCCATTACAATCCAGACTCCTCAACCCCGCCAAGTTCAACAGAAATTGAAAAAGGAAGCACCTCGATTGAGGAGGGTAAGAAAGTACTGGCAGACAAGCCAACCACAGTGGGACGTTCCTTGCCAAAGAGCGAGATAGAAAAAGACAAGCCAAATAAGAGTAGTGGAGCAGACAAGTCCAAAATCTGCGGATCAAGAAACGGTTGCGGCATTGTCGGGCGCATTCCGATTTCTTCTTCTATCGACCTAGACCCAGCAGTAAGGCATTTGCCAACGTTTGCGTTGTATCTAGCTAAATTCTATGAGCGCCCGGGACTCGATCTGGTGGGCGAAGTTGTTGATAACAAAGATATGCATGACCCAGTCTACGCACGCTTTGTCACCGCGCGAGGGTGGTATCGGCAGAAGCTTTGTCCTATGATGTTAGACGTAAGAGAGTTTTTGATACAGAGCCAGCTTGATCCCGATATGACTGATTGTCCGCCGGACAGCGTCGCGGTAGAGCGTCACAGAACTGCGACTACGCTAATCCGGGAAAGACTGGCGCAAGCTGTTGCGCGAGGCGACACGGCGGATCGTCAAGTGGCACTGGAATGCTCAGCCGAAAATAAGGTGTTTGGCCCGAAGTCTATTGCCCAGGGATTCCAATACGCTATCGGACTGGTGCTACAGTGCTTATATGAAGCTGCTGCGCAAAATTTCTTTGAGGGTGTAAACGCCGATGGACAACAAAGGCAAATAATGATTGTATACGAACAAGATGGATCGTCTGCCAACAACGATGAAAATATGCAACATTCGACGTTCTCCCCTGCTGCGCCGGGGGATGCTTTTTCGGATACCAAGAGAAAGGAACTCGTTAAAAGGGTGTGCCGTGCGGTGCCTTCGCTCGCAGTGTGGGAGAAGCTAGCGGAGGAAACAATAGAAGACGTCGTCGCGCACTACACAACGCCCCCAGCTCAGAATAGCCGCGTGTTGAATACAAGTGAGGACACAGTAGGTACTTCTTCAGGCGCCTGTCCGGACGTTTCTCAGGCTATACAGCAAAGCACCCCAGAACTGTGGGAAGGAGCAGGAAGAGCAGAAAGCCCAGTTCGGAGGGGATCACTAAATGAGGCAACCCCGGCCACACGTAGCTGGTCTTTTACTCCACACTTTGGTGCGCAAGCATCTCTGTTGTTCGACGTTGTGGGGGTGCAGATGGCCAAGACCAACATTCAAGAAATAGCTGCTGCGAAGGCAACAAGTTTAGTCCCCGACCCGCAGAAAAAGATTACTAGAGGACACGCAACGCAACACGGAACAGGACAGCAGAACCAAAGCTCGACACCGAGCATAGATGGGAGTAGTGCCCGTCCCTCAATAAATACCTTGACAGACGGTGTGGTTACTACTTTTGGCAGAACTCTTTCGACAGCCTCTAGGCCTGCGAGGAATAGCTACACTGCCGGTTCTCCGCGCCGAGAGCAGGGATTTCTTGACCGTAGCGGAAGCTTGTGGTTTTACAATAGAGCATACGATAGTTCGCGTCCGAGTCTTGCGGCCTGCATACCCGATGAGAAAGAGCAAATATTGCGCAGAGGTCTGGAAGCCGCCGCGCGAAAGGACATTGAGGCGCGCACGTATCAAATCTTGATGGAGAAGCGTGCGACTTATCTAGAAAACTTTGCGGAGCACCTGCGCTCGTGGCAGCAAGGCATACAGGACCACATGCCGGTCGGAACCCCAGCACAAGCTGCGAAGGAGGCCGCGAAACAGGCCATCGCGGCGGCACAGGCCCGCGCAGTAAGGACGAAAACCTCCGAGGTGGAGGTCAAAAAATGCTGCTTATGCCCGAAGCGCATCACGAAGACCCCGTGAAATTTGATTGATTAGTTCATTAGTATAGTGGAGCGATCCTCGTCCCCTCTTTTGTTCCTGTTTTCTTCTTCCTTGGTTACTTATGTCGTACCCCTCTGTCCTCTCCGATGTGCTTACACATTTGGTGCTCCACTCGTTTTCGTTTTCATCGTCGCAAGGCAACAAAGAGTGCTCTTTACAGACACGCATCCATGTACTAGCTCATCTCGGCCCGAACAGTGTGTGTGATTCTCTTACTGTAGTTGATATGAATGACAACATGAGCCGCCTGCCCATCAGGCCCAATGTGATGGATTCTCGTTTGTATAAGTGCCCGCTTCGTCAAAGAACCTTGAATGCTGAAAGACATTGAAATGTGTTTTCTCACAGAAGACACTGGTAAGAAATCCAGACAGACGGACAAACAGACAGACAGAAATGCAATTGGCGCATGACTAGTGCGCTTAAAGCAAATGTGATCACGTTGAAAATGATTTGTTCTTGCGTGGCGAATGGAAATCCGTACACTGTAAAGTTTTTGGCAGTCACTATGAATACGACTGGTCTTGGTGGTGAATAAACTGAAGCTTTCTCTCTGGAAACCTGACACAGATTTACTTCCAACCAAGCACTTGAATAAACAGAAAAATATTTGGCTGTAGCGCCTTTACTAAAATATCGAAGGCGCCGACTGTTTCTGTTGCGACAAGAGAGATGACATTACACATCCGAAAAACACAAAACAGGCTCGCGCAGCAGTACGGTTTTAGTAAGTGTATATAAATGTTGATTAGATCATCTTCACGCGTTAGTGTTTGCAATTGACTTTTTGTGTTTCTTCGCGCCTTACACCGATCCCGAACGATCGGGCAATGAATAGGGTGCAAATCAAGCACGCATCATCAAGCGATGACACGTTGTAGCACAAAAGCACGCGCCTTTTTGCGAAGAGAGACAGCCTTCGTTTGGTTCAGAGTGGATTTTGCATAATTTTCTTTTCTCACTACTAGAAAGTCAGATAATATGCAAGGAGACAAAATTCTTCTTGACGCAGCTTTACTATGTGCGCGATGTATGCGACGTAATTGATATGTGCATGGGATTCGAAACAACTAAGGGTAGGACTTTATGATCAGGAAATATAGAAGGTTGGTACTTACTCAGTAAAAGAAAAAGGAAAATAATGGAGAATCCATTTTCACAAGGCGGGAGCGATCCCTGGTTTCAGGGTGGCTTCCAACAGGGTGGCTCATCGAGCTCGTTTCCGACACATCCAATGGCACAGCAGCAACAGCAGCCAATGGGAGCGATGGGGCAGCCAGATACGTTTACAGGCGATGGCGGCGCCGGAGGTATTCCCTTTTTTTTTAGATGTGTACTGGCGATTCTCTAGGTACTTAATTGCTTTATTATACTTTCTTTGTATCCTTTTTCTAGATCATCATTCAGACAAAGCCCACCGCATTTCAATTTCTCGCCACATTTCAGGTGACGGTGAACTAGGCATCGAGAACGAACCGCCTATCCTTGAAGAACTTGGAATTGACATTGATGCCGTGATGCAAAGGATAAAGGTACAGTTTTTACTCTAGAAGTGCCATTTGAGATCCGAATATTTTCTTGTAACATCTTCGAGTAATAAAGCTACTACTCGTTATTTGTACTAGTTGTATATTTAAGTCGCACGTCGACGGTTCGTCGTGTAGTGCTTTCGTTACCATTCCGTGTGCGGGGTGAACTTTTCGTTCTTATTTTACTTATAGAGTATGATAAAAGTAAAACTAACAATCTAATTTCCAGGCCGTTGCACTTTTGAGACCCTTGCCACAGCAGATCGTATTAGAAGGCGATCTCACGGGTCCGGGTTTGATTGTAATAGCGCTAATGGGCGCGATGCTTTTGCAGGGGAAGATACGATACGAGGTGATTTATACGTTGGTGACCGTGTCTTGTATGGTCTCTTACCTCCTGATAAATTTGATGGCGCAGAAAGGAGGCATTGACTTGTATTGCGTCATATCAATGTTCGGCTACGGTCTGATGCCCATCGTCCTCCTCGCTTTCCTGTCAGCCTTCATCTCGTTTAAGGCATACGCGGTGGTTGGCACTGTCGCGGCACTCGTCACAATAGCGTGGTGCACAGCTTCTAGTTCGCGCTTTGTCGAAAGTGCACTGGATAGCCATGACCAGCAGTACCTTATCGCCTACCCGACTGGGCTTCTTTACGCTCTCTTTGTTGTGGTCACCATTTTCTGATTCGAGGGACGGCTAGCAGCTGCCCAACAGCACCATCGTACCGACGAGCACCAAAGGACGACGCGCCGAAAAGGGAAATAGCGCAGCGGACCCTACGAAAAAGGTCTTTCCGCTCGCCTATAATTATCGTGGTGTTTGCGTCAAAGTCTACCTGTGCGCGTCCTCTATAATTCGTAGAGCCCCTTGTGTATCAGAATCTTCCAAGGAGACCCAGTCTGACTTGCGCACTCGCCGCAAAGTCCCTCCCTGTTTGCGCGTCACTCGAGAAAGCCTCTCGAGCATCGTATTACCCTACTCACCTGTATTTCCTTAGGAAACGCTAGACAAACAGCGACCGACGACATCTGAAGAGAGCGTGGATTGCATGTATTATGATCAGCGCGGCCAACAAGAAAGTCATGCGACACCTCTCATTCCGTAGTTACAGTGTTCCTGGATTCAATGTGACGTGTCCACCTTCATCCTGTGTTATTGTGTTCCAGTAACATTAGACCTTAATATTTTTTTGAAGTACGGACGAGCCGCCATATCATGTTAAGCTTCAAATTGGACGAGAGAAAAATATGGATTTGAAAATAGAAAGAAGACTAAAGAGCCGAAAAAAAGCGAAAGAAATTTGAGTATTGAACCCGCTCTGTTGAGAGACAAAAGAATACAAATTTGTGGTGATTCTAATGCTCGCAGGTCTGCAGTGAAAATTTTTAGTGATGATTTTTTTGAGGAAAGGAGACTACCCAAGTGACCCTTCTCCCAATGCACTCACTCCCGTTTGTGAGACTTGCCCGTGAAGAGGCTTTTCCCTGTTTGTTTTTTCAGTAAGTGCCATTCACCCTAATATGGGGAGGAAAGAAAAGACAAACCGCTCTGAGTTTCACAGCTGAGCTAGTTTTTTAGAAACAAACTATTAACTCAAAGATATCTTTTTATATTTTACGCTTCTTATTACTTATGTAAGAACACCTGAATTGATCCGTTCGTTTCCTTGAATTCATCTCCCGTGCATTTTTGCCTGGTTTTCAATCATTCGACGGTGTTTGCAATCAAAGTTTTAGATGGACGCAAGAAAAGAAGCCTTCCAACTGGGCTGGTTTCAACACTATGGCCTAGGCGTTCATGCTGCCGAAGAAGCAGGCGCTACCGAAGGCGGCAAGGAACCGCAACGAACCGCATATCGCGACGAGCATGCTCCTCTACGCAAAGGCATGAGGCGAGGCTTATGCGACCACGAGAGAGATGCGGCGAAGGGCAAAAATGCGAGGAGTGAGATATGCGACTTGCAGGCCTGCGGGAGAAGCCAGGCCGAGGCGAGGAGGCGGCGGAGAAAGAACGCACCATGCACCGCAATCGAGCGCTCGTGTGCACTGCCAAGCGAGTCGGGCATAGATAGCTGTCACCTAGGAGCCATGCGGCCAAACCGGCTTGTCGAGGTGGAGCCTGCCTCGAGGACTGCCGTAGGTACACCGGAGAGAGGCAGATTAGGTGAATGGAGTAGAGAGGGTAGCGGGATGTCACTTGTAGTGAGACCACGGCGGAAAAAAAGGAGGAGGCGCGATCATGATAGCGGAGGTGGGACCAGCGCAAGGAGCCTTTTAATTTCTGCACAGACGGCACCGTTTTGTTCTAGTGTATTCAGAACGAGCTACGATTCCTGCGAGCAAGCGGCGCACGCAGCGTCGTCTTTCTCGCACGACGAAGCGAAGGCTGATGTGCGACTTAGCGAAAGTGAGCAAGACGCGAACTCGTCTCTTAGCATAATTATTTTTAGATTAACGTCAAGCAAGATGATCACACCTACAGCCCCTCGATCACCATTTGCACGCCGTGCAACGCAGTCCCTAGTTTGCCTCCTCCTGTCCCTGTTTGCTCTCCCAGCAGTCGCTTTCCCGACTTTTACCTCGTGGACGATAAAACCGAATACGGATCCTCATGCCGGTCAAGTGTTTCATGTAGAAATTACCGGAACCGACGTAGATACAGTAAATAACAGAGTGGCGGTTATGGACTTTACTGATGGCTCGACTACCTGCGAGGGCGCCAACTTGGTGGCTGACTCAACCGTGGACACCCTTGACAAGGTGAAGACAACGGTGTCTTGTCAAGGTACTGAAGAACATTATGGCATGTTTTGGTCCATTTGAGATTTTCGGAGGCAATTTTTTTATCATTATTGTCTTTACAGAAATATTGAGAATTTGTTATCGATACTAGTGCTATCTTATAGGTCTGGTCCTCTTCTCCATCATATTTTCACTGCGCCAGGTGGAAACTCTGCCCCAACGCGGCTAGACTGTGGTCCGTTTGTGGTGTACAAACAGACGGAAAACTTAGGATTTTGTGTATGCGCAGCCACCGCAAGTAGACCGGTTCCGTCCTGCACCTCATCGTCGGACTACACCTACGGCTTTGCACCAAGATTCGCAACCAAGGGGCCAACAGGAATTCAGATCTGGGCTGCGCAGGTTTTTATCATATCTTGTGTTTTGTAGGTTGGAAAAATTGTTGTAGCTGGAAAAATGATTTCCCGATAATTTTTGTTGTATCCGTTTTCGGGTGTCGTATCGAGTCGAGTTTCTGTTTTACTTTTCGAACAGAAAACACAAGGAAGTGTGACTAATATTTTTTTTTTCGCACCGCGGATTCACAGATGAAAGTGTCGACTTCGTTTACCGTCGAGGGCACAGGACTCGGAGGCAGCGACAAAGTGATGGCTTTAGAAAAACTTTATCATCCCACCTGCCGCAACTTCGAGAGCACGAGCGCGACAGGCAACACGATGTCTTCCCATGTGAGCAATTTCGACGGTGTACGGGACGGCGGTAGCGGAGATACTAGTGCGCGATGGGACAGTGTTACGATGAACAAAGTAGCGCAGTTTATCATGTGCTGGTGTGGCGGTGCGCGTCAAGACTGCAGCGATTCCTCCCAGTTTACGACCTATGCTGGCGAGATCACAGTAAATGGCCCCACGCCGAGCAACCAGGAGCGCTTTTTCGTATTGGGCTCTGGCAGCAACTTGCAAGTGCTTGGTGTTGGTTTGCGTGCCTCCGACCGGATCCGAATCGTGCATAACACGAATGTTCAGTGTGGCAATAGCGGAGCCGGGAGCAACATTGGCGCGGTAGATCGAGGTGCCGACGGCCTTCCGGCTTTTGTAGACAGCAGCGTCTCACCGGCAATCGCGCAATGGGCCGATGTGAGCATCACCACCGCGGGAACCTACAAGGTGTGTTGGTGCGGTATGATGGCGGTCGACCCCGACGGTTGCACAAGCGATGCCCACTTCAACGTCGACGCCGGAACGATTGTAGTCTCAGGGCCAGATCAGGGCGGGACGTTTAACCCGATCCTCGGGGAAAAGTTTAGTGTTGCAGTAACGGGACAGGGCATGCACGCAGGAGACCGGTAAGAACGTTCGGATGGTCTAGAATTGAGATCAGTCATACTAGGATTATTATAAAGTTTAAAGGCGAAATGAGATATTCGAGCTTTTTGTATTTTCTGTTGAATAACTTACTGATACCTCCATCAACATATACCAGGGTGATTCTATCGGAGCAGTCTTGTGGTAACGTCGCAGTTTCGTCATTGGCCGTTTCGCATCCACCTCTTCAGCAGGCAGATGAGCGGTCCGAGGTTCGCAATGTCTGGCACAACGTAGTCATTGTCGAGAATAAGAATTTGCGGTTATGTTGGTGTGCAAGAGCTGGTCTCAGCTGTGACTCAGCCGAGAAGTTTAATTCGCGCGTTGCACTCTACAGCCCCTATGGCGTTGAGAATGTAAACCATTTCGTGAACATTGACAATGCCGTGAAGGGGATGCCATTTCCTGTGCGACTGCAGGGCTCTACAGCATCCGGAACATCGATTTTCTTTGCTCACTCACGCATTCGAGTTCTACGAACGAGCCAGGTGGCGAAGTGCGGTGACCTAGGCTCTTCTAGTATCATCAGTGCAATAGAGAGAACAGTTTGCTGGGACTACTCAGAATGTCGCACTTCGGGTGTCACGCGCGATGGTCCGACGGAATTTGACCCCGAAACGTACGCCTTGTTCGATCCTGTGGCATTGCGAGAAGTTGGCACTTTTATGATCTGCTTCTGCTCAGGAGCCGGACCAGGGTAATTAATGTTCTTTCAACTTGTTTTCGTCCGTCGTGTATCTTCTGTGCTAATGATGTTTGAGCTTGATAACTACGAATTATTCCGTTTATGATTTATTCCGTGACCTTTCTTGCAGGCAGTCGATAGTCTGTAATACACAAGATTTATTGCCTCGCTTTGGTTTACGATGACTGACTCTCAGTTTCTTCGAAACAAATTTTCAAGGTCTTCTGCAAGCAAGTGCACGCAAGACGCAGACTACAACATCCGGGTTGGCACAGTCAAGGTGACAGGAATCGAGACGAATAGTGAGGCCTGGGTCTGTACACAGAGTGGTGAGTCGAGCTGCAAAATAGATATCATATCGAGAAAGCCGTCGATGAATGATAAGGTACATTTTTACTTAGCAAATCTGACTGTGACTTTATTTTGCTGGACGAAGCCGTTTTTTTTCAAACAAGGACTGCGAAGGCGGGAATACTACACTCATATACACCCTTAATTCCTAATACTAATTGGCTCACATTCCTTATCCACACTACTGCTACTCTTGTTTTCACTTGTTCGCAACAGCTTTCTTCCTGATTAGATAAAGTAGCTATAGATAAGGACTCCATATCCACCATTAGTTAGTCGGATCCTGACCTGAATGCTTCCGCAGGTACGCCTGATTGCCAGGGATGGCAATTCAGCGTGTTCGAAGTCTGAGCGTGCGGATCCAACGTCGTTTACTCTAGGAACGCAGGTTTCACCTACCCGGATTTACAACGTGACTACGCTCGGAGGCGTGCAGATAGGAAAGCAGGCATTAGAGTACAACTTCGGGATCGCCGCTCGCACAGGCTCCTACGCGGTTTGCTACTGCCAGGACTACAACGGCTGCTCACAAAACATGCACTTCTTCCAGGAGGCAGGCACGATCTCAATTGCAGGTGTGAGCGGGGCGCAGGTACAAGTGAATGAATACATGAAGATGTATGAAAAATTTGTTTTCCGTAGTCTTTGCTCATCAGGAAGAATGAGGACGCTCTTCTGGAGCAGATTAGCGTAATGCGGATGTCGTGATTAGACAATCGTGTGCTTAAGCTCCTTTTCTGATCTTCATCTCTTTCTTCAATCAGGCCGCTCAGTTCTGTTTCGTAAATGAGCCTTGTTCTGCGCGTATGATCGGCACGCTGTTGGACGCTGGGTCGCGCATGCTGCTGCTTGACGGGTCAGAGAAGCAGGATAGCTGTGGCAAGCCCGGCAAACTCGTAACTTCGCATCATTTCTTTCGGCATGAGCAGGTAAACTTTCAGTCGCCACCCTTATTTGGATTCCGAGTGGACACAAATTATGGCAGGCTGGAATTTTTTTGGACACCGTTCGGATGAGAAGATTAGACTCTATTCGAAGATGATTTTTTCCGCTGACTGTAAGCGTGTTTTAGAGCAATGAACTGCCATGACCGGCTCTTCTAATTCAAAGGGAACCTAGGCAACAGCGTCGATTTCCTGGACTACACCTTGGGCGAGCCGGAGGTGATCACAAATTACATCATGTGCTACTGCGATCACACGCTTACGCCTGGTGCGGCCAAGGCTTGCGAATACCAGGAGTACTTTACGCAATTCGCTGGATACCTCTACGTGCGCGGTGTTGATACTCGACTGGCAATGAGCTGTGAGCAGGGTGGTGCGTGCGAGTTTAGTATTGTTGGTCCGGTGATGACAGCGGCTGATCGAATCATGGCTATTGATATGGTGTTCGACGACGCTGGCAGCGACATCACGCCAGACGACAAAAAGTGCATACATTTTTTCTTGAAGCGTCCACGTTAGTGTAGCCTTGTTAACTGCATCAAGAATCTTAATCTTTATTCTTCAACGTCAAGTCGAGCTTTGATTTGATAGATCGTTTAAGTCATCATTAAATATCTTCTTCAGGTGTGGGCAAGCGCATGCGACGCAAGTGCGGGATGGTTTCTTTCAGCCAGGCAGCTTGATCGCTCCGAGTAACATCGATTTGCAGGTCGTCAGTCTGGGCGGAAAAAGTCGAGCGAACTACAAGTGGACTGGGGTAATTTATACATGTCGCTTATTGTCGTCTATTGGATCTTTTTGATGTACTAGCTCTGTCGTTTTAGTCCAGTCTGACGTATCTAGTGTAACGTGTGTCTCTCTTGTGGAAAAAATCGTTCTTATACTTGCAGGTTGTTAATCCGGGTAAGTTTCGGCTTTGTTTCTGTCCCGGAATTTCTGGCAGTCAGAGCCATACCTGTGACGCTCCAGCACAGTTTCATCTGGGACTAGGTACGGTTCGAGTTCAAGGAGTAATCTCAGATGTCCAACCCGGAATTTTGCCGACGAACAACGTGGTCTCTGTCAAGGTCTTAGAAGTTTAGTGATGGAAATTTTGAAATACACGACACATTTGAAGTTCTTCCACTAGTCACTAGAGTTGGAGTGAGAGATACTCAGCGCACGTAGTTCCCAGCATCCTTTTAAGGATCGCAGTTACTATTACACTAGGTAGAGAGCACGAACCCTGGAAGCCGTATTGGCTGTGTCGTGACCCTGGAGACGATGTATACAGCGGCTCGCGGTCCGGATCTGAATGATCTGATGTTTTGCGAGGATCGGGGGCTCTCTCGAGGCAGCGGTAACTCGCCAGAGACCATGTTTCCGCTCTGCGTCGGCCGGCAGGAAAACACGGATTTGACGGTGATGGGCTGGAACAACGTGAATGTTGAGATAAAACTCGACAGCGTGGAGGTAGCCCGAAGGCGGCTTCCGGGAGGCAACACTCCTGACTGGTACGTTTGGTGCTATTCTGCCAGTGGGTGTTCTAGCAATCGCTGTGTGATGCCACCGACATGGCAGGGTCTCAAAATCCAACAGACCAAGAGCGATTCGCCTTACATCACCGACGTAGAGCAAAAGTCATCTTCCGTTGCGGGCGAAAAAGTGAGCGTCGGTGTAAAAGTCGACAACATCAATGGTGACATCGCAGCTGCAGCAAGACTCAAAATCGTGGACCCGCAGGAAGACTCGAAGTTTGTTGACCGGGTCAGCTCTAGCGTGCAGTTGGCAGAATTATTCGGGATCGCACGACGCAAAGCGTCCAGCCGCGGAAGAGATCTACAGACTGCAGGTTCAGTTTCCAGTGGTGCATCAAGAGCCCTTGTTTCTAGTTCATCGTCAAAGCCTAGCGAAAGTCTTCATAGAGAGGAATTGCCACTACAGGAACATACGCAACGTCGTAGAAGGATGACGACGGGAAATGTTACGTTCACTCCGTGCAACAAATTTCAATTGACGGTTGGAGTAAAGGCTGGTCTTCAATGTGGCACTCGGGGAACGTCAAAATGCGAGCCAGCAGGTGTTCACGATGTTGTCTCGGGAACCATAGAGTGGCCCAATATCGAAATAACGCAAGCAGGGATGTTTGACATGTGTTACTGCGACAGACATCGCGACAACACGTGCCTAAACTGGGTGACCGTAGGCGAGCTCAAGGTATTTGATGTTTTTGACATTTTCCCGATGTAGAACTTATTAGCGAGAGAAAAAACGGAATACTGTTTCATGTTGTAGAGGGTTGCAAATTTCAAACTGATTTGCTTGTGCGGTTTCTTCACAGACAATCTATGAATTTGCACGTACAGGTTGACGGTCCACTACCGAATCCGCCGACGCAGTGGGCCAATCCCGGTGTAACGTCCAAATTTGATATTCATGGTATCGAGCTGTCATCGAGGGATCGGATACATATCATAGGGAGCACTTTTTCCTGCGGAAACCCAACAAATGCGAATAGTGCCGCTCTCAATGAAGCAACGGCTAACAGCACACTGCGCAGGCACTTGCAGGCTCAGGCCGACAAGGAGGCAAGAGGTGTTGTGCACGCAATTAGCACTGTGGCAGCGGCGGCAGCGACGCCATCGTCATTTGCGAAGAAGAGCGGCGGAGGGATTCGGAAAGCGAATGCAGAGGGCGCAATAGCAAGCGAAGTAAGTGCAGAGCGGCGGGGGCTCGGCTTAATATGGACCTCTTCGGTGCCGATTAAGCAAAACTCGTCGTATCTGCAATATGAAGTGACCCTTCCAACCGAGGCGCGGTATAAGATGTGCTACTGCCCCGGCAGCTTGAAGAGTTGCAGCTCACATAGTGACTTCGGAGTTTTTGCAGGCTATTTAGAGGTGGCCCAGCGTGTCGACTGCGAGTTGAGCGATTTCTGGATCGTGGAGGCATGCGACAAACCGTGCGGCGGCGGCACGAAGAAGAAGAGGAGGCGCGTAGTTCAGCAGCCACGTGGCGGTGGTACTGCTTGTCCAAGCAACGCAGAGGTCTTGATCAGTGAGATCTGTAACAGCGACCCATGTCCTCTGCTGCGTGTTTCCCAGATGTCGGCAATCATTGGCGGCAACGTGATAGGGTCACCGGATGTACCAGCGGGCGCGAGCGGACAGGCAGTAGTCTCGCCAGGCACGCGCGTTTACATGAACGAGGTGTTTCAGTTGAAATTGCGAGGCGAATTCCTTGAACCCGAGGCCGACCGCGTGCTCTTCATCGACGCCGGCGCCAGTTGCGGATCCACGCAGCAACTGGATCCCCGAAATCTGGGTGGCGCGACGTGCGACTTCGTCGGATCCACGATGGAGCAGATGGTGTGCGGTGACGGACAGAACAGTATCCGGTTAGAGTCCGCGGGTCGAGCGCGCGTGTGCATTTGTGATGCCTCTGCGGCAATGATGCGGAATGCTGATGGCAGTGGGTTCATGATAGCCGGCGCACTCGAGATGGAAGGCACCTTTGGGGCAGGCTGCGACGATCCACGCTACTACCTGCTCGGGGGTCAGGTGATAGATGTGATCAACCGAGGCGCCTACACAGAGGAGGGAGTTCTCGTCGGCGGAATGGCGCCGGGTCTTTTCGCTTTCCTGATGGTTTTGCTGTCTCTCTTCGTGTTGACCCCCATGGGCTACTTCAGCTGGAAGAAGTACAAAAATCAGATAGAAGCGAAGTACGTAAAGCATGTGGACCCATTCATGCCTTTTAACAGCAAGCCAGAAGACGCAGCTATGGGAGGACAGCCTGGTCCAATAACAGGAACTGCTCCAGAGAAGAAGCCTGGACTGATAGCGAGAGCAAAGGTACTCTAATTTGATGAGGTACAAGAATGTTGGTTCCAAAAGCTTGAGTTCCATCTTTCTCTGTCAACGCGTACAACTGTAGTTATTTCGACTTTCGTTGCTTCACCTATTATCCATCGCATTTTCCTAAGAAGCAATCCGTTTCTCATTTCGTCAAATATCCAACGTACATATCCAACAGAACCTCCTCGGCCTTACGGACGGAAAGGACGAGCTTTCAGCTGATGATGAGCACCAAGCGATGCTCCTAGCGTGGGATGAGTATTATCAGAGTCTCGGATATCCGCCAGGAACGGCTTTCTCGGTCCTCGGGCCGCAGCTGAACGGCACAGGACCTAGTCCACAACAAGCGGCGCTCGCAAATGCAGCTTACGATCCTAACGATATCTTCGGAGGCTATGGGCCAACACCATATGCGCAACAAGAGTACTTCATCTAAGAATTAATTCGTGACCATGAAGATGAGAGATGCAGCTGCTTTTTGAATTGTAGGTAGAATTTAGTATGAAGAGGTAAATCAGGAACAACGATCAGTGTCATATTGTCCATATTTTTTTCGATTTGAATATTCGGATTCCCAACGTCGACACCACGTTGCTTTCCTTACACAGGGCAAGTATTCCGCCACAACCGCCGCAGCCGGCTCTCTTGGCCCTAGGATACGACGGCTATGGTGGAAATAGTCACATGTCCGAATTTCTGGAGCAAAGTTTTACCAACAGTCTTCCTGGTGCGCCCAATAAGAGCCCGTCGAATCAAGGGGACGCGGCAAAAAGTCGGATCAGTCCACTGTCGACGTTTGTGGACAAGGTACGACGTGCGAGTGTGCAGATGGCACAACAGCAGGACGGCGGCCTTGCTTCGCCCATGTCTTCACAACCGGTGACCCCACGTGTACCCGGAAAGGCGGAGGACCCGGACGATGTTTTCGGAAAGGTAGCCTCCAAAAGCAGCCTCGAGGAGACCGACAAGCACGGCGAGAAGCCAGGTAGCACAGGCAGCACGTCTACTGTGGCCACGCAGTCAGTGCTGCCACCTGTGATGCCGAAAGTGATGTCGAGGCCGCCGCCGGTGCTGCCAGTGATCGGAGCTGCAAAACCTCCACCGCCACCACACTCCCCAGACGAGGGAGCAGGCACGAAAAAACCGGGCGCAGACGACGAGCTGAGCACCGGTAGTTTCTTGTCGGCGAGCAATAGTCCAGTCTCGAAGAGGACGTCCCCTGGAAGCAAAAAGTCGTCGCCTGGTCACAAAGGTGCAGCCGTTGGAGGAATGCGGCTGGCGCTCGATGGAATCGACAATAGACCTATAGACGAGGAGCGGGACGAGTCACAGTTGTCACCGAAGAGCGCGCGCCTGCGCAGCGAAAGAAAAATGCTAGACAGCACGCAAGAGATGATCAAGGAGCAGCTGTCTGCGGAGCAAGCGAAGCTGGAGGAGGAGCACAAAACGCGAGAGGAGGCCATCCGTTCGAAGCTCACAAACTTGAAGCAGAAGCGGGCAGACAGAATAGCTGGTGTAAGTCCGCGGTCGGAGGCGCAGCAGTTGCCGAACACCAACGAGGAGGCCTTGAAAAAGGCACAAGAGGATGTTAGACGGCAAAAAGAACAAGAGGAAGAGCAGCTCAAAAAGAAGGCCGAAGAGGCGGAGCGGCAAAAGGCGGCGGAAGAGGCTGAAAAACAGCAGCAGATCGACGCAGAGAAGCTGCGTGCCGAGGAGCAGGCGCGAAAACAAAAAGAGGAAGAGGCCCTCCGAAAACGGAAACTGGAGGAGGAAGAGCAGCAGAGGAGGCAGAAAGAGGAGGCAGACAAGCGTGAGCGGGCACTTGAAGAGGCGGCTCGAAAGAAACGTGAGGAGGAAGCGGCGAAGCGAAAAGCACTAGAGGAGGAGAAGGGCAAACGGGATGAAGCAGAAGCTGCTCGACGCAACGCAGAGGCGGCAGGGTTAGGTATTGAAGTGCCCTCTGATACAAGCGCACCTTCTTCTGTGGCAGAACGTCGGTACGGGAAGAAAATGGGTGCTAGTCCGCTCCGCGATGCCATGTCTCCACCATTGCCGCCGCCAGCACCTCTGGACGCCTCCAGCACCGCGTTTAGCCCGAATTCAGTCGCCGCCAGACGATATGGTGGGACGAGGCCGCCACCCCCACCGCCTGGCATTCCTTCACCGAGCAAGGCGTCCCTCGACAACACTAGAATACACTTGGAGGCGTCCCTCACGGGTAGCGCAGGTAGCCCAGGCCCACCACCTGGCATCGGAGGAAGCAGCAGCGGACGACCGCCAGGCGGTCCTAGCTTGTTCGACCAGGCGCTTGCAGCGGGGATGGGCGCGCCGGGATCGGCGGACTCCCCGTCCATGCACCCGAACTACATCAAGAGCGAGTCACCCAGTCCCATCAAAAAAGGCAAGTTCTCATTGGGGAATACCGCACGCACCGGCGCAGGTGGTGCTGGCGCGACAAGTCCTCGGTTCCAGAACCAGGTTTTGGACCGTTCTTCCACTAATCCTAACCATCTAATGGCGCTTATGGGTGGCGGCGCAAGCCCCGTCCATGCAAGTTCGACGTCTTTCGGCGCAAGCGGAGGAGTGCCACCGGGGCGCAGCAGCGGAGGGCTGTCGAGTCCTGTAGCACCACCCGGACCACCGTCGGGGCCGCCACTCGCTTTTGGCGGGAAAACGCCACCACCTCCACCTCCAACGGGGTTAGGAGGGCCAAGTAGATCGCCTCTAGGAGCGTCAATGGGCGCTCCACCGGGTCCCGGAGGGATGAGGCCGCCGCCACCACCGCCTCCACCAGGAATGCGAAGGTGATTTCATGTTTGAAGGCGATCGACGAAAATGCCCTTTGGTATTTTGAAGATTGTAACCTAAGTATATTATTCTTGTATTCGTTCTTGTCTAGCTCTTGCCCGATTCATTAGTGTCTACCAGGTTGTTAAAAATCTAGACGTGGGGATCTTGGTGTTCGAGATCTTGATAACTTTCTTTGAATAACAGAGGTGTTCAACCATTACGTACTTTTCTTTTTCAAATGTCGCAACCTTTCTCGTCGTGAATGATAAGACACGCTCCGTCGCAGTTTTGTGAAATACAATTACTGATTGAAGGTACTTTTCTTGAGTTCATTTCCACGTTTTTCCCCCCACTGCTAGATTGATGAAATGTGCCTACTTTGCAAGGTGTTACCCAGCGCACCACGATTTTCGAATGCACTCTCCTGTCGAGCTTTCTTTGTGTCTTGAATGTATTAGTTCCGCCTAGCTTTTTTTTTTCTGCTTGAGGGGCAACCGAGATAGTGGGTAGTTATTTTTAATCTTCGCTGCTGCCAGGCCTCTCTATACTATATGTATGAGCAATATCCCGACATCCTCGATGACCGACCACAGCCAACTTGCATTCAATGTTGTTTGTTAGATGATTATCTGTTGCGAGCAATGTTGGGTGTAGGTGTATTTACATAATTAGTGAGCCCCGCACTTCACGAAACGTACGAGTGGTAGAAGTGAACTAACAGATTGTAAGAAAGTGGTTCTTTTTTATCTGAAAGTAGTAGAGTCGGTCTCCGTATCATCAATGCAAGTGATATCATGATGAAAGTGGATGGTAATTAGATTGACAAACGCAACGAGTAGCAGAGCGCAACTACAGAGTCGGCGCCTAGGCGTGGTGACATCTGAACTTATATATGATATAGTACTGTATTATCCATTTTTGAAGGAAGTCTTATCACTCCCTTAATTGTTTTGACGAACAATATCAACCACATAGATAGTGTCTTGGATCCTTGCTTATTCATTTACTTCTACAGTAAAGCACTCAACACAAGCGGTTCTTAGAAGGTGGTGCCAAAACACGACGGGGCGCCAAAGGCAAAGAGAGTAGGCAAGAGGCACGCGCATAAACCGAAAAGCGCAGGGGTCTGCTGCGAGGAATCCTCGGGGGGGGACGACTTGGGTAAAGCAGTGGACTTGAAGATGATGGGAGTGAATCTTGATGGTGTTGGCGGGCCGCAAGGATGGCATTGATCGCCTGGGCTTGTTCGACGATGTTGCAACAACCCGAAGGCGGCTTCTGTGTTTGAAACGGAATCGTGTACACAATAAGAACTTTCTACTTTGTTCGGAGAGCTGCAGCGACGGCGGTCTTATTACAACAGTGGTCAGTGTTCGTGGAATTCCGACCATAGATCATTTGGATTTTGTTCTCACAGTAGGTTATCGTCAGCGCCTCTCTGTTCTTTCATTCGATTAACTGCGAAGGAGAGCCATCGAGCTCGAGCTTTGAGCGCACAAACGAGCGATCCAGGCGAAAGAGGGAGTAGCTATAGGGCTACATTGGATAGGATTTTGAGTCGCGATCGATCAAGCAGCCCCAAACTTGTTGCTATCGATCGTTCTCGTTATCGTTATAACTAGCACGGTTAAAATAATCGCTTCGTTCTTCTCTTTTCTTTTTCTCTCCTTTTCGGCTGTTGTATTTCGCTCTTCCTTGTCGTAAAAACTTAGCTTCACAACATTGCCCACTCAGTGGAGTCAACGCAGAATTTTGTGAGCACTTGATTGATTGAGCAGGATGAGGCCTGAGAAGTATTTGGTGCCGTTCAGCCCATACACCTCAAAAATAGACCAACTTCATCCTTCTTTCCAGGGAGTAGTGAGTAGTTGTAGCATTTTCTAGATGGAGTAGGATCCATCATTGACATTCTCATTCGGCTGGGAAGCGACCTCCGACTGCGAATCCGTCGTCGTGAAAGACCCCGACTTCATCATCTTCTCGTGTTTTCAAGAAAACAACCACCATGCCACTGCCCGTTGGAGCCGCTGACCTGCTGAGCGGGATTCTGGACGGCAATGACCACGCACACGATGCGTTGGTCACCCCCGCGGCTGCGGCGATCGCCGGTGGCGCATTCGGAAAGTCCTCGTCGTTTCTGTCCGTGAACCTGCCGGGGCATGGTGCGTCGAAGGGATTGATGGGACACGAACAGATGAGCGCGTTGCCGACGAAGGCAGGGGTCCCTGTGCGGAAAGGCAAATCCATACACATATCGTTCTTCATGATCATGTTTTTTGTAGTGTCCTCTCCTGACAAAACGACGAGCAAGAGAAGAGCAACATCTATACTTACAGACACGAGAACACGATCACGAAGATAGATCCATTGATTGACGCCGACGGTCGGCCTCCATCTTTTTCAACTCCTTTGACGCAAAAAGGAAACGCTCGCAAGGTCCGCCAGGAGGTGCGCAACAGACGATAAAGACGAGTTTCTTAATCCCCGTGCCAAAGGGGACGAAGTGCGGCGCGGGAGGTAACACGAGCCAGGGAAATCTCAACAAGTGGTGCGAGGAGCACATGGGAGGCAAAAAAAAGAGGAAAGATCGCGAAGAGGTCAAAAACAAACCGATGAACATACCAAATTGCTGCGAATAATGATTAAAGATGTCAGCAAGCAACGGTGCCTGCAATTTGCTTCCACTGTTAATGTTGTTATGAGGTGTTTTTGTTAGGGAATAAACAAATGATAAGAATACTTGACCAAGGCAACAAAAAAGAAGAAAGTACCATGTTGACACTGATTCAGAAGCATGAAGCGAAGGATAAATGCTGCAAGGAGTAGTCGACAACCCCTATTGCTATTCTCACGAAGATTTTCGATTGAGGTGGTCGCCTACAAACAAATACCCTCCCGACCGCACTCCGAGGTGTAATGTTGTATCACGCTTATCGTGACAACAATCGCTAAAGATGTCTCAAGATTTACCTTTGCCTTTCCACGAAAAAATAATATCGGTATATTATTGGAAAGCAAACAGTTTAGAAAGAGCAGGGAGCGAAGTCGTGGGTCGTCCTAATATTGAAGCCCACTATACTTGACTTTGAGAACTTTTTTCTGCTAAGCGTAAGCGCAAAAAGTTAATGTGGTGATGATTCGATTTCAAATGTTAGTCGCTTTAACGTTTCGCTAGTATGCAGGTACTCGCACCAATACCCTGATGAGCCGTGTTTTCAGATTCCGACTGATCGTGAATACCTCATGAGGATGCTTCGACGAAGAAGTCATATCAAGCAAGCTGCGCGGGTCGTGTTCTTCCACGGGTACTAACTACAACAGAGTGCTGATAGTCAAGAACTGTGCGGACCATGCCTTACCGGGACCAGTTTCAACATGAGAGACGTCATTGAGGGAGTTATTGTGAAGGTGGTCACATGGTCGTCTTCTTTTCACAGGCAAGCAGATCATGATCGGTAATTTTACAAGCGGCAACTAAACACCCATGCCGTGAGTTCGTTTTGACCTTGACGCGAGAGAAACAAATGGTTTTACTTTGACGACCACCAACATGCTGCTGTTTCCGTTTATCCAAACAACTATGCTGCGATGGATCCTGCAGGCTTGCTGGAGGTCTTGCCTTCTTCTTTTCATTTTGGTGAACGCGCTGATTGCTGCGACAGAGGCCGCGTGGACCGCTGTGGATCCATCATTGTCATCCGATAGTCTGGGTCTTCAGCTGGTTTCGGAGCAAGGAAATACCCACTTACTGAACTCCGAGTCTGACGAGCGCGTCCTCGAGGCCATCTTCGCATTCGGCGATTCTTGTTTCAGTCAAAAAGCGATACAAAAAAAGGTGCAAGCGGCAATCTCGAAGGTGGAGGGCTCGCGTGGTGGAGATGTTTTCCGCGTCTTGCAATTGTGGAATCGGGGGCTCAGCGGCTTAGACCGGAAAGTGAAGATGTGTGCGATGTCGGAAAACCCCTTCAAATTTCTCCGCGGTTCCGATCATCTTTACTTGTATGCTATGATCTTTCGATAAATATTGTCTTATCACCAGTAGCTGTTAGGCTTCCTATCACAACGTGCTGCATACGAAGGCTTTATAAAGACACGTTTTCTTCGTGACAGACCGTATGCTTACATGTAGTACATGCGGCACCATGCATGAAAGTCACATACGCTTCTATGCTTGCTCTTAATGAAGCCAGGACTTCGTGCAGTTGAAGCAAGAGCTTCCACGGCTGATGGCGGAGTACGAATTTGATACTTGGATTCAAGGTGATCTCCACACGGAAAACATGTTATGATTGGAGCACAATAGCTAACATCACACGTCGGCTTGAAGAATTGGCTAGAAGGACGATGGCCCCATCGACAAAAATTGAAATAGTCCTCTAAGAGCAGGGTTACTAAGGGCAGGTTTACAGGTGACCGTAGTGCAACTCCTTACATGTGAAAATGAGGACTACAGATTTCGGATGGGGGTGTCTAAGACATGGCAGTTTCCGAAACTCGCAACAAGAGATCGTATTCGCAATGAACGACTTCGACGAGGCATTAGAAGCGGACTGGCAGTTCGATTTGTGGAGGCTTGCTACGGCTGTTATCACGCATGCTAGATCGATGAGGCTGTTAAAAGGCGCAGCTGAGTCCCGGGTCGCAAATTCAAGTGTTGAAGATCATACGAAGACAAAGTTGAAGGGCCAAGGCGAAATGATGCCCATGATCGAAGTAGTCAAACTACAAGAATGGCAAAATGTAGAACGTATAATGCTGCCGGGAGAAAAGGGTAATGCAACAAGGGATGACAGTACTGCGAAAAAGACGAAGAGCAAAGGGAGCGATATTGGTATCTACTAGTTCCGTTCCTGGTAGTTACGCGCTATAGATTAAAACATCTTTTTTGGTTTTTTTAAAAAAGCCTGATTACTAGGCGTTCTACAGCATGCAGCAGCAAAATGAATCAGCAAACGCGTCTAGAACAACAATTTCAATTAGATCTACTACATTCGAATTAAGTAATACTAACTGTACTTGCAACATCTCAGACGAGGACGCGCTCGCGCAGAAACTAGTGCTCGAATTAGTTGCTGGCTACTTCCGGGAGTTCGATGGGCCTTTGCGAAGTGGTCTCGGTCCTCCAGACATGGAAGAAAGTCCTGAAATCGCCAAGTGGCTGAGAGAAAAGGACAAGAGTAGGAGTCGCATCAAGTTGCTCGACAAATACGCACCCTTTGATCCGCTTGTGGGTAACCGGCAGTTCCGCGTAAATGCCAAGTTAGGGCGGGCGAACGCGGACATCTTTCGCCTGATTGCGACGGGGATCGGGACCTACTATCGATCCCTCACCTCGGCGGCGAAACAAGACTTGGACGTCCTGCAGTTTCTCGGCCTCAAAGACGTGGTCCTGCGGAATCTGGCAGGGACAGGGAGTCTGGGCGCAGGAAGATACTACATTCTGTTTGAAGGGGAGACGCCTGCGCCGGACGATGATATTATCCTGGATGTGAAGGAGCAAGGACGGCCTTCGGCACTCTTTTATGGCAAAATGTTGTAGAAAGTCAGTCCCTCCATTTTATCAAGAGATTCAAGACTACGACGGAAGGTCTGCAACTTCACCACTTCAGCGGGAGTTGTCATTCTGCAGTAGGTCTTTCTCTGTTGATCGCCGATATGTGATGTCTTCTCCTTTCTGCCTCTCTCACGCCCCTTTCCTGCGTGAGAAGTATTTTGAGAAGTACGTTGCACGATTTCGACAAAATGATGCAGTCCGACATAACGTGGCGCGTCGGCGCATGCAGCTTCATGTTGATGAGTATCTTGGCCTTGTAGTTGACGACCGCACAGGGGAAACGTTTTCAGTCGAGCAGTTGTCCCCTTGGAAAGGCAGCTTTCCTTACCACAAGTATCGCGGAGACTTCCCGGCGTTGCGCCGTATCTTCGGCCAGATAGGTCGCATTGTTGCAAGAGAGCATCGACTCAAAGCGCCACATTTTGACGCATTTATCAGACGTCGATTTTTTGGAGGTACAGAAGGACCTTCATCGGAAAAAGCGTCGGCTCCCGTCGCTGAAGCTACGTCTTCCGCCGACCAGCTCTTGTCCTCTTCAGAAGTGCAAAGTGGATTGTCTAATCTCTACACCGGAGTGGCTACATCGGCTCGTACTTCTCTGACTCGCACCATCGTTGAGTCGAGGGAACACCTTGCAGTCGTTGACCCAAAAATTGGGGTGCGCATTGACGACTCAAAGATGCTGCAACCTGTGACATCTTTACCACATAGGAAATTGACGAATGTCGATTCTAGTGATTCCAGCAGGAAAAAATGCGGGGAAGAAACCGATGGCCGTTCAGTACGAGACAACTACGCTGTGTTTGTATCGCACGTGGCGTTGGAGTACTCAAAACGGACTGAGCAGGACTACAATAAGTTCGTGAAAAAGTTGCATCGTGTCCTCGAGTGGAACTGCTCTGGGTCGCCAGCGCTCTTCGATCCATCACTCTACAATGTCACTGACCAGATATATATCGAAGAAGACGACACCGAGCTAGCAGCTTCGAGGAACAACGGTATCATGGAGTCCGCATATGGGAACAATACGGTGAATGAACAGCTAGCGTGGGCGCGCTTCGCTGGACGGTCGCAGCTTGAAGCTGGTGCCTCTTCAAGTCTCAACAGAAGCATTTTGCTTGCAGCTGTGCGACAGGTACTTCTCGATCCGCGTCAGCCGAGTCTTTCAGGTGCAGATACAAAACATAATTCTTTCTTTGATATTTTTGACTCTATTTTTCGACCTTACCATCTTTTGTGTATTGCTGCCTTGGTAACATCATCGGTAGTAGTGTTGATGATTTTGTCGCGACGCTCGGTTTTTCGAGGTCAAGGCATTGGTGCGACGCCTTTGCTCGGTGACGTGTATCCGTGACTGATTATTCTGGACATACATCATCAATGTCTAGCCGCCCTGCCTGACCATGATTGTAAGTACAACCAGTACGTTCGTGTATATTTTGTGTAAAATAGCTTCTGGTTCTTGGTCCCAACTACCGTAACACTATAGATGCGCTACACATGAATCGTCAGACAATGACATAACAGATGAGACAATATTCTGTCTAGTGTCTCGAGCTCTCTGCGTGTGAATGAAAATAGAATCATGACATGGAGTCCTCGTAATTACGGGCCATGACCAGTTCAGGAATCATCATGAGCGCAGAGGCATAACGAGAGACGAAGGTTAAAAAAGACTAGAATGTAAAGCGTTGACCATACGGTAGCCTCTGTGCCATTGTTCCAATCTGAGTGTGCATTTTAGACTGAAGGGGAGGAAGAGCAGCTAGTGACGATTGAGGAAAACGAGGTTGTCCAAAAAAAGTCCTGAGTTCTGTCTTCATATGTTCAGGAAAAAAATATACAGTGTCTGTGCTCAAAGAGTGAAATCGCTGTAAAATTATGGAGTAGATGTGTGCAACTGCGTGCCAAACGGGGGGACCTCAGTGAAGGCGTCTATTTGATCTTCTATTTGATCTGTCGAGCTTCAAAAAAAATGTGTCTGTTTCAGAGTGAAAAAACGTACAACGAGTAAGTTTGACCGTCGAAAACGAGTCCAAGTTTCACGAGAAGTGTTAAATCGTTGGAGGATCATGTCGTAATTCTCTTTCGACGTACTTCGTTACTGCCCTTCTGCTGGTGTCATGTTGTAGGTTATCTCTCATCTATCCTTCTTTATTTCGCGCAACAAACAGGTTTTCTCTCATCTTTGAACTATTTCGTCGCTCATGCTGATAGATATTTTCTGTCTCTCCCAACGATCTTCTCAACTATAGCTTACGCCTAGCAATATTAGCATGTGCATTTGATATTGAACTTCCCTGCATTTAGTTCGGAATCCCTTAGCAGGATCCGCAGCAGCAGCGGAAATAGTTTTCAGACACAACAATTTTTTATCGCAAAATTGTTGAATTAACACATTTTCTTGCGGGCAAGAAAAAATATTGTGGAAGGATAGTTAGGTTCGTGGAAAAAGGAGCGGATCCCGCATTCATAGAATTACGGGTAGAGTGCTGTTGTAGTTCCTCTCATTTCCTTGTATGAATCAATACACTGACAAAACGGCCTAGGCCTTTTCCAAAAATCAAGAAATTGTAGTCGTCATTCTTCTTCTAGATACTCGAAATAGGTAATTACCGATAAGTAGAAGAAGATCCATCTTCTGCATATCATGTTTTTCAACTGAGGTGGATAGTCTCACAGATATCATTAACATGTTGTAGTTGTAAATCAAATTCAGAATTTGAAAATCGCGCTTATTATCGACCTTGATTCGGATAGGAGACATTTCTGCATTTTGTTTTTAGTTTGGTGGTGGTGAGAAAAAAAGCCACAAAATGAGCGATCCACGCGGATATCACGACTGTCCGGTGAAACAGCTCGAGGAGGAGCTGGCGACAGACTCCAAAAATGGTGTCTCATCCGCTGCGGCAGCGGAGAAGCTAGCCAGGGACGGGCCGAACGAGCTTTTCAAGCCCTCGCCACCAAGTAATACTTTTTTCCCTCTATTTTGGTATGCTAGGTAGCCTGAAGAAACCATTTTTGCCTCGCAACTCGATGGCGTTTTTCTGAGATGATGTGACGATCTTTTGCCTTGCAACATTGATGAATACTCAATATTTGATTTTGAAATTTGACGCCTCACCTGCAGCGCTGTTCATGCTTTTTGTGGCGCAGATGTTGAATGTGATCATGCTTTTATTGACGGCTTCCGCTTGCGCGTCGCTGATTATTGCGGGCACAAGAAGTAACCCTGAACCCATACACTTCGTGGAGGGTATCGCAATTTTTATCATCGTCTTTCTTAATGCGGGAATTGCGGCAGTCACTGAAAACGTAGCCAACAATGCTCTTGAAGCGCTCTCGAAGATGTCGCAGGAAAAATGCAAGGTCATTCGCGACGGGGAAGAAGTGGAGATCGAATCCACCAGAGTGGTACTCAAAGCAAGTCAGACTTCTTACCACCTTCCAATAGTACTAGCATCAGCTTTTATTATGTTAAGAAAGTACAAGAAGAAGCAAACAAAGGTCCATTGCACGTGTACCTACACCTTTACTCTTTCTCTTACAACATTTTTTTTGCACTTTCTTCCTCATACAACACAACCATTCTTCAGGTTATTGGTGATTTGGTTGTTTTGGGAACAGGAGATGTTTGCCCTGCGGATCTGCGTATGCTTGATGCGAATGAGTTGAAAGTGAACGAGATGCTTCTGACAGGAGAGCCTGATGATGTCGCAAAGACTCACAAGCTCGACAAAAAGGGTACTACAACTCTGGCATTTTTCATTAAAGTGTGCTCAAATTGCGGAAGAACATCTTATTTCTCACCCTCGTAGTAAGCTAAGTGCTTTGTATACATAGAAATGGGACAACGAGCACCACTGAAAAACGTTTAATTTCTTGTCGCTCTCAATTTTCAGCCTCGGGCGATGACCATGCGGGTGGTGAGGAAAAGCTTACACCGCCATCGATGGCATTTATGTCGTGCACTGTTACGAACGGTAAAGCAGTCGGTATCGTAACGGACATTGGTATGGCCACTCGAGTTGGTCGTATTGCCGAGATGCTTCAGTCGGAAAAATCGGACGACAAGAACAAGAGCTGCTTGCCGGACACGACGGGAAACATGACACCATTGCAGGTACGCAAATCCATACTCTCGTTTGTTTTTCTTCGATTTGGGTTGAACCGGTATGATCCACTGCCATGAGAATACTCATATGAAAGACACGCGACGTGATAATTTGGGCTTACTACTTTTTCCTGCAATTATTATGGTCACCTCGCGCTAGGCACATTCATTCATTCATTCATTCATTCATTCTTACAGCAATCGTTGCAAGAATTGGGTGTGAAGATTGGTTACATGGCCATCGCAGTGTGCGCAGCAGTATGGGTGATCGGTGTTGCCTTGGAAACTAAGGATGAAACAGATCCGACAAAACCATCGTGGCTGTACATGATTCTCGTCGCTGTCACTCTCGCTGTCGCAGCCATCCCGGAAGGTATCCCGCTGTGCGTCACGATCTCTTTGTCCAACGGAGCCAACGAGATGGTGAACCGAAACGTGCTGGTGCGCAGGTTGGCAGCCGTCGAAACCCTCGGGTCCGCGTCGGTTATCTGCACAGACAAGACAGGCACGCTCACAGAGGGAAAGATGACGCTCGTCAAAATGTGGTCAGCAGGTAATCATGTCGTACGACCGGACAGTAATGAACTCTTTCACGCAGCGATACAAAAGCAAAACTTCTTTAAAAATTCGAGGCCATTTCAAATATATAATCGGTAGCTGCTGTACTTTGCTGAAACTGTCCCAACTAATGGAACCGAATAAAAACTTCAGGCAAGCTGTACGACGTGTCCGGTCAGGGGTTTGACCCGAATGTGGGTAAGGTTTATCCTGCTGACGACCCGCTGGAAATTCCTCATTCTATTTCTGGTATGAATACTGAGGGAACCAAGCATATGGAGCGCGTGAAAGAGGAGCCAAGCGGTATGGGGAAGAGCCTGGTTGCACCTTCCGCTACCCCAGGTGCCGCCAAGGCAGACAGCGGAAAGACGGAGCCGACTGTGCGCAGTACACTGCTTTCGGGTCTCCTCTGTAGTAACACGACGATCAATCAAGATCCGGAAACCAAGCTCTGGACTCCGAAAGGAAACTCTTCGGAAGCTCCGCTGGTATTATCGTTATATTTATGCTTAGGACTAACTCTGATGTTATTTCATGCTCAACACACAAGCATCTTTTTCTTACTGTGCCTTTCTCATCTGCGTAGCTGAGGTATCCAATATCCATTGTTGATCATAGATAAGCCGTGATACCTTTCTAAATTTGTCAACATTGTGCGCTTCTAGGTCGTTGCAGCAGCGAAAGTCGGATTTCGGAATGCTGATACCGCCGCCGAATTTCCGCGTGTATTGGAGATTCCGTTCAACAGCACGAGAAAGATGATGTTGACCATTGTCGAAGTTCCAGGTACCTGGGCTTATTGAGATTTCGTACTCCTGCTAAGATAAACGGATAAGGATTGCGGTGTTTAAGAACTTCATTCAGTCTGAAAACTTCATCGGCTTCTGCATGCGTCTCCTTCTTCTACACCATGTAGTTTCCACAGCCTTCACCAAGAACCTATCTATCACACGAAATACAAATGTAAATACAAATAGAAGTTGCAACCCTTTTCCTCCCAACCTATTCCTCGTAGCTGGCACAACGACTTTGGGGAAGGATGGCATTCGTCTCCCAGAGGCAACGAAATACGTGACGATTGTGAAAGGCGCACCGAATATCATCCTGGACGCTTGCAGTCAGTCATGCTCCAAGGATGATTCATGTATTCCGGAGTTTGGCGTGAAAGAAAAGGCAGAAGCTATGGATGTCGTCGATCAACTTTCATCTCAAGCACTCCGCGTCCTCGCAGCTGCCATCAAGTACCATTTGAATTAAGTATTTTGGCATGATCTGGGTGCACTACTGGAGATTTTTGATATAATCAAATGCATGAAGATGCATTGAGACTGTAGTGCCACGAGGTAAGACAGGTACACCAGTGTGAGAGAAACCCTTCCTCGTTGGCATCTCTTCCATCCCTGCCACTAGATAAGATTTGATTATCAGTACTTGTCACCTAAATTTGCCTCCATTTCGCACAATATACTTATTCAGATTGATGCCTTTGTTTTTGTAATTTAGTTTGCAAGTCCATTCCTACTAATCAGCTGTGCCCTAATATACTACAATTATTCCATCCAGGTGCTACGAGGAGTTGCCATTCGATCAGAATGACGACAACTTGACATCTGATGACAAGTTTAAGGCAATGTTGAGTGGAAGCACACTGCGACTCTTGGGGCTATTTGCGTCCATCGATCCGGCGCGCGAGGGTGTGAAGGAGGCTGTCGAGGCTTCGAATGTGGGTGGTATCCGTGTGGTGATGATTACAGGCGACTACTACAAGACCGCGATTGCGATCGCAAAGAACATTAAGATCTTGCTGCCGGAGGACAATGTGGCGGAAGCGGCACTGGATTGCGGTGGCCTGCGACCCAACGGCGACTATTTGCCGGACGTGGAGTTTGACTTCCTAACGTCAAAAGTGAAGGTCTTTGCCCGAGCGAAGCCGGAGGACAAGCTGGAGATCGTGAAGTCTCTTCAGCGACAGGGACTGGTGTGCGCGATGACCGGTGACGGTGTCAACGACGCTCCAGCGCTGAATAAGAGCGACATCGGTGTTGCTATGGGAATCCAGGGAACAGACGTCGCCAAGGGTGCCTCTGCGATGATCCTCACAGACGACAACTTTGTCTCCATCGTTGGCGCAGTCGAGATGGGACGAGTCATCTACGCCGGTATCCAGAAGTTCGTCGCCTTCATCATGTCAGTGCACATCGGAGAGGTATTTTCCTAATTGATTTATCCTAGAAGGAGGTAATTTACGTCTTTCAACAATTTGAGACTCTTTGTTTCTTTGGCTTCCTTTCAGGTAACCATGTGATAAAAGAAAGTGTCATTGGTTGTTCTGGGATGAAAATACGGATTTCTGCGAGTTGTATGAGTATTTCATTAACCGCTGGTGTTCTGGATGGCTCACTACACTCAAAAATATCAAAAACAGGTGATGCAAATCTTCTTCACGGTAGCCGCTCAGATGCCGATCATGAGGCAACCGTTGCAGATTCTGTTTTTGATTTTGGTCACGGATTTGCCGCCTGCCGTCGCGCTGGGCATGGAACCAGGATCCCCGACGATCATGCGCGACCGACCCCGGCCGAAGAGGCAGCCAATCGTGCTCACTTGGATGTGGATCTCGATCGTGATGAATGGTCTCATCCTGTCCGTGTGTATTGCCATCGTGTACGTCTGGGCGTTGGACTACTTCCTCGGGCTCATTTGGAAAGACGACATCCAGAAGGTGATCGAGTATGAGGACGACTCACTCGGCTGCCGCCTCGGAATCAATCCTACCATCGGGGACCCGGCGCTGAAGTACTGCAGTTGCCGCTACGGAGTGAGCGGCGCTGGACCCTTCAACACCAAGGACGACTGCAATGACGATTCCGCGACTATGAATGCAGACATGAAATTGCGTCTTGCAAGAACAACGGCCTTTATCGGCGTCGTGTACGCGGAGAACGTGCGTGCCTACACCAGTCGCTCTTTCAGCGAGCCATTCTACAAGGAGATGTTCTCCAACTCAGCAATGCAAAAAGCCATTGGTATCGCGCAGGTCGCTCTCTACCTCGTCATTTTCATTCCTGGGCTCTCCGACGCAATCTTCGAACTGGAGGGTGCCAAGATGTCCGGATACGAGGACTCCAACGGAAACGCCGGTGTCGGTTACGGATTCGCTTTCGGCGCAGCGGCTTCTTGTACATCTTTTTGTTTGTGAAGTATTCTTAAGGCCTCAAGACATAGAGATTGGTTTAGTTTTAAGGAGAATGCAGTGTGCGTCACTATTCATCTTATACCATGAGTTATGTACAAATATTTTATGAGTATCGTAGACGATCAATAAATTTCCTGAGAATCAATTTACCCATCAATTATGGTCCGTCGTTGTGTCCTTTTATCGCACGCCTTTCGTTTCTCAAAACAGGCGTGTGCTTATGCGAATTGTACAAGTTGTTGGTGAAGGAACAGATTCGGAAGTTCGGGGAACAGGTGAAGAGACAACAGGATGAAGAGGAGGCAGAGCGCCAGAGGCTTATTGCGGCTAGGGAGCCAATCCCACACGATTTGAGTAAGTCGCTTAGTAAGGAGTCTGCACGACAGAAAAACTCCAAGGAAGCTAAGGTAGAGGAGCCGCAGAAACCTGCGGGACCAACGCTAGAAGTGCCAGCGGCAAACCAAGTTTGAGGTAATTTCTCACACGATTCATTTCAAGTAGGCTAAGTTAGGGCGGGCGCTAGAACTCGAAGAGCTTTTTTGTGACGTACAAGTTGCTTTTTGTGAGAAGTAGACAATTTTCTTAGGATGGAACTCTCATTTCATTTCCTTAAAATAGAGCATGTGCTTACGAATCGAATATTTCGCTTTCATCAGGTTTGTCGTTGGGTACGATTCGAAGAGGTCATCACGAATATCTCTTCGAATTGATTCTGCGCCGTTCGCAGCTGTTGAATGGAAGATTTCTAACGTAGCTCCTTGTTGGAAGGCAGCAGGTTCTTCATGATGATGACGAGATAACTCAGTGTGGATTCTCGAGATATTTTGCAATAACTTTTTCCAGCTGGTTCCCTTCCGTGAGTGATTTACGTATTAAACATCAAACATCTAACACGAATGATTTTTTACTCAACACTATTATGAACGTCCAAGTATACGAGTAGTATCGTTGGCTCAGAAAGGCTGAGGTGCGGTATTGTCACCAATTCCGCGTTTCTCGCGCTTTCTTTCTGAAAATTGTAAGGTTTTGCATTTATTTTAATCATTTTTTACTTATTAATTATCGACATCAGCATAAAAAAATCAGCATGTGATTTGGTTGCGCCAAAAATATCCAGTTGTAGTCGATTTCCATTTAGTAAAAGAGTGAGATTTATATACAGGTAGTTCGTTCTCGCTGTAACAACGACCTCCTTCCGATTTTTGTATTGCTAGGCATTTCGATGGTAGACAAAAATTGATCTACATTTGCTTAAAAACATGATTCGTATGTACGAAAGAGCAAAAAGAAATACTCGTCGTTTATATCTTACTCAAAACCTACGGACTATGAAAACTCAAAAAGAGTACATAAGCATGTGAAGGCAGACACAGCCTGCATATATACGTTGAGCCTTTTGATAGTTTTCAAGCATTGACAGACACTTAATAGTTTACTCATAATTTGTGACTATGTAGTAAGACATCACTGAAAATGACTACGACATAAGCTGCTAATTAAGCGATAGAGAAATGCATAGTCAACTTCATCTCTATGGGTCTACAGAATCAGAAAGTTGCCTCCTGTAGTTGTGTGTAGGTAAACATCGACCGAGAACATCGAGCGTTTCGAGGTGGCATATCAGGCAAATCCGTGGCGAAGACGGAAGTGGTAAATGATTCTCGTGACAGGTTGTGGATAGTTGTGAATAGACTCATCGGAGTGATATTACGCTATTCTTTCAGTGTTGTAGAGGTGCTTCCGCGTGTTGTAATTTAGGATGAGTATTCTATTGGTTACGTCTCACTTAGGATTGTGAGATGCAATGGCGGCGAAGCAGGTGCCGAGAGGACAGCATCCAACCGTTTGTAGCAGCTGTCGGAATCGGCTTACCAATCGCAGCTTCACCCAGAAAAGTTACGATGGTTGTACATCAATCAACATGGTATAATGGACTTGCAAAATGACCTCCACCCATTAGATTTTTTAACTCGGATTTTCCTTGTTGTTTTTATTTTCTATTAGCCCAGTACCATGTGATTATCCAAAATGTGGTGAACCTTGATGCTAGGACGAAAGAGATAGATAATCTTCATATATGGAGTGCTTCATCGATTTTCGGACGGAAGGATGGGCTTGTTTGACTTCATGTCTACGTGTGTAATTGTAGAGTCTGGACGTCAGTCTTCCACCGCCATGCTGAAGAGATGATACTTGCACAGGTAACTCTATGTGCATAGAAAATAGAGCAACTCACCCCCAATAGTTACTTGGTGCGGGTTGATATTTAGTTTTCCTCCTTCATGTTATTGTTATCCTTGGACAGTCTAAGAGATTAATAGACTTCCTCTGTCGACGAGGCCAAGTCTATTGTCGCATGACGTGTGGCATGGGGATAATGATTGTCCATAAGGAGCTCGGAGCCAGCTGTGAGCTGTGCCCCGCGTTGAATTTAGAATATCAAAACACAGCCAAACAACACCTACCCTCTGATATTTTTGGTTGTGCCTGCCTGCAGATGTTTCTCTTCCCTCTCCACAAACGCCTATGATCTCTGTCTTGATCGAGGAGCGTGCGCGAGAGAGCCAAGGGAGCTTTCGAGACCGGTGACTTGTTCGAATATAGAGCACCCACAAGCGGTGCTTATGCTGCGTGTCGAAACTCCACCGCTTGTCGACTACACAGCGGATATGGTGAGGTCACAGACCCCATTGATATCGTTGTGTCTCCACGTTGTTCTGCTGAACAAGACAATGTTGGATTAGCAATGCAGCTCGTATGATTAAGGTGCACTTTGTTGTTTAACGTTATTCGTGCCAAGCCTGAAGATCGTTTTTGAACCTCAAGCGCAGGAGTGTTGTTTAGGGGCTGTTTTCACCACTCCTATGTGATACTGCTCCTGGGGAGGCAATCCAAAAGGATCATAAAGGTAGAAGCACGCGCGTCACACTGGTTCGCCACATAGAACACAGCTACAACAGAGAACATATGTCATCATTAAGAATGTCCATGCGATTCAGTCGTGCTACTGACTTACACGCTCATCTTCAAGGAAAATTGAAGAAAAAAGGTGGTCAAAAGTTTGTTGGCAGACCATTCGAAATCATATCGTGGGCTATCTTTTTCGTATCCTCAACGACGACCAATAAGCACTATCGAAAGAAGGAGAATAACCGCAAGTTCTCGACCAGCATGATTGAAGAGGGCTTGCAGTAACCTAAACCGATTTCTTTTTTCTCCGATGGTATCCTGTCCAAGATATCAGTTTGTGACATGTTTAGAGCGGTAGCTAATCCATCCACTGACTATTCCTCCTGTTCAAAATGATAGGAATCAGCCAATACATTTTTTGATTTGATACTTAGATGTGATTTAAGTACTTCATTATTTTTTCTGAATTTCTTCACGCCCAGTGTGCAGACATCGATCGAGAGAGGTGTCCTTGTGTGACGGACTAGGGAAACTGCATAGATACATTTAGAGATACTTCTAGATTGATAATACGAGAACACTGACTTCAGCTAGCTTCTCGCTAGGAATTGTCTAGGTAGTTAGAAGAATGAGACAAGTCATACAATGTACACGGCGACTCAAACTCGAACGAACAAGTGCTGACGTTTAGAAATGTTTATGATTGACACTGCTGTTCTGTTGACATCTGTTGCGTATGCACGGTCAACACGCAGAAGTGATTTTCCATGTCAGTCTCGATGTTAGTTCATGTCCCTCTCATGAAGAATGCACCGACATCTTTACTGTAAAGAGTCGATGATCGAGTAGATTCAACAAGAATTTCTAGATGAAGGGACCGACATAACTGACTGCATTGAAATCGATGCGGTCGACACGAGGGAGTCAGAGTCGCTGTTCGTCTGACAAAGGAGCTGAGCGAGCTCTATTGTGTTCCTTTGACCCATCTCCGCTGTTGGGGTGGTCGTTTCGCCCAGCGGAGATTAAGGACGTCTTTCCATGTTCGGGTAATTGTTGGTGTTGTTCTTCATGTCAAGTTTTTCGATCGGCTACAGAAGAATTTTTACGATAAAGGAAGATCTTCTGAGAATCGCTTTCAGGGCAACCGGGGCGATCCGCGGGATGCCTGCTGTTGCTGGTGCCAGTCTCTGATTGATTGGATCTGACTTCTTCTGACGTCTAGCGAGAGACATTAGTCGCGAAATCAGAGTTAGCATTCATATCCGAAAGTTCGATTTCTTGTTGATTCTCTCGAGACGGGCAATATTAGGTTTTGTTTATTTGCCGGTCGGGCAATAACGCGTGTCGTAATTACACTACGCAAACTTGTGAATAAAGACCACATCAATAGCTAGATACGGATCGTTCCGACTCTTTTCCTAAGTTGTTAAGAGACGACCGCCCTGTCGACAATGAAGTGCTTCACTCTCTGGTCCGTTGCTGCCTCAACTGCCTCCTGGTGGAGCACTAGTGTTTATGGAACCTCCCAGTAACTACCATTTTTTCCCCTTCCCACTGATTCCTTGTTCGTTTTTGGTATGCTAGATCTGTGTATCTATACCAATGGGTTCCGTAACCAAACATCGTTCATCTTCTCTCTAATGTTGGCCAATGCTGTTGGCGAAAGCGGAATATCAAGATACACCGCTTACGACCGAGTTGTGGATGCTGTGCAGTAAAAACGACCCAACAAAGACAGATGAAGCGCTCGAAGGTTTCCTATACTCGAATCCGGATTTAGCAATGGCACGCTCAGCGGACCGACGTGGTGGACTTTGGTGGGCGTGGGAGTATTCTACATCTTCTTCTGATTTTCAAGCAGTGTGGATGGTAGGGAATGAATGATGGATACAACCAGGGAATTTCTGTGTGTGTTAGACGATGCGCTGGTCGTCTCAACATTTCTCTTTTGCGGTTCAGATTTCCATTTTTTTAGTCAGTTCCCCGACGACGTCGTCCTAGGGATGTTGATGCTCTGGCGGTGTTGGTGACTCTTCACGAATCAATGCTTCTCTTACTTATAGGTTCAAAAACACATTCGCGTTGGCAGCATTGAAGGCTTATGGCGCTGATCCGGAAACTGCCGAGGAAGACGATGAGGGATCGACGCCGTAATTCTAGTTTCAACTGAGCAGGTCATAGAGCTTCATCATGAAAATCTTTCACAAGATGGTGATACAACAGCTAAAAAGCCTTTGATTTTTGAGAGAGACCAATCGAAATGTGTACTGGAACCGAAGACCCTTTTCTTCTATTCTCATGCTGTTTAGGCGTCAGATGTGCGACGGAGACGAATGCGATAGGGTGCTTGACGGAATTGATACCATCGTAAAACAAGTTACTGACCGAAAGGCAGCACGAGAGCTCCGAGAACAGAATGAACTCGATGACGAGGATGACGATGATGATGGCGATGAAGACGACGACGATGACTCTACAACGGTACAATTTTTGAGAGAATAGAAATAGGACACTTTCCTCCTTCGCATGTTTGACATTGACTTTAGATATTAGCTAGTAAGAGGGGTTACGGGAGTATTTCTACGGCCTTGCAGATGACGTGAGTACGTAAAATAGGTGAGAACAGACGACGCACATCGGGATCAAGAAAAAACATCAACAGTTTCTAAGCCTTGGTCAGTGCAAATGAATTGATAAAAAGTAAACCTTTACTCAGGTACGCTTTCATGGGAGTGGCGCGAAAAAGGCATCTGCCAAAAGAGAGAATTTAGACGTGGCTGCGGACGAGGACGATGAGGACGAAGAACTCTAAGAAAATCCGCGCAAACACAGTAATAACAAGTAGTGAAAAAAAACACAGGACCGAAGTAGGTTTTTGATACGGGAGTAGATCTACATACTTGGTTATAGATTCAAATTGAATATTAAGACTTCATTTTTGTTGATTATCATCGTCATCCTGTGTCTATTTTGACCTCCAGTTTTAATGAGTCAATAGTGGGAATGATAACTTTATAGGGGAGCATTTTGCTGTCCTCTTTGGTGAACGTCAGAAGAAGAAATCATGGGTACTCGTCGTGTCTCACATAGTTAAAAATATTCATATTATGATTTTTAACACATATGATACGATACTGTATGGCCTCAGAAGTAGATGATAGTTGCTACATAAGAGGTACCATGACATGACATAGTGTGTCATGGATCACCATTGATGACGCCGAAGAGTAAATTAATATCTTAAAAAAAATTGTACCCATCGACATTAAGCAAGGTGAACAATTCTCAATCTCAATCAATCAAGTTCTAAGCTTACAGCTTCGCATTTAGCACTCACTGACGTGCGATGATCAATATTGTACAACACTCGTCGGACCTTGTAAAAGACACCCGACTTCGTAAACGGTATCTCATGTGACAGCAAGAGGATACGAATACTCAATAAAAAGTGGAACTACAGTCGTCACCTCGTTCAAAGGTTCAGAATGTGTCAAAAAGATCATACGTATCAGATCCCAGATTTGCGTTTGAGTTCCGCAAAACCTCCGATTGGAATGCCTGGGAGGCTCGTTAAGGCACAGCTTGTTGGAGAAGGTTCGGTCGCTATTGAAGCGCTTAGATACTACACTTGACATTATGACTGCGCGGCGCGAAGAAGCTGCTAGAAATGAAATCGAAATTTGTTGGATGGTTGGAATTTGTTTTTTTTTTCTGTGGCATTGTAAAAAAAGGTCGGACATCACTCATACATTGTGTCTCCTTTCCCCTAGAGTCCCGTATCTCGCTTTCACACGACCGGTCGTCCAATAGGTACTAATGGTCAAACTTTAGCAGATCAACAACGACAAACTTGGTTCAAAGTGGGCGCAAATTGTTGCGAGAGAGGAGTCTCCGCAGCTTCGCGGATATCGGTGATGGGATGGACATATACAAGCAAGTATGAACCATTGAAAACAAAAAGAGTCATTGTGTACCACTGCAGGCCTGTTTTTTTCGGGCTTTTCGCTTGGCTAATGTTCTGTCTAAATGATTTTTATAATGGACACCTCAGCAACAACTAATCGTAAGTTAGGTATATTTATATTAAGTAAGTAGAAGTACCACTACCATGAATTCACTCCTGATTGTACATCAACATAATTGAAATTGTGTCATTTTTAAGTACTCCAGTCTTTGTCGGAAGCGCCGTTGTTTTTCCCGTTATATCAAAGGATTCGACTCATGACGGTGCATGAATAGAGGGAAGAGAATGTCAATGTGCTGAGAAACGAGGTCGTAATACTGTTCGTAAGAGTCGATGCTGGACGAGGCAGGGGAGGCTGACCACAAAAATGCCGTTCTTTGATCTCTTTGGCGGAAGCACGGGTATCGCAGACGGCAACCATGTTCACGATGCTTCCTATAGCGGTAGCCATGGGCAGCACGACGCTTCGTCCTCTTCAGGGGGGATGTTTTCTGATCTTTTCGGCGGGGACGGCGGAGGGACATCCAATCGGCCTGCGCCTATCGACGAGCATGAGTTCATGTCCCGCCTCGTAGATGCACATTACGGGTTGCCGACACATGGAGACACCGAGAAGCAGCTTGGCACCGCGCTCTCGGCACTATCGCAGCACAGCGAAGCCAGCAATGAGCACGCAATCAGCGACGGCGTGTTCAGTTTAGCAGCAAAAAAATGGATCTTTCGCGGACCACCGGAAAAACCTGTGGACCCGCTAGAGCCCCAGCCGTCGTTAAAGCTACCGCCAGAGCATGAGCAAGCAGTGTTGCGACAAACAATTCAACAAGTGCTGTCAGAAAAAGTCACCACCGCAGTAAAAGACCTAAGGAAGTTGGACAAAATGCGTGAGATCTTAGAAAAGCCGCAGCCCGCTGACCTTGCCTGGAAAGAGGCGATACAGGTCTAAGATTATTCTTAGATGGCAATTCCTTGTTCTAGTCCTAGTTTCGAAAACTTTTTGCACAACCGCGCACCAAAGTTGAAGGCCGGATGAACATGGTTTTTAGGATGATGGTAGAGCTAGAAAGAGGTGTTGTTCTTAGCGGTGACATAGGAAAAATAATCTGAAGATGAAGAAAACTACACTTTATCAGGCTCGGTTAGAGGACCTACCGGCTGGTGGCAATCACGAACTGAGCGGCAAGATTGAGTCCGAAGTACCAGCAGCGTCGATAGCACACAAGGCGGGCGGGATCCACGGCGTTGTGGGAGGCAGCCTGGACGATGGCCTGGACGATGGCATGGGGGGTGCGCAACTTGTGACAAAGCAGGACCTTTTGTTGAATCCATTGACAGGCCAGTTGGTAGATTCAATCGGCGATCACTTGAGTGCTGGACCCGGACCGGCAACCGAGAATCTATTCCTCTGGAAGGCTGATGCACATGAGTTTAAAAGTGCCGGAGCCGAAGACGCGGAGCCCTACGTGGTGGTCCGTGATCACAATGCGGGATCTGGAACAACCGCGGAAACGTCAGGCTTCGCAAACGGCGGAGGCGAGAGCTCGGCTTCGTCATCCTCCAGCGCGTTACAGTTGCTGCCGTTGCGCTCAGCACTCGCGTACGGTGATAATAGGGAGTTATGGTACCGCGACGCAGCGGGACACATCTATACTCCGGACAAAAGCATGGTAGTAGATGTAGATGCAGCGACGGGAACGGTCACACTAAAAGAGACAGGGCTGGACGGAAGCGTGCCACAAGCAGATCATCTGACAGGGCCACCGGAAGAATGGAAGCTGCAAGATGATGGTATCTAAACTCTAGGGACACACAACTGTTCATATGTTTTTGTTGTTGTTGTGAATGTGGCGTTAAATTCCTATCGTTCGAGAGGCATCGATTATGCTGCAGTTGTAATGGCGAACTGTTTCAGTCTCATAACACGTGTAAAAATTTTCAATTTCATAGGTACACTTCAATCTGGCGCGGGAAAGGAGTATCTGCAGTTTCCCGGCACAACGACTACATTTGTAGACACGCGGTTACTAGATCCTATATCCGTGTCGTCAAACGTGCCTGATATACCAGAGCATCCAGCAAGTTTCGCTGTCGACGATAATCCGCATCATTTCTGGCTAGCCCCGCACACGGTAGGTAAGCAACTCCCCTTAGCCAGTGGTGCACACGGTAGCTACCAACACGGCCACCCCTACCTAGTCGTGGATGCGGGGGGGCCGAAATATATTGAGAATATGCAACTCGAGTTCACAGATCCGCCAAGAGAATTTTTAGTTTCCGGCAGCGCAGACAACGGGCACAGCTGGCAAAAAATATTCGGCACCGATCTCAACGCAGCGTATTCTCGTCTCAACTACATACATTTACATTCATTGTTAATGAGCCAGAAATGTATGTGCTATGTACTGAGTCTGACCGTGGTACGCAGGTCTGGTGAAAAATATGCTCTGAGTGCAGAGTTGTAGCAATTCGATTTGCTCTGGATCACTTGTAGAGGGTGCGTGGAGAAATAACTTGTAGAGCTCCTGTCATGATTACGATCGAAATTTCGACTTCATCCTCTGTGCGTTCAGGTACAACGTTTCGGTTCCAGTGTTGGGTAAGTTTTCCCATCTGAAAGTGACGTTTCTAGAGCCCCTGCGTACGACACCGCTGATCACGGACGGACAGTTTGGAGTGAGACACGTAGACTTGTACGGAAAACAGAGCGACCCACCGTTCGTTGGTGGATATCCAATTTTTGGTCCGATAGGACACTACCAGTTCGAGCATCTGCGGGGTCCTCTCCCAGACGTGCACAAAGTAGATCGGTTGCTGGAGTTAGGGCGGCAACTGGACGTCGCGACGAGCAAGCTCTCACTCGCAGAAGAGCGGTACGACGCAACACTAGACCAGACGGAGACGCCCGGCAGTGTGTTTCTGGGATCGAGCAGTCTTGCAGGTGCCGGTAGCCGACTTGGCGGCGGTCTTTCCAGCTTACTCGGCGGCGGCGCTTCGGCAGAAGACTATTCGAATGGGAATCAGCACGACGGCGGCCCAGGAGGCGAGTTTCTCGGGTATGGGTCACCATTTAGTGCTTTTGGGCGCGGCGGAGTTGCCGGTGGTGAGTCGGCAGCCGAAGCGGCGACACTGGCAGGAAAAGCAACAAGCTTGCCGGCTGAAGCTGGCGCATTTGCCTGGAGAACGCTCGAGATGAGCTCAAGCGCGCTGTTGGCCGGTTTTGTCTTCATAACAAGTTTTCTCCCCAACTCAATTCAGAGCGGCAGCTGTGTGGGTGAAAGTGGCGATAGAACACAATCCGGTGCTGCTCTTGAGGGTGGAAATGACATTCTACTGGCAGACCAGCGGGGTGGTTCGTCGTTTTCAAGTGTGCGATTAAGTGGTGGGGCACGCGTATCCGCGGGACACATATTTCTCTGACTGTGGGAAAACATAAGCAATAAGTTTTCCTGCTTGCAGTCGATACACAGATTGATAAGTATAATATGAGAAAGTAGATGAAGATCTAGATTGATAGCTCTTAGTTCTTATTAACGAAATTGACACTGTTCTTTGGACATAATGATACGCCTAAGCTGATGTCATACATTGGGATAGTGCCATTATATGGACACGAAAGCGCATTCGTACCGAGTTGAAATGATTTCTTGGTTAAATCACATCATGTCAATACTCTACACTTATTCACGCAGTCGCATTGTTGATCCGATTTTGTCATGCTAATCTTGCGTATTCTTTTCCATGGTTATTTCGAAGTATCAGTTCCCATTGCTAGATAGTAGAAGGTCTTTTTTTATCATTTACACCCTTATTTACTTAAGCATAACCTAATAAAGTCGATGGGATGATTCTCCCCACCGCAGAATAATTTTCTTCAAAGTAAGGAAGACCAAAAATGCAGGCAGATTGAATAAATTTTCATCCTTTTAAAACCAGTGGGTGTCTTTGTTCAGACACCCGCAGCCTCTCCTAGCGCGTTTCAGGGCACGCGACGCAACGCTCTCATGATTGCTTTTATCGGGAGCTTTTTTTCGCTGGCTCTGTACGCACACCAACCATCCACGAACTGCCCGTATGTGGACTGGGTGATACGCGAACGGGGATACTTCGTTGAGTCGCACTAGTAGATATCCGAGGTCGAGATGTTCTTCATGTTGAATGTTTTCCTTTGCAGTCTGTGCATTTCTGCGTAAAGCACGATGAATTCTTCGTTTTCATACCTACGCACCATTGGTACTGTTGAGGCAGCAACTTTTCTGGACGATAACTATGATTTCCAGTGAAGGTGCTAGTCCTTCTTGTCAAACCCGGTGATATATCCTTTATCTGGATAGAACACGCTACGATGACATAGACGTCGCATGTTGATGTCGCGCTTTCGGGCAAATTTTGCATGCAGTACTCGAACGGATTTTCGATACTGGGATTCGTCTCAGCCCTGTTTTTCTTGTGTCTGACCAAAGAGGATGACCCAGGAAGATATTGTGCCAAGAGCAGTGTCTGTAGGGATCCTAGAGCGCAAAATGAAGTTGAAGCGTCTGAGAGGCAAATGTCTAGGAAGAATTTTGAGATGTGAAGTGTAGGCTCCTTGTTGTCCACGGATTTTTATCTTCTACGAAAAGTGCATGCACAATTGCAAGGCAAGCTCTTGATCACTTCCTAATGTTGAAAAGATTTGGGCGAATGTTGCAACGTGCCTTCTCGAGCAAATGAGTAGTTAGTGTTTCGTGTGATTTCCTGACTCAAATATAAAATATTGATAGGAGGTTCGTGGATAACACCGGGAAAGTCCGCATTCTGGTATACTGCGCGAGACCACGATAAGTAAGTGGTCACTCTTGATCGCAACGAGTTCGTTGGATAAGAAATATGATTTCCTGACCCACAATTACGTATGAAAAAAGTTCCATCGCTATGGTAGGTAAGACAACTCAGTAAAGAAAGAAGTATGCATGTCAGTTTTCCATCGTCCGGACCTTGCGTTGTGCGTTGCGTGCGGCAAAGAGAAGCAGGTCTGTTTTTGAAGGAGTGCCTGGAGGAAAAGCCTTAAGAGGCGCTACACAGTCTCTCCCGGAGGCAAAGCTAGAATGCAGGGGCTATCGGCAAAGCTGATTGCGGATGGAAGCGCGGCGTTTTCGGATTTTGCGCCAGATAGTCGCGACGTGATCGTAGAGGTGCTGCGGTGTTTTTTGCGCAAGGGCGAGCAAACGCGGACGCTGGCGGACTTAATTGACGCACATGATGCAGTGTTGCCGAGATTCGGGCTGCAGGATACGGAGGCAGGCTTGCGCCTTTATCGTGCGTTGGTTAGGTGGTACAACGAAGAAGGAACTGGAACTGGTGTTGAAGGGGCTACCACAGCAGGTGCGAATGGCGCGAGCCCGCAGTACAGTGGGGGAAGCGCCGCTTCTTTAACTGGTGCTTCGCAGACTCACAATAGACAAGCGAGGAGTAAGACGTCCATATTTAGTAAGTCCCGCAGTCCGGCTCGAACAACGACGCAGAAGCCCATCTTCAGTACAAGCAGCAACACAACAAGCACAGCATCACCGACTGTCCCGGGCCCGTCGGGTCGACCGCAGACGTACATGGGACTGTACCAGCGCGGCGGGAGCAGCAGTTCTACGTCCAGAAGTCCCATTCGGCCTACGCGTTCGCCGATGGTCGTGGAGTTTCCAAGTCCAGAATTCGGTAAACGCCGCACGGAACAGACGGATAATTCGCTACGTGGCGACGAACCGGGTGCTCGGAATACATCGCCGGGGAGTCGAGAATTCCAGGGACATCAAAATGAAGGAACCTTGCCGCGGTCTCCACCCTTCAGCGTTCCTTTCCCCGAAGCAGCGTTGCAAAGCCATCGGCGCGTTGGGTTGCTAGGTGCCCGAGAAAGGCTTGGAGCCTCGACTCCTGCGTTACTCAGTGGGATGGCAAGGCAGCGCGGCCCTCCACCATTAAAAGGCACCGCGCCGCTACGACTGTCATTGCCGAACACGGGATCAACACATGTAAACGACGGAACGAATGATCACTCACGCCCAGAACAAGCCCCAGTGCCAGACCTAATTCCCCCGGCCATGCGCATATCAGCGGACTTCAACATGCCACCAGGTGCTAGAACATTCGCACTAATGGAGCAGCCAAGTCATGATGTGTCAATGGATGCACCGCGCACGCGATCACCCACGCCCACGAAGATTGACGCCACGGCGTTCCCGCGGAACAGTACCGGAACAGCAGCAGCGGAGACTGGTCGGGCGATGTCGACGTCGAGGTCACAACGTCTGCAAGCGGATGCAGGTCGGGGAGAGGAAATAGCTAGTACGCTTAGTCGAGTTCCTGGTGGATCGCCACCGCCCGACTTGTACTCAACTTTGCCTACGAACAAGAGCCCCGTTTTTCTCGGCACAAAAGTTGGAGTGGACGATGACGAGCCGCAGCATCGGAAGCGCGTCCAAAGACCGTTTTCTCCCTCAGAACTTCGTAGATCGTACGAAAAACAGAAGACTCTGGTGGCGTCTACACACGCGCTGCGTCGTTCGGCGGAGGAAAAAACATCTAGTAAGAATTCGTTGCTGGATGGATTAGGCCTCACGGATGACGTTCGGCACGCGCTCTCGAAGTCACTAGACGTCTACGACGCATACTCGTCTCCATCCAAGCGCGAGGAGACGAAGAGCACAAAAGCATCCACGGGAGGGGCATCATCCAGTGCTACAAGCGCCGGGCCGGACCATTTGTCGAGCAAGACTTCTGAACGAGTAGTTCTTTCGGCGCGGAATCAGACTCCTCCGCGACTGGATGATCGTCAAGCTACGAAGCGAAGAGATTCGTCCAGGAGTCCTGATCGGCCACGAGCGCATGTATCATCGTCAGGTACGGAATGTCGCCACCACGACGTCAAGATAAAGAAGGGGAAGGACGGAGTGCCATCACCCGACGAAGTTTCTCTTGCGGACAGTTGCTGCAATGTGCGTGAGAGTCCAGTGTTCTGGATGAGTCCGCGAGACGCTAATCTAGCTGCGATTGAAGAGGAGAGGAATTTCGAGAAACGCTTGTTTGCAGAACGCGCTGGAGAAGGTGTCGCAATATTTGGGCTTTCTGCCAGTGTCCAGGGGAACAGAACCAGCGACCATGCGGCCAGTGGCTATCGTTTGCTTGATGCGGTGGATTTAGATAACTACGAGTCGAATGACATCATTGCGCAGGCCTTTCGGTTCCGGAATCTCCAGAAAACCCACTTTCTTGTGTGGCAACGCTGGCTGTGGCACCAGTGGAAGCTTGAGGGTGTACTCATTTGGAAGTTACTAGAGAATCAGGATAGATGCAGGTTGTTGAAGTCGGTTTGTCTATTTCCTTGAAGTAAAAAGTTTTTACTAAGATAAAACTACGTTTCTGACTCCGCAGGCTTTGAAACTTCGATTTTACACTTTTCGTCAGGTTGCCGACGCTTTTTTTCGGAAGCGTCTTGGCCCTCGTGTACAGGCTTTTGGGTTCTTCGCTCTCTCCGATGCGGTTGAGTGCAGCAGGGAACAAACGCAGGAGATTGACAAGTTTTACACGAAGATTTGCCTCAAAATCTTGCGCAAGCACTTCCATCTGTTGCGTCGCTGGGCTCGATTTGCGCTGGCCGTGCAGGAATTCTCAAGCACTGTGAAGAAAAGTCGCAAGCGTCGCGCGTTTGACCGCTGGGAGGTGTATCGCCGAGAGAATCGGGTGCGCAAGAGCTACACGGCACTAGCAGTTTTCAGCGCCTGGCGAGATTGCTGTTTGGATTCCAAGATGCAGCGACTGCGGGAAGAAATGCACGACTTGGACCGCGAGGTGGCCGAGCGGACAGCAGCCCGTGCCAAAACGCTCTCCGCTGTGGAGCTGACTCGCATGTGCTTTCCCGATTCATCGAGTCTTGCTCTCCAGCCAGTGTCGTCTTCATCGGCTTCAGGTGGACCTGTAGGAGGTGCCCGAGCGGCGTTGGAAAAGCAGGCGGTGGCTATCATTGGCAGAATGCTGACCTCGACCGCCGCTGTGCACCGGATGCTGCAAGGGCATGCCTCGTGCAATCTTGCTGCCGTCCCGTCTGGCAATGTGCAAGGTGGGGCCTCTCTATCAGCCGCAGGAGCGACGGCTGTGACGAACAAACGGTCGCGTGCTGCTTCGGCGGGCTCAGTGTTTGCCGCGAAAGCTCGAAGCACTCGTCCAGGAGTGGTAATTGTGGATACGCGCATCAGCGATACCAGCGCTGGAGATCACAATAAACGGCAGCTACTACCATCGCATGGAGGTACCGGGAAACCAGGTACCAGAACCTCAAGCAAGGCAAGCAGTGTGGCTGTTACGCCAGGTTCCAGCGTTGCGCCGTCGCCGAGGACTAGGAGTGCAGGGTTGAAGGTGATCAAGCAAACTTCAGTCCGCGCGATGCCAGGGAACAGAAGAAAGACAAGTGGGCATAACGGCGCTAACCGCCCCGCAGCAAGCCGTTCGAGCCTCAAGGCAAGCGCGAATGTGCGTGTCGGTGCGGCAGGACGGCGAAGTGCCAGACCCCAGAGCTTGCCATCTGCGGGCTCTTTACGAGGCGGCGTTTTGCCGCCGCCGTCCGTTCTGAGTGGAGTCCCAGAGTCACGGAGTCAAAGCCCTCAGCGTGGAAACCTGTCCGCACGAAGCGGAGGTTCGTCACCCTCACGAGCAGCCGCGCGCTTTCACTACGCGGCGAGTGAGCGAGGCCTCTTGTCGCACCAGCGTTCAACTGCAAGTCAGCGGCTGCGGGAAGATACAGTGATACGTTCACAATCTTTGTCGCCTTCACGTGGCGGTGCAAGCGCGCCTAGTTCGCCCGGGCGACGGCGTGGGCGATCGGCTTCGGAGAACTACTTGTTTCCGACTATAGGCTCTCAAGCAAATACACCAACTGAAGCATTTCCGCTAACCAGTATCGCGGATGCTGGTGATAAAAGGAGTGAATCTGGTCCCATGTCGCGAACGGCTAGTCTAGCGATTGCTGACACACCGGGAAGTCCGATTTTGTATTCTGCTCGAGGACCTGTGGCACGAGTCCCAGAGGACTACACAGCGTTAACTGTAGAAGCGCGGCTTCCTTGGCTTCCGGAAGAGGGTACTGCGCTGGAAGCAGATAGAAAAGCATCAACTCGACTGTATGATGAGAAGTATCTGAATGTTGTTGCATTAACCTCGAACTTTTTCCGCGACAATCCACTCTTATCGTCGACTCTGCGAAGTCCCGACCACTTCTTCTTCAAGTCGAGCACGAACGGAGCATCCAAGAATAGCGCGATCGGCCCACCAACTGGTCCAGTTGGTATCCTGCGGGGACGTTCAGTCGCTTCTACCCTTGCCTCACATGTTTTCATGCCAGATGGCGGCGTCCTGATGCCGTTGATAAAGAGTGCTGCGCCCGAGTTGTGGAATCAGCGTTGCAATCTTGCTTTTAGCCACTACCGGACAGAGCGACGCCGACATACGCATTCGCGTCGTGCGATGATGGTCTCAGCGAAGCCTGGAGCACTTTTGCAGTCAGCATTTCATGGCTGGCGTGACATGTCGGAGATCATCAGGAGTATCCGCAATCGCGCAAACGAGGTCGCCATGTTTCGTAAAAAGTTCTTTTTCAGGCTGCTTGTAAGGGAGCGGATTCCGTTCTGCATAGAGCAGCGCACGCGCGAGAGCAGGATACGAGACACTTTGCGGCGATTTGCTTTGCGAAAGGCGCTAGAGCGCTTACGAGAATGGCGCCTACGTTGCCACCGGGAGCGTGCAATCGACGCGCAAGCGCAGCTTCTCTCGCGCCGGATATTTCTGAGACGGTGGTTTGCGCATGGCATCGAGAACCGGCGCTTGCGCATGCTAGAGAGCCACGGCCTAGTAAAGATCCGTTTAGAAAAACTGCGGGCACGCATGTTCAATAAGTGGGCTAAGACGTGGTCATTTTGGAAGACCGCTGGGGGCGTGGCGCTTGCGAATGCGCGTCGACTGCAGCGACGGCGCGCGTTGCGGGCTTGGGCAGCTGCTGTGCACGTGCAGCAGGGACAGCGACAGCAGCTACAGAGTTTACGCCAGCGCACGGATTTGCGGACTCAAAGGCGCGCGTTTAGAATGTTGCAGGAACACACCGTTGGGCGCGATCGGGTGCGAATCGTCAAGTTCGAGGAGCAGGTCTGGGCTGCGTATCGTTGGCTGCGAAAATACGCACACAGCAATCCGCATCAGAGCGTACCGCAACAGATTGCGTTCAAGAATGCATATTTGCCTGCCACTGGCGTCACGGGACAAATGAGCCACGTTGTTCTAGCACCGCAATATCAGATGGATGTCCCTCTTTCGGAGACTGTTGTTTTGCAGCACGGGCCAACACAAGCAAAGCCAGGCGCGAAAGCAGTTTCGGGGGCACCGGTAAAAGCCGCTGGTGGACGGGACAAAACGAGCGCCGCAACTTCTGGAAGTAGTAAAGGTGGAGCAGGAGCGGGAGTCCGCGCACTCTCCGGTGATCCAATATTAGCGTTTACTCACAATCCGTTAGAAGAGGTAGATAACAGTTGGGACTCTGCAGACCTCCAGTTGATGATAAAGTTTCCCCTCGTACCTTCCGGCGCCGTAGAGAAAATTTCCTCCACGGTGGTGATCTCGAAGCCGCTTGTAGCGCTATTTCAGGCGCCGCTTGCGTTGCATCCGCATCGCTTTCGCAAGAACTTTGTGTGGATTATGTCGCTTTTCCGGAAGGCGCTGTTGCGCAGAGCACTGAAGCAGTGGAATGAACGGGCGCGCAGCGAGCGCATCTTCCGTCGGAAGCGACTCTTCAATTGCTATTACGACACCTTCATCGCGTATCGGAACTACTGCAGAAAAGTTCGGCATAGTCGGCAGGTATTCTCTACAAATCCACTTGCACTAGGATAGGGTGTTGCTGCTCTTCATTGTTCACTTCTTACATTAGCAGCTCCAACACCAACGTCCTTGGATTCTCTATTCCGTGGTCAAATTCTTCTGTAAAAATACCATCTCCAGGTTTACGAGCATTTGTCTTTGCGCTGCCACTTTCGCAAAATGGCTGGATGTTTTGACTCATGGTATCGGAAGTGTGCCAATTACATGGCCTTTCGCTTGAACTATGGAGACTTTCGAGAGCGGAAAAACTGGATGCTTCTAGAAAACTGTTTCCTGGCGTGGTGCAACGTGGCCTGGGGCGAAAGGCAGGTATTTAAGGAAAGAGCTCTCGACTTTTCTAGTACCGCAATTGTTTTCTACTTTTCGGATGAATCGGCAGAAGGACATTATTTGATACCATTAGCCATTCATCTCCCTCTGTGTAAATTTCAGATTCGTTCTGCCTTACTCGCCTTTCTCGCGAAGCGCAAGCGCAGACTCTGCGAACGCTCTTTTCGCGTGCTGCAGCAAGGACGCGCGCAACGACAGCGTGCGTTCATTTTGGAGGACTGCGCTAATCTTCACTGGTACAAGCAGCAAGGCACGAAAGCGCTGACCGCATGGCGGCAGTACGTACTTCGTGGGCAGATTGCCCACTGCTTTCGTACGATGCGGCAGAAACGCACTGTGGAAATGTGCTTCTTGCAACTGCGCGTGCACGCTGAGACGAGCGTGCGACAAAATTTGCGCGTGGAGATGGGGTTTTCCATGAAGCAGCGGGAGTCGCTAGTAGAGTGTTTCCGCCAGTGGCGGACAACTGTGCGTCGCGTGCGACGACTGCGGTCACGCACAGAGGAGCGGCAAAGTCAAGAGCAGGACTGGCGTCGACAGACGGCTTTTTTCGCGTTAGAAGGGTGGCGGAATATTCAGCAACACCTGCGTGCTAGGGCACGCGATGTGGAGATGCACACGCGACGTCGACGCCTGCAGCGAGCGTTTCGCGCTTTGGGAACCCACGGCGGTCTTTGCAAAGCGATGCGCACGATGTGTCAGGTGGTAGAGAAGGATTTCCGCGTGCTGGCTTTTCGTCAATGGCTTTTCTGGAAGAAACACAAACTCTTGAATGACGTCGGCATTTTTGGAAGCCTCTTGTACCTGAAAATGCACAAAATCCTCACGAAATGGCGGAAGCTCGCCTCCATATCGGCGAAGGTACCAGAGTTTTTTGGTTTATTCAGACCTTATTGACTTGCACACGTTTGGGGATGGCTTTGACGAGTCAAGCGGCTTCCATAAAAGAGTAGGTTTAGTCATATTTTTACCAGGCGACCGAAAATAATGGAAGCAATGCTTGTGTCGAAAGTGAGTGTACGACTCTTCGTCCAAAGTAAGTGTTTCATGATCAAGATCCTACTTTCTCAGGTCCGGCAGTCAGGCCCAATGCTTTTCCGGTATCGCATGCGATCATGTTTTGCCCGTTTCGCTTACAACACGTGGATTCGTATAGTTGTCCGCACAAAACGGTGCCTTATAGATAAGCGCCTGCTACAGCGATCCTTGTTTCATTGGCGTTGGGGTGTCCAGCGAGAGCGGTTTTTCGAGAAGGCCACTGGCGCTATCACGGATGCGATGACTCGTCGGCTACTTACTTCTTTATGGAACGGCTGGGCAGATGAGACAGCGCGTGTTGCCAGGTATTTTCGACTCGTCGCGTTTAATCACGAGCAAAAAAACTGCTAGTCCTTGACTAAGTTGTAGATCAACAGAGAGGCTGTAGTCACTCATTTTATTGTCTTGTTTGAAAGTGTATGCGTGTTCCTACGAAAGATAGTAATCTGGTAGGCACTATCATGGCCAGGTGTCGGGAAGCGGCTCGGACGATTTTGAGTCGACAGTGTGGGCGTCTCTTGAGGGAGCACTTCGCACATTGGGACGTGACTGTTCAGCAGATTCGCGGCGTGGAATCTCTACAGGTGCGACTGCGCGGAAATCAACTCAAACAGGTGATGCATTTGTGGTATCGGCATACGATGGCCGAAAAGTGCATCGGCGTGAGCTACTCCATAGTGGTCCAATCGCGTGTGAGAGGCAAACTTCAGTCGCATCTAGGCGCCTGGAACCAGCTGTATCAGCATCGTGTGGAGTTCCGAAAAAATTTGACCCGGTTTCAATCGCATCGTCGAGAAGTCTTTCTGCGGGCTTCCTACTGCGCATGGCGAGCTGAGGCAGCAACACGAGGGACGCAGAAGTCTCGGTTGCTGCAGCTGCAGCGGTGCGTGCTAAACGGATTAGTACGACGCGGATTCCCAGCGTGGGCTGCGGGGGCGCGGATTGCAAAGCATGAATTGGCGGCTGCCTGCGTGATTGAAGATCGTCTGCGGCTTCTGTTTCTGCGCAAGGCGACTGAGCATTGGGCGCGGCAGTTATTAGCAGCACAGCGAGCACGATATCTGGCGCGACGCGCACATATTCTCGGTTTGCGGAAAGTAGCAGGTCCTTGCTTCGCCGCTTGGCTACAAGCGCGCGATGAAGGGCGCATGGAGCGGCACCGGGACCTACTGGCCACCGCCTTTCGGAAGTTTAGAGCGCTGCACGCAGGCTTCAATGTTCTCCGTGGCTACGGGACAAGGAAGCGTGCGTGGCGTGATCAGACGCTGAGTGCTGCTGCGCGCGTAGCGCAGGTCCAAAAGGCGGCTGCAGTGTTATGTTGGCGAGCTTTCACGAACGAGAGTCGACGAGACGTGCAACTGAAGAGACTTGGCAGACTCTTCGATAAGACCCGGTTACTCAAGAAATGCATGACAAGGTGGAAAAACTTGCGCAGCGGTCCAATTCGCCTTGCGCGTGTGTACGAGATCCGCATTCTAGAGCGCTACGCGGGAGTGACACAGTTGACGAGCTGTAGCGGTTACATTCGATCACTCTTTTCCAAAAGCGGAAAAAGTACCGCTCCCGTGGAGGAAAATGAGGCACACGTTGTTGCGGAGTCTCTAGTGCAAGCTGGCGGTGAAATCCGTATTCAAGTCGATAAAAATGGCAAAAGATCAAGGTCTCTAGCTTCTCGGTCTCGAGCTCTGTCAGTCGGTGATAGCATTGTGGACGCTTTGTCCTTGGCATTGGGAGGAGGCGATGGCTCACCGCGGCATGAAAATAGCGCTTTAGCCTGGCCAAATCGAAGGCGTTCTTCGTCTGTAGCTGCTGCAGCGTGCGGGATAGATGCGAGCTTGCTTGAAACAGAAGATCATGATGGATCTGCGACTGGTGACGGTACGCCTACGCAGCGACGCAGAAAGACCAGCAAATCCCTGTTGTTCAAACCAACGGGAAGATTGGAGCGTGGAGCACTGCTTTTTCACCTGTTCTACTCCATGCGTCGCTTGGAAGGCGCAGTGCGGCGCTGGCGATCACGGGTTACTGAGATCCAGACGTTTAGGCAGAGATATAATTTTCGGTACGTGCGCTCTCTGGCTATGGGCGCTTTTGGCAGCTGGCGAGAGGAAACACAGCGGATGCGGGCTGTAACGATAGCTGCGAGGAAGCTTCGGAAGCGGTCGCTCTTGCGTAGCTGTTTGACGGATTGGATGCGACACTGGAGGGAAGCCTTGGATTTTGAGCATCGCTATCTCTTGCTCCAGAGGCGGCGCAGTGCTGCCGCATGTCAAATAGTACTCCTGTTATGGAAAACGACCACAGCGCGGAATGTGCGAGTCCGGGCAGCGTTGGATGCGTGGCTGCGGGATCCGCAACGGCGAGTCGCGGGAGCGAAGCGTCTTTTCCTTGCTTGGCGCAAGACTGCAGGCGATGAACAGAAGGCCAGGTTCACGCATCGGCAACATCTGATTCGCTTTCAGAGTTTGTACATGGAAAAGTGGGCGCATGTGCTACGGACTAATAACGCGTGTCAACGCGTAGCAGAAGTAGTGCAAAGTGAACTGAAGCAAAGGAACGTGTTTCGTAGTTGGCGTCTCGCCTTCAAATTGCAGTTGGTACAGAGGCGAGTATGTGGCTGGGAGAAGTCCTCTCGCGACACTTCTGCACTGTTTTCACCAGCGCAGGTTAGCTCCTTGCGGTCCGCAGCTAGCGGTGCTTTGGGGCCAGGAGGAAGACTGCAGGATAGGAGGGCTTGTGAGGCGGTACTACCTGAGAACACGAAAAACTATTATGTGAGCGGGTTCGCTCTTCAGCGAAGGACACTACGGAAATGGCGAAGCCTAGCGCTGATGAAAGCGTCAGAGCGGCGTTTAGTGTTCGAATACAATTCGGTTCGCGGGTCCGCGCGCTTGCAGCGGCACTGGCAGCGTTGGCGAGCGACGTTCTTGACGCTCCAGGAGCATCGCGCTGCTCTGCGATCGCGAGGTTGCGACCGCGCAATGGCACTAAAGCAGCGAGGTTGGCGCGCTTGGAGGGCAGAAATGGGCTGGCGACACCAGTGTGCAAAAGCGGTTGATAGTATGCTGCAATTCAGACGGGTGTCTTTCTTGGGGAGGTGGGTTGCAAATCTGCGTCGACGGAAGCTTCGGGAAGCTACAGCAGTCCTGGTTCTGCAAGTGCGTGCACAGCGCTTGGCAGGTCGCAGCTACAAGGCAATGCGGCTACTCTTTTTGAGTCGGAAACACTTCGAAAGGACACTGTTAAGGTGCACATTTCAGGGAGGCTTCGTTGCACTGTATCACGCAGTTCTAGCCGACCGGCAGCACTTGCGTGCGTCATTCCGCAGGTGGCGGGACAGTGCGACATACGTAGGGCGCATTTTAGCGGGTGCACGTGCCTTAGCTGCTCGACGAGTGGCGGCTCGCAAGACACTAATTTTCGGGGCGTGGGTGTCTTTAGCGCGCGAAGGCCAGGCGAAGGAGGATTTGGCTTTATCATTTCGCTTGCAGCGTTGTGGAGTCTTTGATTCGTGGAAAAGGTGGTGTGCACTCCGTCAGTTTGCGAAGACCTTCGAACGCTGCGTCGCGGGAGCAGCTCGGGCGACATGCGGCGTTGCGTTTTCAGATCACATTGTGCGGGACTACAGGATGTTGCAGCACCGCGCAAATCAGTTTCTTCATGCCCGAGGAGCTGAGAGCGCGAACAGAACTACAGGTAAACTACAGATTCATCTACCAAAGTACGCAGCGGAGCAAAGCCAATACTTGATACCTAGGAAAATCGATGAGGCCGGACCTGGTGGCCCAAGCGCTGGCCATGACGCGACACCTTTTTCTATACGCCACAGCTCGCTCCTCTACGTGCGGCGCGACCAGCACCTTCACCTTCAGACTGAAGGAGTCAGCCTAGAATCAAAATCGACAGCGGCGCCAGCAGGGAGCAAAGCAACGGATGACGAGAGCTCTCTTGTTCCTACATCGGCTTCAGATCAGGAGAAGGAGCCTGTTCTTGATGCCAACACGGTCATGCGTTCAAGTCTTGCTTCGGCAGCGCGTTTGCGTATTGGTGGAGCCTCTTTTCCGGGTTCTTCTATAGCTGCTATGACAGGGGTGGGCAACATCCGCCCATCTGGTCACAACGTAAATGGTGATGTGAATTTCAGTCAGAGTGCTTCGAGTTCGTCTCGACATCAAGACATTGGCGCGGCTCCGTCGCAGGCGGATGATGCTAAAGAATCTGTGGAGGGGGAGCCATTGGACATTCGAGACCTCGTAGAGACGAACCTGGTCAATTTCCGTCCTCGGGTGCTCGCAGAGTACGTGGAGCAGTGGAAAGAGTGGGCTTTGGCCCGCCAGAATGTTTCAGCCGCACGCCAGTTCTGTCGGCAGAGGCGCTTGCGCAACGCTTTATGCACTTGGCACGAGGGTTTGGCGACGACGCGCCTATATCGTGTCGCAGACACGCAGGTCTTGCGGAAAACTTTCGTTGCTTTCATGGATGGAGTAGAGGTAAAAAGAGCACTCCGGCTGAAGCAGGAGGTACTCGCGAAGCTGCTGGCTATGCGGCGGTGGCATTGCCGTACCCGTGGGAACGCTCGCGGTCGGGCACTTGCCTTTCGCGCTCGACGATTCCGACAGCGGTCACTTCTTCGCGCTTTTTTCACGCGCGCTTGGCGGCTTGGCTATCACATTCCGCGCACGCACATCCTCGAGACGGTTTTCCCAGCACGAATACGTGTCGTATCTATGCGCTTGTGTCGGAAAATGCTGACACTATGGCGCGAGGAAGCGGTCGTGCGTGCGCCAGCAGTACGGCGTTTGTGGCAAGCGCGTGTGCTAACGCGTTGGCGGGAGCACGCGCGGACAAACCGCTCACGACGTCTCGGCCTTATTGCGCGTCGCGACGAAGCTTTGAAGCTCGCAGCCCTGCAGCAGTGGGTTGCTTGCGCGCCTCGTGGTATTCGAATGCGACTTGCGTTCGATCGTTGGCGCATGCAGGCACGGGAGCGGAGAATACTTCGGTTGACCCGCGGAGATGTGGCTGAGGCTCGGACTGCTATGCTAAACACCTTTCGTCGTACTGACGACGATCCGCGCGAGTCTCCTTCCCACGCCGAGCAAAGAAGTGCGAGCACCAGTACTAGTGGAAGACTAAACGGCGCAAGCAGACGAGCTCAAACTCAAGAAACCGCGGGCCCAACAATTTTGACCAGAACATCGGGAGGATTTTTGAACATCGGTAACAAAAGCGTAAATTTGAACGCCTCGTCTGGACCGCTTCTGTCTCAAGCGAGAGCATCTCCTCCACTATCAGCGACTGGAGACCGTTCTCGGATCCTTCCAGGCGGGTCTCGCCTTTTAGGGACGTCAACGGGCCCATTTGCGCCTTCGGCACGCTCTGGGTCGTCCGTTCCGGGACGTAGTTCTGTCCCCGATTTCGACGCATCCCCAACCACGGGACTTGCGGGCAGACTTCGTGCTGCACGTGACGGTGGGATATCAAGATCTGGTGAGTTTTCTGCTGCGTCCTCTCTGAATCTCTCAGGTTTGAGAGACTCACGTGACTCCGATCTTTGGTCACCGCGGGCTCTGCGACGTTCGCGCATCCTAGCAGAGCAGGAAAATGGTGGGAAATCATCTTCCAGTGGGAGCAGTGTGCGACACAGCAAGGAATCAGTACCTTTCCTTTCCAGTGCGGCAGGCGCCACAACAAGTGGCTCAGTGCTTCGCACTGCGTCAGCAAGCGGCCGGTTTCAGTTGCCTAAATTCGACGGATTTTCATTACAAGTGAAGAAGATTCAGGCACCTTCTCTGAGCCCTTTACCCTCCATGCTTCCGGAGAAGGCAAAGAGTTAATGCCATCGCTCTGGAGTCGAGGCGCTACTCCTGATAGGAAGTTCTAGATCCTCAAGGTGGCGTCCCTCGTTTGTTCTTCAACGTCGCCGAGTAATCGTACGTATAGATGAGTGATTTGTGTTTGAGGCTTCGCTATTTTGTTCGGCCACCTGTATGCTACAGTAGATATTTATTTGTCTTCGCAGAACTCGGCTGTACATTAAATGCTAACAACTCGGTGTCGCTTATGGTATTTCATTTCTCTAAACAAATTGAAACTCGTCCCTGTAGAATTCCGCAATTAGTCTCATATGCTTACTATTTGTTTGCAAGATAGAATGAGTATTTCTGTTCCCTCGAATATGCTTACTTTTCAAGACCTGTTGTCTTATTCTCCTCCCAAACCTTCGCTTTCACATTGCATGGTGATAGTTTGATTCGCAGTATGACGCTTTCGTAACATCGTTTCCTTGGTGACTAGTAGTTGAGTACTACTGCTTCGTGAAATAGATGCGGTTTCGCGTGAATTGAATAAGCCTTGAGGCCAAGGAAGATCTGTGTCGCTCGTTTCAGCCAGCGGCGCTTTTTTTTTCGTGGCAATGTATGACCGAGGTAGAGGGACGACGCTTTTGGACGACGCTTTTCGCTACTCGTGATAGCCGTGCACGACGGGTTTTGGGGTGATGTTAAAGGATACTAAAATGAGATGTATCTATTTCTCTGTTTTTTGATCGTGCAGTGAGCGCGTCCCACCATTTGTGACGGGCGCAGCGAGGTGCATTACAACAGATCACTCCCCAGAAAAAAGTGAAACCGAAATCAGAAAAAGCTGCATCAAAGGCTCTAGTTTATTTGTATTTGATCTGTTTACGACACTTGTGTCGGAGGATTACACGTAGAACATTATTCAAGATGTTCGGGCGGATGAATCAGGTGCAGATGGAGGCCGCTTGGTCGAAGCGGGTCGACAAGGAGCGCGACCACGCTCAGAAGGCTGTTGCAAAACTCTCGGAAACGAAATCACGACTGACATCAAAGCAGAGCACGGCTAACCCCATGCTTTTCTATCCGGGGGGTGGGAACGGACCGAAAATCGCCCGGACGTACGAGTCCGTTTATCCTCCACCGGACCCGAGTCGGCCCAAGCGTGCTTTCCTTCCTGGAGGGCTAAATCACACGACGCCGCCGGCTCCTGAGCCGCCGACTGGCAAGATGATGCTAAAGGGCGCTAAGCTGCCCTCGGAGTACCACCAGGCGTTGGGCAAAGTACCTGCGACGGCCGCGGGAAAGCCATCAGACTGCTGCAAGGATGGGGTGTCTAGTACGTGCTCGCGACATGGCGGTGACAAGTTCAAGAACTACGCAGCTGCGTCAGCAGCAACGAGTGCTCGCAGTCGTACTAGGCCTGGGGCGCTCGGCGCGACGGCATCGCTATCCGACTTCGGATCGACGGCTGGCCGAAGCGCCACATCAAACAAGAAAGACCAAAAGGAGCCGCTGTCTTCTATAAGCCATGCCAGCGGTACCGCTCCAGCGGTGACGCAGGATCAGTTGTTGCGGTCGATCGCAAATATTGAGCAGGATGGTACCCTGCCAGCTGCATCTGGCGCAGCATCAAGAAGGTCCGATAACAAGTCGGCAAGTCGAAGATCGAGTTCGCGATGGCGTGGCAGCTTCGCCCCGGACGAGGATGGAGCGTACTGTTTTTAGCTCTTCTTGCCATGAGATGAAATCTGATCGATGTTTTATTACTGATAACTACTTCCGTTATTTAACCAAGAAGGTAATATGGTACATATGAATTTATGTATGATAGATGAAGTCAAGAAGACTTCATCCGCCTCTTTGGGCATCTCATGGACTGGGCTCAAACGCAGGTCTTCCGTGCCAGGGTCGGCAGGCGAGGCGCAGTTCCATGAGGAGATACGCAGCGTTGTCGAACAGGAAGTGAGCAAGTTGCTAGCTCCATTGGAGAAGGAACTCCAAGCAGAGCGAGAAAAGCGACAGAAAGCGGAAATGCTGCTGACGAAGGTAGGAAAAGTGAAGCCAGCAGAGAATGCAGGAAAACCGGCAAGCGCGTCCTCGGTGAAGAAATCGAAGTAGAAGCTAGTAAACTTGAATTATGCGGAGAGGGCGACGAGCAGAAACGAATAAACTAGTGTTTGACACAGCCATAGTGAGAAACCAATGTTCTCGTGAGACACCGATATTTTATGCGATCGTCTTATTCGTAAAGCTTTCAAAATTGCGATGGATTTAGCTTCTTTCGTACTTACACAAAGAGAATATAGAAATGACAGAAAATATGTTTAGTGCTGCATAAAAATGAATAGCGAAACTAAGGCGTGATCTAGTCTGTTAGTCTTTCAAACTCTAGCGAGCTAACCAGAAACATCATTATGCGTTGTCTACCGAAAAAATTTCGAACGAAAAACTTCTCGTCGTCGGCTTGTCCAGTCTATCTTTTCTATACATGTGTGTGGTGTAGCAATTGGTTTTTTAGTCTTCCTCATTTGAATTTATGCGACAGGATCTGTCCTAACTCCCATAGAGTAAGCCATTATCGTCCCCTTGTCATCGTCCTTGTCCTCGATTGTGCATTACATTTACACTAAGTTGACCTTGAAATTGATCCTTTCATTGCTAATGTGACCCGAAAAGGATGTTAAAGGCTGCACAGAAGAACTGCAACCCCATCAGATGCCTACGTGTGTAGGAGACTAACACCGTTGAAAATGAAACGGCGCCCGTAGCGAGCCTAAACTTTCAACAGAAGTTACGACTATATTCTGGGAAAGCTGTTAACTGGTGTCCGTGTGCAGGGCGGCGTCGACATACAGGAGCTGAGAGTGAGAGGAGAGGAAACATGAATTTTCATCCAGGAGAAGGCACATGGGAAAGTTCTTAGGCTGAAAATGTAGGGTAAGAAAATGAATGTGCGCGAGCGGGCAACCAGAAAGAAACCTGAAAAGGAAAAAAATGATTTAGTAGAAAACGAAATCCGAGTTTATTTTTAACAGCTCTCTCTTATTGGCTGAAAAGAAGTACCATATTTATCATCGCCATTTCCGCGGAGTTCTGTTTATTTCGGAAAACATTCAGTTCTAGTATCTATCAGAGGAACTCCTTGAAGCTGGGCGTGCTTGCGACAAAATGGTCGATATAGCGATAGGAAACAAGCTGGAAGATGAGGAAGTCCAGTATTTACACGATAAAGTCGGCCCAGCCTTGACAAATGCTTTGATCGTCGTCGCAGAAGAGCGGTAACTTTCTGTGGTCGAGCCGTGTTGACTTCTTCTCTGTAAGATGTGCGTTTCAGATCTCCTCGCTTTAGTGATATCTATAGTATAAACATGCATCATTGGTCAAATCAATAATTCAATCGAGCTCTTCAAATAGCAGATAAACGATCTATTCAGGTATCTTCGGTCTACCCTGACAGCAACAGCGAAGGACACGGCATTACGTCTCATCGCTGCACACTTGCGAGCTCATAATCCGGAGAGGAGCGAAATCTATCGAGAGAAGAAGTTAGAACAGTATAAGCAGTTTTGTGACAATTGCACTATCCGAAAGCGGCTGCAGGATATGATCGACAGACGGCAAGACCTGTCGCAGCCGTGGAAGGGCGACGACGAGAAGGAGTATGTGAAAATGTGTAAGCAGTTCGACGCACTCAACAAATGATGATTATAGTAGTTGAATGAAGGCTTGACAGAGTGAAATCAGCGCGAGTTGTAAAGTTTTTGGTACACTATGAGAAGGTAAACGCATTGAGACGACATGAGCTAGACGGACTACGACACGCAAGCAAACGCCTGCGAGAAGATGGATTATATTGGAGGAGTGTATTGTGACCGTGTGTCTGGTCGTGCAAAGGGAACGCGAAGTTGTACGGCTACGGGAGCAGCAGCAAGACAGGTGTCCTGTGTAGCCTCAGGGCACATGATATGCTCTAGCGTTTTTGAAGAAAGGGATCTGTGTCTGCGTATTTGCCTGAAGTAAATTTCTGTAAGAAAAAGCTAGCGGAGAGAATACATGGAAGAAAACTGCTTGCTAGATAGAAAGTCCTAGTACAACAAGTCCAGACCGCAAAATGGTTTTCGTTTTTGAGCAAACGCGCCCTCCAGTGTTTTTTTCTTTCACCAAACCTGATGCTTGTCAATTCGTTGACAACCTGAAATTGATGATGAGGAAATTAAAACACTAATTGATATTTTTTGAGACGTTCATGCAGGTGTACCAAAGGATTCCAAAAGCAAAGGCAATGTAGAGGCAAGGAAATAGATGCAAGACGTACTAGGGTCAGCAGATATGCCTATTAAGAGGGAGCGCACCATGCTCCCAGAGATAGATTGGGTGGTTTGATTCAAACTAATCTAGGCGAGGATGGCAGACGGTGGAGAGGAAGTCGTGAAAACTGTGACCTTCACGGTGACAGTGACTAGCGCAGGCCCTTTTCCGGAGGCTGTGCAACCGCTAGTGAAGATAGTAGGTTTTGGAGAAGCCGTGGGCGCTGCACTTGAAGCGGAGGCAGCGGAAGATTTCGAGGCAGGTCTAAATGCGGTGTCATTCGAAAAGCCTGCAGGCCTTCCACTTTGCGATGAAGCAGCGACACCAGGAGCATTGAAAATACAAGTGAGAAAGAAATCAGACTGTTGCTGATGATAGAATTATTATTGGTTCAATCATGAGCCATACGACTACATCGCGAGAGCTGTGCTTTCCTTCTATGTATAATATCATCTTCACTTATTACAACATAGTTATGCGACGGCGATGTAGAGCTGCTGTCGGAGCCGATCGCAGTGGATCTTTATGCTTTTTTACACGAGAAAACAGAAATATCAGTACCAGCCTGCAATGTGACGCTAGCACCTGAAGTGGACAGAAAGTGGGAAGGCACCGAAGAAGAACCTAAAGTATTTGATGTTTGTTGTGAATCGTCTCGATAGCAACTACCTTCTTGCGAAATAAGCATTTTCGAATCTGTAGCTGGCATGCAGAAAGTATTTGTATTTTCTGTTCACGTCTGGAGTGGTCTTGCATTTTTGTGCGACACCCTATTGCATCCTTATCTTAGACTCGATTACCGACGAGCGTATCACTCAGCGTAGCATCCTCGGAGCTGTTGGCCCCAGCGGAAGACCGGGAGGGATGGAATTTGATGTCCTTACCGGGAATAGTGATGCGGAATGTGCCGCCAGCCCTCTTGAACTGCTTTACACCGGGTGCAAAAGGAATGCCAAATATTCCAGGTTTGGCCTATACGGTCAATATTCTTGGAGAGAAAATACCTGCAGTGCAGGTCACAGAAGAGGTAGTTTTCCTAAATTTCTTTATCCGATGCGCCAGAATCGAGTATCTTGTAATTGGTGGCATAGTCTCGAAGAAGAGTATTTTTGACTAACGTACGTACAGCAGGTCGCGTTGTTGTAGCTATCTGTGTCACAACAAACAAGTATTCGTCTAGAACATAACATTTTTATGATAATCCATATTAATTTCTTGATTCGTCTACCTACAAGTCAAGCAGGTCCCACCAGCGGCTGCGGGGGAAGAGCCAGGTAGCGTAGAGTTGATTGGGCTGCAGGAACCAGCGTGGGTCCGGTACCGCGGAGCTGCTTTCATGAATAAACTGAAAGCTTGTGTTAACGACGTTGGCGGAACGTATGTGACAGTGTCTACACTTCAGGCAGAAAATCCCGATCCCAAATACAAGCCACCAGCAGACGCGCCTGCTCTAGTGGAAAAGTACAAGTTTCGCGCCTACGTAGATTTGAGGCCGTTATTGGGACGAGGTGTGGATGTGATTCAGACGACGTGCGACCTGATACAACCATCGGGAGAGCCCTTTCTTGACGATGCAGGCGAAGATCTTAAGCCGACACTGGAACTCGGCATAAAGTTTCACACACCATTAGTCCGCAAAGAACGGCCACCACCTCCAGAAATCGCGGAGCTGGTACGACTCTTTGTTTGGAGTAGGTGTTGAGTCGAGCTTGATTGTTGTGAAACGAAGAACACTATCTAGTGGGTACCTCATCCTCAGCCTCATTTATAACAGGTGTAGCAAGTTTTGTTTGTATTTATCACTTATCAAGTTGTCTCACGTTTCAGGTGTCGGACAAAGTTGTATCACAGAAGCTGCGCGGCGCCGGAAAGGTGAAAAGGGAATTCACTGAAGCAGTGAAAGAGTGCATACAGCCAGCATCAAGTTCAAACGCCGTAGGTGGCAATAGGCCAGAACGCCTTGTGGAGATTAGAATCCGGGACGCGCTGCTGATGCAAATAACAGAGCACGTTCGAAAAGGCCTCACAGTAGATGCCGGCGACCAGGAAGCTTTCATATCGAAGGTACTTCTAGATCTGCATTAGGGGGAGAAAAGTTTAAGTTTTAGATTTTTATCATGATGGCTATAACCTGTAGTGCCCCAGGACTAGGTGCTATCCATACGTGAAAGAATCATTCCAATTACAACATTCATTGAAAGGTCTTTGCCGAACTCGCATCGCAAGTGGTGCCAGAGAGCCTCCGGGATGCTGGTTTGGCGTGTGAATCTGTGAAGGAGAACGCATTTACAGAAGTCACAGGGCAAAGGTCTGTTTTGACGCGATCGAGGCGATTACTAAAAGAAGCTGAACTCTGTGGGAATGTGAAAACAGCAGCAAATTTCTGGCAGCAGATACTAGCGATAGATGAAACGAAAAATGACCCAGTGTGCTGGCTAGAGTTACGGGCGTTTTCAAAATATAACTCATCCTTAAATTATAGAACAAGGAGAGTGATGTGTAAATAAGATGCATGTTCCATATATTTCCAGGATGGTACGATAACGATGCCGGATTTTGTATTTTCTTAGACTTATAATTGCAAGCAACATTTTCTCTCTCCGAGGAACAGAATTCGTCGCTACAAACTAGGGAATTAAGGATGAGTGTTTTGAATAGCGGTAATAGACTATGCGCAGTTTTTGCAGAGGGTCGGGGGTAAAAGCGAGGCGGCAGAATTTGCGGTCCGACGCGCGATTGACCTTTGTGAGGCAAGTGGTGGAGCTTCGAGTTCATCATCGTCGGTGACAAGTGGAAGTGCTCCTAGTAGCCCCACAGCGATAGTGCTGCAGCAGAGTCGTACGATGTTGGCGGCTTTGTTGCTAGACCGAAGGCGGTTTGCCGATGCTGAGGGAATGTTACGAAGCTTGTGCGAGGAGAATCGAGCAGACTCGATGGCAAACTTTTTGCGCGGTCTCTGCGTGTACCTGCGAGGGAACGATGTGGAAGGCGGACAAAACTGGTTCATATTAGCGACAAAGCCAAAAGATTGGTTTCGAGGTCTCAATAGCGAGGAAAAAGTGATGGAAAAACTAGCACTATTTCTGTCAGCCGGCGATGCAATGTCGACTGTCACAGGGACAGGGGTATACGCGTATATTTTTGACTACCAGGCTTTAGCAGTAGAAAAATTTAGTTCTTTCTCCAACTTCTCCTGTTGTGTGTCTGTCTGTGTGTGTGTGTCTCTGAGTGTATGTCTCTGTGTGTGTGTGTCTCTGAGTGTGTGTCTCTGTGTGTGTGTCTCTGTGTGTGTGTCTCTGTGTGTGTGTCTCTGTGTGTGTGTCTCTGTGTGTGTGTCTCTGTCTGTGTGTCTCTGT